AAGATTCGCAGCACGTACGACAGAATGTCGTCTTTTCACATCCGGACCACAGCTCGTTAATGGAAGGGGTTGTGAGTGAGCTGAATCTAGGAGGATCTTGAGCGTAGACTGTTGTTGGTGTGAACCCTCTTGTGCTGTTGCGTCAAACCTTCTATTAGGCGCAGACATATTATTGGAGACTAGGCGATAGTCCAAATTTGTCTTGCATGTACATATAATTTTTCCGGTCTGTTCCTTGATGTGAATATATCAGATACTGTTAGAAAGAAATCTACTGTCCTTTGTCCAGCTCGATTTGATTTGGAGCAAAATCAATATGGTCATGTCATAGATTGCCTGTCAGCACCGATTAGAGGCATCTGGAAAAATATCGGTCACGCAAACCCCATAGTTCCGCATCGGGGAATCGAACCCCGGCCGCCGCGGTGAGAGCGCGGAATCCTAACCACTGGACCAATGCGGATTGTTATCAGTACGAGAGGTCAGGATGTACTTATCAATAACATAAGCTCCGACGCGGACATTTGCCTGTCATACTTACTGCACACACAGCTTAACAAGAGATTCGGGAAAAAAGAGACATACTGAAGAGAGAAATTACTTACACATTCCATCTAGAATAATCTACACTCATAGGTCTAATCTGCAACAGAGATTAAAATATCTATATAAAACCTACTCAAAGATAACACATGACGCAAATGTTCGATCAGTGGCTACTTGCTACAATTCTAGAAATAATATAGCAGCTATCTAGATGGTTCCCTGGCCGGTAGATACCTCAACTCGACTCCAATCGACTTGGCGCCTTCTCATTTCGATCCAGCGATCCAAGCTCAGTTCACCTGGAGCTTCCCCAGACACCGATACTCGGACGCCTTTGTCATGTTCGATGAGACTGGCCAGGGATGATCGCCATGCGTCTGCTACAGCCTGTGAGATGGAGGCTGAAGAACGGGGGACGCGTTTTTCGGCGTTGCCGGATGAGATGGAAGGTGGGAGTGGGGCCCACGTAATGGTAGGTGTCGATTGCAGGGTCTTGAGACGTGAAGGTTTTATAGGTTGAGTTGGCATATTAGTTGCAGTTACAGGTGGTGAGTCGGCTTTGATGCTGCCGTTCTCCGATACCGTTACGTGGTGCGTATTGGCTGCGTCATCGGGATGGTAAGTTACGACGGTTTCTCTACGCGTTGCAACTACGTCGTCGTCAGAAGAGCCTTTCTGTGCCAGCTTGTTTTTACCCTTTCCTCCCCGCAAAAAGTGTGAGTTTTTAGATTCTAAACGCGGCGGGTACGTGATGTCTTGAAGAGCTTCTGGCTGCTGTTCTTCATACGGATGCCCGCGTTCCTGAGGTTGCTCCATCGGCCTCTCGTCCTCCCGAGAATGCTCTAAAACTCTGTCTCGCCCTTGTCCTGGCGCCGGCATTGGTTGATGTTGCTTGACAGGACTCCTGCGTTCTCCACGCCGATCCTCCATTCTGCGGTTCGTAGGTCGTCCGTGAGTGACTACGTTGGGAGCGCCAGTGACTTCAGGCAGCGAATCTTTTCTTTCAGGGTACCATGGTAGCGTAACCATGCCGGTCTTTACCCCCAATTTGGACAACTCCAGTTGTCTCTGCTGGGCACCGCGAAGATCACGAGCAAGTTCATCCAACTGCTGCATGATCGTGACGCTAAAAACGGTTATTGGCCGTACTGAGGAACCGCTGTCGCCTTTCGGATCGGAATCCGATGTAACATCAATCGGTGTGATTTGCGCTCCACTGGTGACGAGATCTACATCATGTATCCAAGATTTATCGTCGTCCACGACATTGGCAGAAAGTGGTCCCTCTTCCGGAATAGGGGCACTTTTTGGAGCTGCTTGACGCTGCTGAGACTCCCGACGCTGACGCATTGCATGGTCCACGGATATCCTGTTACTTGCCACCGACATTCGCCCGGATTTAGAGGAAGATGATGACATGATCGCTAGCATATCCACTGGAGCAGGTTCTGAAGTGGATCTTCGTCGTCCTTGTGGATATTCTACAGAATGCTCAATCGGGGGCGGTACAAAGGAAACATGTCGTCTAATTCTTCCGATAGTATCCATCCACATGTCACCACCCAGCGACACCGATTGCCTTTGAGAGAGTTGCGTGGAACCATCAGCAATGCCAGCACGCACTACTCTCCACATCGCCACAAGTACAAACAACCAGCGCTCCAGATCTTCATTTTTCTTGGCCCGCAAGATATAGTTCTTCCCGTCATTAGTTCGGATAACAAAACATTTCTTGGCGTTTCCAAACCACGCAGGCGTAGTACGTTCCGGTTGTGTGCCCGCCTCCGACTTGCCATCACCACCTGCCGTTGTACTCTTCGGTGAGGCCCCATCTATGGGAAGGTCGACAGGTTGGTACATTCGCCGATTCTTTGTACGCTTTAATAAAGAAATATGCGTTACACTCCCAATGTGGATCGTCCATTTTGGAAGGTGAACCCATTTGGACACTGGCGACCCAGCGTTGGTAGTCAGCGGCGAATGATGTTCGTCCGCAAGTAGAGCACTTGTGAGAAGAGGCATCGGTTGAGCATTAGGGATAGGAATGTAGGTTGTATTAGTTGTTGATGACAAAACGGCGGCTGTTTTTCTGGGAAGTTTTATTTTACTAGTGCCAAGGCATGTCAACAGGGTACCATCAAAGCGAAGGAGCTGCAACAAGGATATGTTAGAACAGCCGGAAGCATAATTTCTGAACTGTCGAAAAATGGCTTACCCGCCATTGCCATCGCTTGTTTCGCCCCAGTTTATACAAATGACCCGAGAAAACAGGAGAGATTGCACCAAGAGACGATGGAAACAAGGACTGCATCACAGAATGCATCATATTCCCTCTGGAATCTATGGTTGTATCGCTTTGGCTCGCACTAGTCACGGTTCCGTTGGTCACAGACGGTGAACTTATAGACACAGACGGAGTAGGCAGTAATGCGCTATCTGGGGGTGATATAGGTGGGGTTACGCCATCTTGCGCGCTCACTGGTGTCATTCCGAACGAGGCCGATGACCTCGTTTCCGCATATTTAGGTTGCGCTACGTCGGGAAGATTCACCATCGAAACAAACTTTGGAGAGGGCAGTGAATAGTAGTTCAGAGCAGGGATCTTCTGCGATTCAGCAGATGGTAGAACTGAGTCGCGCTGGCTATTGTCAGATCCGCTCTCCTTGCCAGGAGCTTCTCGATATCGGGTTGAATGGGGAGCGCCCGCTATATATTGCTTCGCCTCTATATCGCTGGTGGGATGTAGCTCGGTATTTATTTCTAGTTCACCAATACTACCTTTGAGCGCGGAAGCATCTTCCGATACTCGGGACATGGGCCGCGACCTTGACCTCTGCTTCGCGGCAGTTTTGATGATAGATCGCCTTGGTGTAGATCCAGTCAAACGACCGCTGATAGGGTTTGCCGGTTGTTGTTGCTGTAGCTGTTGCTGTTGCTGCATTAACATAAAATATGCCTGCTCGCCATCTTTATCGTATGTGAAGGAAGCCGCAAGTGAGCTCCGGGGCTCCGACACAAAATCAGATGGAGCTGATATCAATGAAGGCGATCCGCTCCAGTTCGAGTCCCTTGCCTCAAAGTGAGCACTAGTTCGAATTCGGAGAGCTTGAGTTAGGGTGGGAAATGTCATGTCCGTATAGTACGACGCTATGGACTGTCGCTGGTGTGGGCTTGACGGATCTCCATCTCGAGCGGTTGTTGAAACCAACTCTCGCATGGTCGCACCCTCACTCATTCTTTTGCGCCAGGCAAATGAGCGACGAGGTAAGAATGAAATGGGAACACTTGTCGCTTGCAAGCTCAGGTCTTGTAAAATTGGTGCCGTAAGCGCTGTGCGGCTTGGGGGTTGCGCAAATGAAACTTGCCGCTGAAACAACCCGCGTTCCCCTTTTGTCTCGCATCGTACTAAGCCACTAGCGCTAAAAACTATGGGGTCCTTTTGTTGGGCTGTGCATCCTCCTGATCAAGATAACCAAAAGTTTATTTCCACAAGCCTCATCTACAAATACCTATATACTATCTATGAAACTGTTTCTTGTTGCGTTGTTACAGGAGCGAGTCTGCGACGCTTCGTCGCTTAATAGGGCCATGAACCACAACATCTTCTAACCACCACCAACGTGCTTTGATAGACCTTGCATACGTTGCATACGAGACAACATTCCGGGCATACCCGTGCTCATCCATACATCTACCCTCTAGTTCAAATCCCGGCACTTCCAGAGTATGCAAGCCGACGTGGAAGGATCGGAGCAATCGGTGGGTTTGCAAAAACGGACCGAGTGAAGTTTGCTCCCATTCCAATGTGGCTCCATGAATAGCCGATTGGCCCCAAACATGAAAAGACACGAGATCAGGCCAAATAGTGGCACTTGCCAGCAGTGTAAGAGTGCACCTTGGGGTTATGAAGCGATCTAGCCGTATCACCTTGAGTTTTGGGCACTTTTCGACAAGACGGGGAAAAAATGTGGACGGGAGATTCGAGCAATCTCGATGGAGTGCCTCCATTATCAAAACTTCAAGTTTGGGGCTGTCCGCGGTGAGGGCATTAACGATCGACAGACATATTTGATGAGCAAGTATCGTTATCCCTCGGACAGCAAGATAGCGAAGGTTTGGAAGACTGATAAAGGTCGTGTCAGGTAAGATTGTGGGAAGAAAATTGAGCTTCAGAGTGGTAAGATTCGATGCATTCGGTAGAATAAAGTTGAAAGGGAAAATGGGGCATGACCATATGGACAGGGTCTGAAGGTTCGGCAAGTGGAGTGGAGTATCACCCGCAACTGGCTCTGTCCCGTATGGTTCGTACTTGCCACTCCGCAGGACTAGTTTCTTCAAGCCGTGTAAGTTGACCGCAGCAGGACCCCACACCGCGATTCCATCCTTTGTAAACGTTTCCGCTGGGACTTCCAGTTTCAACTCCTGCAGCTGTGGAAAGCGTTCCACTACCTCTTTGAGATCGGCTGTACTTGGTCGATATTCATCATTTGCGTACAATTTCAGCGACCGCAGTGAATGTGTCCACCATCCCATTGTTCCTGCTCGCGTACTATATACAGGGAACCGTACTTGCATCGTGAGCGGCAGCTCTCTGAAAGAACACTTTTCCAAGCCAACTTTTTCCAGTTCCTTCATTCTACTACAGAGGTACCGTACCAAAGACATCCAGCCGTGGTAAAACCACATGTCGCATTTGTCCATCACCAGACACTTTAACCGAGGGAGATGAGTGGCTATAGCTTCCACGCCAGCCGGTGTCAAGTTGGCGTATATGAAGGTAAGGGATTGCAAATTCGGGCAGCCAAGAGAAATAGCTTCGTACGCGTTCGTTGGGACGATGAGCCAGTCTAAATCCAACGTTAATGTGGTGAGGTGCGGTAGGCCAGGTCGCTCTAGTTGACCAGACTGTCGAAGGACATCAAGAAAGTTGACCAGTGCCCATGAGCAAATATCCGACAGTTTCAGATGTTTTAATATTGGCGATGGAGAAGCCGGAGCCACCTTTGGTATACGATTCCAAAAAGTCGGCTTGTTCATCTCAATGTGGGTAAGAGTAGGTTTGTGCTTCATGATCCATGTCAAATTTCTTCTCATTCCCGACCCTCGCCAAATTTCCCAATGCCTCCCTCCTATTCTTCGTTCACTTTCGTGCAAATCATCTGGATACTCCACATCCATTGTATCCATACCGGATCCTCTACCATCTTCTTCCATTCCACTAACCCCTTGCGGTTCTTCCTCTTCTTCTTCTTCCTTTCCCCGCAAGCTTGGTACAATAAGGACCTCTAATCGAGGACAACCCTCCACTGCGCCAGGTACTATCCAATCGCTCGAGCAAAAGAGATAGCGTAACGTGGAATGTCCTCTAAACTGTTGTGCTACCTTTGTCAGAAGGTAGGCGGCATCGATGGTGTCAATGTAACGAGACGGCTCAATGATGAGACGTTCGAGGCGGGGATACCCTGATAGAATCCTAGGCAGTGTATAATCCAAAACAGAAATTGTGGCCTCCAAGCTCAATGTCTATATCCGGAGATGAAAAATTAGCATTTGTTAAAAGGTAGTAGAGAACCGCTGTAAACGTGGAGATATCTTACACGAAGGTCCCGTAGAGCACCTCGCCAAGTACGACACACTTTTGCTAACCCTGGTATTTGCTCATGGAAGGAAAGAAACGAGAATATATGGCAGATAATTTCTATTGGCAGGTCTGCCACGACAAGACGACATCCTTCAGACATGGTGCTCTACTCGTTGCGCAGACAACGACAACAACCACGAGGAGGTTGAAAACAAGTTTTCCACAAAGAAGGTCCATATTGTCGCTATCTGAGGGGCCGGAAGTCATGATGGCTGTCTTTCCCAGTCGTTTTGCGAGCCCCTTATTCGCAGACCTTGTTTTTCCTTTTTTTTTTTTTTGTTTCTCGCACGTCAAACAAAAACACCCGACTACACACACCTTGTCAAGCGTCTGGGTTTAAGGAGCGCGTGCCCTTACCTAATCCCTAACGAACCGCAAGGATCCGCACCTGAGACAAAAGGGGGGATGACATCAAAATCACGTGGACAAGGTTTGCCGCTTTCTTTTCCAAGTTCAGCTTTTGCTTTTAAAACGATGAGCACTAGCAAACACCAATGAGATTATCGTAAAATGGATAGCCATTTTTTGCATGGGTGTGGCATTATTCGTTATTGTTTGTTAAAAAGAACAAGAGGAAAAAGACTCCACCGCAGATAAAAGTGTGGCCTTCAAGTTGCTTTTTGCAAAATAAAAGGAAATAAAACCACTTGCATTCAGCAATGGTGGTGGGCAAGGCAAAGGAGAGAAATTTCTCTTTAATTTCATATTGTTGGACAAAAGGAACATCTAGGTCGAACTTTGGAAAACTATACAGCCATGGAGAGAGAGTTTGCCGTAACTTTCGCCACGGAATAAAGGGTTTGCTTTTTTAATGAACTATTCCAACTGGACACTAGAAAGATTAGAGTAAGAAAGACATGACCTTCCTTCCGTTGTCGTTGGAAAAAGAGAGAAGAGGCTGTGGTCCTTTACGAGAAGTGCAAAGGACAAGGGCATCTCCTCTGCCAACTTAAAAGAGGGTTGTCCGTCGAGGTTTCCCCTTGTCCCCCATTCCTATAGACCTCCTGCCTACAATTTTATAGATCTATAGATCTCTCAGTTATGCCTCTTCTATCAAAGATTCTCCTTGCTTCAAGCTTGTTGCTTGGGGCGTCGACCTCGGTCTTGGGACAGAGCATTACAGATTTCCTAGAGTTTGATCCTCCACTCCTCTCCATTGCCGACGTCAAGATTGCAACAGAGTTCAAATGCCGACTCAAGAGTCCCCCAAAGGACAAGGCCACCATCATCTGGGACACACCTGGCATGAAATCAAGCAACTGCACGACCGAATACAATTCCAACGACTGGAATACCTGGAAAGGCATCACGCTCTTCCCCATCAACCAGTATACAAAGATCGGCGAGCTTACGTACAACCTTCTCGGGCGGTGTAATGCACCTGGATCCGTATACCACGGTGGAGAGGCCAAATACCCAGTCAAGAGAGAGTACAAAAAGGCAGTTACCTGTACGACTGTTGGCGATCCCCACTACAAGACCTTTGGTGGAATTCGCTATGACTGTAAGTTGTTGTTCACTTTTATCTGGGATTTCAAATCTTGACATCTAACACTCTTGGACCTATCTATACAGACCATTCTCAGGGTACTCACTACCTCGTCAAACATGACATGTTGACTATCCAAACAACCCAATTTTACTGCAGCCCAGGCGTCGGCTGCAATAATGGAGTCGCCATTCGCTATGGTGAAGCAGTAGTTGTCATCACCACCGAGCAGAAAGGCAATAAGGCGGCCATGATTCTCCGCCAAGCATCCGCTGCTATTCAAGGCCTGAAGATTACGGCTGGAGCGGATTTGCGCCATTACGTTATCGAAATTGCCGAAGATGGCTCCCAGATTGAATTGAATTCCAACGTTTTCAACACTTTCAACTATGTTGATGTGACGGTTCGTCTCGGCGGTCCTTACTACAAACAAGTCGGAGGTCTCTGTAACGTTTACGAAGACGGTGACGATACGGATTTGGTATGTGCAGATGGCACCAAGACCAAGAAGGGCAGCGTATTTGGTGACACTTGGAAAGTCCCTCCCGAAGATGACATTTTCGTCTGCGGTGCCAACTGTGCGCATAAGGGAAAACCTCCCGTTTACAATGGTGGTAATGCGTGCACTGCTCAACCCATTCCGCCGGTCGCCACTCAAGTTTCGACTGTTGTAATTCCTACGGTTATTACGAACACTATCACCTCCACGGCCGTTGAAACCGCTCCGGCCACGACCACGACGGTGGCAGCTACTGAAATTGCTTCGTCCTCTGGTCCTGCCACCACTGCGCCAGCCACGACCACCGCTGGGGATTCTGCCTCCACCACCGTTGCGGCTTCTGCTACCACCATTGTCGTCAGTAGCGTTGTGTACCAAACTACACAAATTACTCAAGAGGTCACTGTTACAGCTGCTCCGTCGACTGCCTACACGACAGCAACCTCAACGGTTACGGATACGTACTACACAACCATCACCGCACTTCCGACATACACTCCTATTACGCAGACAGTTACTGCCACCGCTACGGTCACGGCCACCCCGGCCCAACCAAGCAACGGTGGCGACAATGAGCCCATCTACATGCCTGGCGAAACTCCCACGGTCCCTCGTCCCCCGACCTGCCCTGAACAATTCTATAATCAGGCTGTTGATTACTGTACAAAACTCTTCAACGTTCCCGGCTGCGAGTCTCAAGTCGATCACCCCTTCTACATCATGTCTTGTGTCAAGGACGCTGTTCGCACAGGTTCTTTCATCTTCTCAGAGGGCATCAAAGCACAAATGTTGGGCAATTGCCGTGCCAAAACTGACGCTCAAAAGTGCTCTGCCGACCCTGCGGAACAAAAAGAAGGTGACAAGGTTCAAAAGGAAAACGGCTTGGGAACCAATTCTTGCCCCAGTGGGTGCGGCCAGAACGGAGTCTGCACTCCTAACGGGTGCATGTGCAAACCGGGTTACTCTGGATTGACATGCCAGGAAGACGCGGGTAGTTTGCCTACCTATAATGCCGGCCCTGTTACAAATGAAGACGGTGATACTGTTGATAAGAAGCCTGACTACAAACCCCTTCCTCTCCCCGAGGACGCAGAAGTTATTACGCAGCCTACCATCGGTAACAACACCTCGACCCCTGATCAGAACCCGACTGGCAACATACCAATCATCTCCAGTGCCATGCATTCTTCCGTTGGAGGATTTAGCGCCGTATTGGTTGCTTTGGTTGCCAGTTTTGTTTTCTGAGCACTAGATAGTGGATTAGAACGTCTCTTTCTCTTAGAATTCCCCGGCTTCGGCCTTGTCATTTTTCTTGTCATTTTGTAAATCTAGACACATATGTGAAAATCAATGAATTAGCTTTTGTACACACAAAGGGTCAAGTGCATGAAGTCCCATGTATCACAATAGATTTGTATGCACTCAGTCCATATCGTGCAATAGCTCATTGAAAAAGGGAAACGTAGCTGGTTCGGTGTCATTATGGCCTTGCTCAACACGTGACAGATACATGCACAAGGTGGGAAGGAAACTTAATGTATATGAACTGTCAATTGATTGTAATTCTATAATGCCGTAAAACTCTAAAAAACATTCTTTTTCACTCGCAAAATATGGGGTTGAACTGTTGAACTAGGCTCAACCCGATTTGATCTGGTCGACCTGCAATCCAGACGTCCGCGCTGTCGTCACATCTCGGTCTCTAACCCCTCGTGCAGGAGATTGTGAAGCTCCCGAGCTTAATCCCCCGCTATTTATGAGATAAACCCATTCCTCGCACTCTGCTATTGTTGCACCTGATGAAGAATTTACAAAGTAAATACGTGATGACAATAGCGAATAGGTATCATCAGTGTATACCTTGAACTTTCATCATCACATTTCCCCATCTTATCTCGAACCGACAATGGCGGAGGTCATGTGGGTCAGGATCTTCTGGGACCAACAGCCGAGCTTTAACGTCCTTGAGTCGTATGAGTAGTCCTACCGTGTTCTAGAAACAGACATAAACGCCGTTAATGAATGAGTATGTTCAGAATGTATACTAGAAAACAGATTAACCTGTACCTCTGCATTGGTCTCTATCAAGCTTAAAACCTTTTCAGAACCAAGTGCCAAGGTCATAGTTTGTTGTTTCCACACAGCACCCATTTTCCCCACGTGCTTCATCGGGAAGCTAGCTTGCCGAATTTGTGCGGTCATCAGCGAGGCATTTGCCGACCGAGGGGTGCCAGAATTTAGACTTGGGAAGATACTTGGCATGCTTCTGAGGCCTATGCTGCCATCCTCGCTGCTGATGATATCAGAGGCATACCCTGTTTCCTTTGCGATCAACACAGCCAAAAGTCGTCCGACGAGTGAAATGTATGCCACAGTCGCTGCAAAAAACACTGCAGCATTCCGGACAGCAAATCGCGTCGGTTCCGACATGGTGTTGCCGCCAATGTATGTGACTGCTAGAGCTGCTAGACCGCATAGAATGATGTTATATACACTGAGGCCGATCCACTTTGATTCGTTAAAGGCAGAGTAAACATTGCGAGTACGGATAGCTGCACAAATGGTAAGTTGGATTGAACGTGTGGTAAGAGTGGACAAGAAACTTACCAAGGTAAGTGCATACAATCAGCAAAATACCGCAGTAGGCATATATTATGTAGGTTAGGCCATTCTGAATGTCCGTATTTGTCGCTGTGCAAACAAAACTAGTCGTTTCCGTTTTCCGATCAATTATCCTGATGGGACGAAGGGGCGACGCGGCTGTCATGATACCCAACAAAATCTGAAATGTAAACTCCAACTATGAATGCAAGATCAGCGCAATAGAGGGATCATTATACTACGCACCACTTGCACGCTCACAATACCCGAGAAGATGTAGAGAAGACGTCCATCCCGAATGGGCCGCTTGGCCATTTGAACGTTTTCAAAGATCCTAAAGATACGCCACTGTTTGACGAATACCGAAGCCTAATTCCGATATGAATATACGACTATCGGCCAATAATGCGACGTATCAGAAACTCACCAGAGCAGTCGCGAATCCAATTCCCAATAGCCAAGGGTACAGGTTGCACGTAAATGTAGACTTCCAACCAACATCCGCCAGCTCACTGCCAAATACCAAAGCAAGCCCGAAAGAGATGATCCCACAAAAGACTGGACTGACAGGCTTCAAGATGGAACTCTTCCGGAAGGTCAAGGAAAGGACAATGGAGACGATACACACTATTATCATGACGCCGAAAATTGCACTGATGGCGATGCCCATGGGTGATGTCCATTCGACAACATTCAGCTTAAAGGACGGAGTGTCTAGTGGGACGACGGTTGATCCAGAATGGAATTTGATGACGGGTTGAGGAGGGTCAAATGTTTTGCCACGGCGAATGACTGCCACTTGTGTCGCGGTATTTCCGTCGAAACTGTGGAGGGCATAATCACTATGTAACCAAGAGAGTGTGTTTTAGAATATCTAGATGCAATTCAGCACACGTTGCATAACCGCCTTACCCATCCCGATCTCCATCTTTGTCAAATACGACAGTCCCGGTCATGCCAGTAAAGTTCACGCGGGTGAACTGAGTAATATTAAATGGCGGGACAGTGTTTGCTGCCAAGTTGGCAAGAGAGACGCCTTCGCTCAACATTTTAGTGTGTGCTGCTGCAAGTGCCAGAACCTTTGTATGCAGGTTGCGTTAGAAGAAAGAAAACCTGGCATAGAAAGGAGAGTTTAGGCAACTTACACAATCATAATAAAACAAGTCGTAAGGGTTTTCCCGGTTGCCAGCCTGCAATATATAATACAGCACATAAGCTGAGGTTGCAATGTCAATAAAAATCAGACCTCCTCTGACGTACATTTCGATACTGAGTATATTTTGGTCCGGCGCCCTCTTGAGGGTATACAGCCAAAGCACCTTTGAAAAGGCGCTTGTCATTTGATTTGACTTCGGTAAAGACAGGGAAAAACTAGGTAATCCAAACCACGGTAAGCCAATGAATATGTTCTGCATCCGCAGATCAGGGATGGAGAACCATACTATACTTACTGCATCGGACAGGATCCACACATAATCGTCTCCAATTAAACCGAGGTTGTCGGCTTCTTTCATGACATTGACAAAACGTGTGAAATCCGCCCCGATGGCCACAATAATGCGAACTCCAGATTCTTTCAAAGACTGGAGTTGATTGGAGACTTGTATCTGATCCCCAGGCACGTACGATCTTTACAGAACATGATTAATATCGGCAATTTCTAAGCAGAATTCGATCATCTGGACTTACAGGCGTGTGTCGATACTGATGCCCGCATTCTGTTCCCTGATCGCCGCCAAAAGCGCGTCTCCAACGCCTTGGCCATACGAAGTGGCCTCACTGATGATCCCTGCGCGCATCCATCCCATTTTCCACATGAGCGAAACCATAGCAGCGCCCTGAGCATTGTCACTAGGAAGCGTTCGAAAGAAGGTTGCAAATTCGCTTTTGTTGGAAAGCGAGGGCGATGTCGAAGCCCCCGAGCAGACAGGTATCAGTTTCGTTTCGGTTGCAAGGACAAGAGGCTGCCCAGTAGACCGGCAACGTCAGTACCACCGCTCTTAGACAAAACAGTTGACCGATCTCAACTTACCTCAGTGATACCAGAATCTGCCTCGCCTTTTTTCATGGGGGAGCACAAAGCAGTCAATATTTCCACCCCGACATTTCAGTACTCAGGGCATTGTGAACCTACCAACTATCGCATTAACACCCTCTGCTATGGCTCTCAATCCCTCTGCCACGACGACTCGTGGACTTGCTTTGGAATCGTAGAACCGAAGGCTTAGTGTCGCATTGGACAACAGGGTAGGATTGGCATTCACATCGGCGACGGCGAGGTTCAGGGCGTTTGTAAACGAACCGATTGATGGGTCAGTGGACGAAAGGACCACTCCATATGTGATGGTAGTCTGGCCGTACGCTAAAGGGACAATGTCCAAGGAAGCTGCCCAGAGTACTAGGGCAATAAAATGAATGCACAAGGGCATTGTGGGATGATATCCCATCGGAACAAACTAAGGTAGGGTTTTCTCTCTTCAATACGGGCTTTGGGCGGGCTTTGGGATGGAACTAGTGACTAGCGGCATTCATATTTTTACTCAACCTTCTTTCAAATGTTATGGGCTTATGTATTCCAAAACAACAACAGACATATGAATGATTGACAAGATTTTGAGGGTGTGCTTAAAAAAGAACCCAAACAAAAGAAAAGAATTCCAGTTGACAAACTTGGAGATAACAAAGTCACACCTTTTTTTTACCATTTGCTTTGAGGCCAAAACCCATCTCCCTTTGACAAGATTTCAAATTTAGGCCCTTTGGTGGACACGCAATTTGTAACAAGCACACAGACCAACTCACGAGAGTTGAACGCCTCCTACTGGAAGGACACAGGTTCCAAACTCGCTAAAAACCCAAAGTAAAACAGGCGCCATTTTAATTACCGATCGGAACCAATGACTTTACATTAGCTCCGAGGGTCCGGAAAGGCGGATTCAGTGTTGTGGACCAATTCATTCCACTATCAAGCCACATGGCCCCTGTTTTCTAGAGTCCATTGGAACGGGGTACGGACAGGTACAGCTTACATTTGCCAAGGTGGCTTGCGCACAATATAGTGTATGCTTAGCCTGGTACCAGATTACCGGATATCTCACAAAAATAATCATGTAGGCCGTCTGCGGCACCCACATCATAGCCACAACTGTTTAGTTTAATACGGGCTGTTTGCTGAGAGTCAGGTTTCTTATTGTTCTAAACTGCATTTAGCAGGTATTTTATGGCTGAGTGCGAGTACAGGCGTTAGTCCTACATAACTGCACCAGTAGATTTGCCACCATGGGGGCCAGAATCTAAAAAAAAACTAGATTTAGGGATATCTACGGATCTGCACGTTATCTACAATAATCAGGACTCATTTCCATTCACTGGGTAAATGTCGGAAGACCAAAGGGAGACGTCGGACCACGGCATGGTACCATCTAGCCCTCATGCTCTTTCCATCGTTCTGCCACGGAAACCCGTCGCGCCTCAAAGTCCTTCCACTGACGTGCGAATGATTCTACCCAAGAAGTTCTCTCTAGCAGACGCTGTTCAATTTCAGTCCGAATGTGTCTGATTTCTTCGCTCATGTCTCCTTCGCTGGCGTCTCTGTCTGACGCCTCCCATGCAGCGCGTGTCAGAGTAGACAAGTGAGCTATTCTATCCGCCTTTTCACGCCTCCAACGGACTTGCTCTTGCATGGTGGCTTCGGCGGCGCGGAGCTTATCCTCTAGAGGTCTTTTGATGGTGACGTCGCCCGATGACGAACCACCGGTACCAGCCGATTTATTAACCGCAGTTTCTGTCAATGGTTTTCGTTTGGCTAAGGCTTGTCGAACCTCCATGAGCGCAGATCCCATTTTGTCCCTGGAATGTTTTTCATCTACAATCTGACGGCGAATGCTCTCTAATGCATCTCTCGCTTCAGCATTAGCAAGTCGCTGTTGTTGGATTCGGGAAAGCAATGTAGTAGCGTGACCAAGGGCATTTATCACGTCTGCCTGCAGACTGGTAAAAGTAGAGAGGAGAGAGTGGTGTTCAGCTTGGATGGCATGGAGATGCGTTTCTGTGACCGAATATGTCTGAACTGCAGTTTGAATCTGATATGTAAGCTGGGCGATTGTCGAGTTGGTGCTGGAAGCGGACGTTGTAGTCATTGAATCCGCAGTCACAGTTGATTCTCGCAGTTGAGCTTGAATCAAGGCCATGTCCAACACATCAATCTCAAGGGCGGGAGGCTCTGATTTCTTGGGTGCTTGAGTAATATACGCGTCGGCAGTAAGATTCTTGCTTCCCTCCAGGTCTGCATTCTCTCCTGCGACAGATCGTGTGATGTGAACTTCCACATAGCCCGCTGCCCCTTCAGTGGCTCTATCACCGTCGACGTCATCATCCTGGTGCAGGGACTGCTGAGCAACTGCATTGATGTCTTCATGTCGCTTATTACTGTGTGCTGTTCTTGGATCCATCTGTTCAATGGAGTCTTCGTCGCTGGAATTTTGATTTCTGCATAGTGTTGGTTGCTTATCTTGCTTTTCTACTACTTGATCATTTTGCGAAGCGTCGTTCTCAACCAAAAGCGGTGCCGGACCGCTGTTACTTTGCGGAACTAAATCCAATCCGTCGCCAACCTGTCTGTTCGAGACCTGCTCCACTGACGGGATACCATGTCCTGTGCTACAGGTCTTTGATGACGCCAGCAAGCCTTCGACATCGTCATTTGTGTCTAGCCTATCCTTGGGACCTCCTATCACAGTAGGTGCCACTATTACAAGTCCATGGTTGACCTGGGTTGGCTCCCCTCTCTCCGAATGACTGCTCAGCGGAGAGGCGGACTCTCCTGCCTTTGCTTCGACCTCATGTGGCCTAGATCCAGTCACTGCAATACGGGCTGGTCGATTTTCATGGATTACCAGCTCTTCTGCATCTTCGCCCGTCTGCAGTTCTGCATCACCCTCCGTCAGCCCGCTGTCGTCGGTCATTGCTATAATGCGGGTCATTACTGGCTCGTGGGAGTCTGGAACTATCTCTGAACTATTGAGTTCCTGATTGGTATGACGGATGGCAAAGGTGTCCATGCCATGTGCGTCGTTTTGGCTCGCATCTTCTGACGTAGAGCTAGGCTCGTTCTCGCTCTCATTGATGTCCAGGGCGTCACTGCGGCCACCTTCAAGCTTTTCTTGGTTCGCTCCTTTCTCCATCTGCGAATCTGCGATATTTACAATGTTGTTCATATCGTCTATATCTTGGCAGTTTTCACAGGAATTGTCTTCTAGATGTTTATCGCTACTCTGTTGTGTTTCTTCATGATGAGCTGGCATCTGGAGCTCAGAAGTCAACGGGATAGTCATCGAAGTGGTTATGATTGAGGACTCCACCGCTTTTTCTTGGTCAGAGATCGAATGCAGCGGCTCCCCCACGTTATCCTGTCCAAGATCTTGCGGGTAATCTGGTCCGACTCCAGTGTCAATGATATCTTCACAAGTTTCTTGTCCGTCTATATAATTGCCCATATCGCCACTCTTATCATCTGAATTCAAACGGGAAGCAGAATGTGCTTCCAGGTCATTTCCAACGGGATGATCCTCTTCGTCGGCTAATGAGGATTCGTCAAATTCATGATTCTCATCGTTTGTAATAGATGAACTACGATCCTCGTCATCGACATCGCCATCATCTGTGCAAGACTCTTGACCTTCTGGTGCCACATCAGCGCATTTTATGTCAGCCTCACTCAGGTCTTTCAAGCTAACACTTTCACTATTTTCAGAGAGGTCGCTCATAGAGCTCGCTAGCCGATCCATACTTTCGCTAGAATGTGCACGTGGATTCCCTTGATTCAACGAGCTACTATCGCTTTGAAACGCACTCGAGAGCATTTGGTCCTCATCGTCTGCTTTGTTCCCGTCCATCTCACTCTCTGAGGTGAAATGTTCACCATCAGTCTCAGTAGTCGCATCTTCATGTAAATGGTGTACTCTGAACCTGTCATGATCATTCTCATCGTCCTGTTCACTGGAAGTTTGTTCTAATTCATCATCCTCAACATCTTGACTGTCACTGGATGGTTCGCTTTCTTCAAGCCCTTCCCCCATATCCTCGACCTCTACGTCCTCTTCGACTTGCCACTCATCGTCCTCGTCCTCAGCTTCTTCCAACTCCAGTGCACGATGTCGTTCCAAGAAAAGAAGTTCTCTAGAATCTACTATCCGAAGCAGTTTCGGTGCCGGGACGTCAAGGTCTGATGTATCTTCAATGCCGGTCTCTTCTTCCTGATTTGCATCTGCAGATTTAAACTCTTTCGGAACTGTATCTTTTATCTTGTCCTCATCCTCGTCCTCGTCTATGCCATCCTCGTGTTCGCCCATTGCTTTGTCGTCAAAGTCTATATCACGACTATTCTCCTCATGGGTATATCGCTCGTGCCCTTTGTCATCCCAGCCAACTTTCGCTCTACTGTGCATCTCATGTTCATTTTGATGACCATCTCGACTCGTTCCCTCTGGGCCGCCGTGCTTGCCATGTCTTCTTCCAGATCCTTGGTCATCTAAAACATCGGCATCGTCAATGACAGAGACGGATTCATTGGAGTCACCCAGCTCCACGCGATGCGAATCCATTAAATGTATAATATAAATAGATGGCAAGTGTGTGTTCAGACGGCGAAACTCTAGACTAAAAGAAAGCCACAGACCACCATGTTGACCTGAGTTAACCTGAAATGCTTAGTCATCAGATCCACGTGGCTAAGGATCAAGCCTCTCCGTGGGTGGCAGGAGAGCCCGCCGTTTACTGAAAAGGGTGCAGGACAAAATGTCAGGATATTTATTGCGAACCTTTAAATAACCCCTATAATAGGCATTTTGATAGGTGCTTTCACCTTTTGCACGGTGTTGTTTACCTTCCACACAGTACAAACAGCGTAATAGTGTGTTTACTCCACTATTGTGCTCTTTTGTCCTGAAAGAACGGACGAACGAGATCTGAACAAAAAACAACGGGCAGCAATCTAATAGCAAATCTGCAAATTTATATTCTGTTAAGCTTCACGCACTTACACAATAGCGAGTAGCGGATAGACGCAGCGGAAGCCATTTGTGTAGTACACGGCATCCCACCATTCTCTCAGTCTTGAAGCAATGAATGCATTACTGGCACCCATTCCTTCCATACTGAGAGAATGGTGGGATGCCGTGCAGTAGACAAATGGCTTCCGCTGCGTCTATCCCTCAGTATAGGATCAATGAACTGCGCCTCGAATCCCAGCCCTAGTAATCTCGACAACCACTAGGCCAACTTAGTCAAGTTATAGGGGGGCGGAGTGCGAAATGTCAGTCTGGCATGCATAAAAGGGAAGAGCTCCGAGCGTCGTCGTTGTGGTATAAGCGAAGGTGAATAAAGCAGTGACCAAGGATATGTTAGATGCGGTTCATAGCACTATCAGCACGATATATGAAAAAACCTGTAATATATTAATCATAGAATATGCATGACATGACAATAATGTGTAAGTTACAAACTAAACATTCTGGACTTCAAAGCCCATTCCCGCCTTCCTCAACCTCTCAACAAGCACCATTCCCATGGAGCTAGCAGCTGTCACCACACCGCCGTTGACCTTGCCAGCAAAGGACCCTGCTTCTTTTGTGCTAAGACGGTCACGGTCGAGAGCCAAGCAGAGGGCTGATTCGGAGAGCATTTTAGAGGTTTCGCCATATCCAGGGTCTTGGACTCCAGTAACCGTGGCAATGGCCTTTAGAGGCTTCTCTTCATTGGCCTAATAATTTCAAAAATGAGCAAGCAGACGTGCAAACTCCACCCGTTCGTCATCCACACACCTCTTTGACAGCCTCTCCAACAAGCTTAACTCGGAAGAACCCTTCCTCAATTTCCTTGCGAGTCGGACCAGTTCCCGCTGGAATAAACTTGTTGGCAGCCCACTTGGCAGCCCATTGGAAAGGAGGAACGACCATCATTGTTCCGGCAACGGCAGACCCAACGCTGATTGCCGATGCTGACAAGAAACCGGGTTGCCCATGTGTCTCGGTGTACCTGAGATCAGGTCCGTAGGCAAGACCCAGAAGAGCATTAGAGCGACGAACGTTACGGGTGTTGATGGCTTCCATGACGAAATAAGTCTGCCACTTTTTGAGATCACGGTCGTAACCGAAAAAGGATGGGATGGAACTGTCAGGTCCTTTGGGTGCTGTAACGGTAATAGACTTAATTCAACGACCATCAATCGGAGGGGATGTGCACATGTTCAACTCACCATCTCTGGGGTTCAAGTAATAAGGATCCAACATTTTCCATTGTTCCTTATACGAGGTTTCGGTCAGAACCCCCATGAGAGAAGCAACCGTTCCCCCAGATGGACCGCCCTTCAAAGCATCAACACTCATCCGCACGCTGGCGGTCTTCTTCCCTTGTTTGGCAAAGTGGTCGGCAACGCTACAAAGTGTAGAGTTGGTCAGATTTCATCTCTGACTGCTGCCAAATTCCTGACTCACAGGAGCGTTCCCAAATCCGAAGGTAGGGAGTCGAAACCACAGCTGGGCACGATAAAGGTGCCATTCTTGACAGCTTCATCGTGGTATTTATCAATGATTTCGCGGATGAATGGCGGTTCTCCGGTAATGTCGACATAGTCGGTTTGGTTGCGCACACAGGCACCGACTAGAAAGACCTATGAGACTTACATCCGTATATACACAATGCCAAAGAACATACCTAGTGGAATTCCGTACTTGAGGAACGGTCCGACAGTGGAAATAATGACGCGAGTTTGAGAAACCAATTTGTCAAGAGATGCTTCGTCGCCAGAGTCGGCGATAATAAGAGGAATGTTCTGTCAAGAAATAGGACTTAGCGGCAGAACTCTTACATCCATCGAAACATGGTGCTTCAATCACTGTACCTTCCTCTCTGGTGCTAGTTTGGCAACTTTGTTCCTGACATCTTCTAGCTTTTTTTGGCTACGACCGGCAATCGCAAATTTGACGTTCTGAAGACCGTAGTGGATGCGTTAAAAGATCCTGTCACCTAGGTTACTCTACTGACGTACACGTACCTTTGGTGCATGCTGAGCGAGATACTCTGCGACAAGCGATCCTGTGAAACCAGTAGCGCCCCTATAATACAACAGAGCGTTAAATTCTAAGGCATCCCAAGAAATAGATACGATGGACCATACTACATACCACACTAATCCGATCATAAAGGGCCAGAATAAATGGCAGATGTGGTCAGAAGTCATGTCCACAGTGAAGCCTTCTGCATGAGACATGCATACCTATAATGTGATATGGCCTGTCGGGGTTCTTGGACTTGGACATGTCAATAGTGAAGAGGTCTTAACGTCTGGAAAAAGTCAAAGTCAGCCATGTCCATCGCACAGCAGGACAGCAAACACAGTATGTTATTTACGTACTAGTTTGTTGGTGGGAGATGGAATGCTTGGACCAAATGGAGAAACAAAATGAGCAAAGAGCAAGCGCAATCCTTTTTTTAAGCTCACCTCAAGGCTCCATGGCTCGTGGGCATGAGCGTCACACATATCCCTTTTTCGGTAATGAATCCAAACCGTCGGGTAAACTTCGGGTCCTGGCACGTGCCAACAGATGATTCGCAGATCCGCGCATTTGGGTAAGCGGACTTGGAAGACTTGAGCGTCAGTCGTTGCGACCGCGGCCGACGGCAGGCGGGGACGACACAGACGGTAAACGAGAGACGGGTCGGGAATATGGGCCTACATGTGGTCGTGTAAACAAGTGTGATATGTCCCGACGATGTGGGTTCCTCCGATGTCAAATCAGGTCAAATCAGGCTTATTTTCACGTGATTCCGTTCAGGACGACGGGGCATCTAGAGGCCCGAAGTGTTTTGGCCAGCGTGTCGTTCGCGCGATGGAGCTGGAAGAAGACAACGGTTCATCTCCTCGGGGCGTCCCCGAGTCGATTGAACGTGTCGAACTGCTGGAGGTTCCGCCAAAAGTATTTGAAAGCCCGCTGCGACGATCTGCAGAGATCAAAATGCGCCAAGTCTTCATCGGGCTGTGTCCAGTGGAAAGTCAAGGATGGCTCCCATATGTTTATAAGAAAACCCGACGGCCCTATGTTTTGGTCGCTTGGGAAGAAGAGCTGACGCGATATGATTATGAACCGGATGAAGTTGAAGTTGTATGTCAAAACCGTGGGAATACCACAATTCCAGATCGTGATTGACCGTCCTTGTCTCGACATAAGGGCCCAGACGAAGATTTGACGATTGAACGCGAACCTGGCCAGTCCACTGAGGAACTGTTGAATAGGTGGAAAATAACCCATTCGAAACACGACATTGTGGAAATGGGCCGTACCACGCGCAATATGTACGATGTGAGAGCCTTTTTCGTACAATGGAGGCGAGAGCACAGTAGTAGACCGGCAACGTATCCATACTGGGAACCATATGGGGTCCGGCTAACGAAGTTCATCAACGAGTTGGTCGACTTTCTGGTTACAGATGACCCGGCGTGGAGACTTCCTGTCCCAATTCGTCAGGGAGGCCAAAAGATATATGTCCCAGTATACCAGGTGGGAACGAGGATGTGACCGACCAGGGGACTACCGCTAATTACCTCTGATCATAGAATTTTGACAGCCCGCTCAAATACGTTCGGTGGTATCGACAGCAACGGAAGCAGAAACGGCGCGATTCTGGCCCCCCAAAAGTTATCGATATTGGCGAAGAGAAATTAAAGCGGCCGTATTCAGCAAAGATACGATATGATGGACGACTAGATATCGACATAAGTCCGAAATCTGCTGACAATACCGACGATTCCGATGACGACGAAGATCCCCACTCACGATCTTCATCTATACCACATCCTGCCGAAGGCACGTCAAACGGAGCGAAAACTGAAGAAGACGTAGTTGTTCCCTACATGAACATATTAATTTTGATTGTTGGCAGTCGCGGTGACGTGCAGCCTTTTGTTGCTCTTGGAAAAGAGCTCAAAGCTTTCGGCCATCGAGTTCGGCTGGCCACACATGACACCTTCAAGCAGTTTGTGCGCAACGCGGGTTTAGAATTCTTTCCGCTAGCCGGAGATCCGGCGGAGTTGATGGCATATATGGTGAGAAGTAAGTATACTGGACGTGTTGTATACCATATTCCATTATTCACATTTTGGGTTGTTCTCAGATCCGGGTCTACTTCCGGGAATAGCCAGTATCATGGCTGGTGACGTTGGAAAGAAGCGTCGAATGATCACGGAAATCCTAGCATCAACTTGGGAGGCATGCAATGCTCCCGATGTCGAAACCGACACTCCCTTCATTCCTGACGCTATCATATCCAACCCTGTTACATTCGGGCACATCCACTGCGCGGAAAGGCTCGAAATCCCACTTCACATGTTCTTTACCATGCCATGGAGCCCAACCAAGGCGTTTCCTCACCCTCTTACAAACGTAACCTACGGAAAGGCACCAAGACCAACTGTTAATATGTTTTCATACTATTTGACAGAGTTGCTCACTTGGCAAGGGTTAGGGGATCTTATTAATGATTTCAGGATCAAAACTCTGAAGCTCCCTGCACTTTCAACGTCCGTCGCACCAAATCTGATCAGTGGCTTGAAGGTTCCATTTACGTATTGTTGGACACCGAGCTTGATTCCAAAGCCGCCAGATTGGGGATCGCATATCGGTAACTATATGCGCAATATAGGAGGGTCTGCGATACAATATCTAATTTGTCCAATTATTTCAGACATCGCGGGATTCTTTTTCCTTGATTTGGCCACGAACTATACACCACCAACCGATCTTGCTGCCTTCCTAGCGGCTGGACCCCCACCAGTTTACATTGGATTTGGCAGCATTGTGGTCGATTATCCTGACAAGTTGACTTCCCTCATTTTTTCGGCTGTGGAAAAGGCTGGCGTCAGGGCTGTGGTTTCGAAGGGCTGGGGAGGTATAGGGGGAGGTGCTGTGCCAGAGTCTGTTCTTTTGATTGACAACGTCCCACACGATTGGCTCTTCGAGCACTGTGCTGCCGTATGCCATCACGGCGGAGCAGGAACGACGGCTGCAGGACTTCGAGCTGGTAAACCTACCATTATTGTACCCTTTTTCGGCGATCAACCGTTTTGGGGAGCTATGGTGGCGAATCAAGGCGTCGGCCCGTCACCTATTCCTTTCAAGCGACTGACAGTAAGGAAACTCGTTGAAGCTCTCAACTTTACCAAGTTACCTCCAACTCGGCAACGTGCTAGCGACTTGGGAGCACGTATGCGCGCAGAAAATGGTGTCAAAGAAGGTGTTCGATCATTCCACCGACATCTTCCTCTTAACGACATGCGATGCGATATTCAGCCCGAAGCGATGGCTACGCTTTGGTGTCAGAAGCGCCACTTGAAATTATCGGCAAGCGTGGCGGAGATCTTGATCGCAGCCGGCAAGATTGAGCGTAAAGATTTGGAAAAGTACAGCACGAAATACTGGGATTTCAAAAAGATTGGGCATGACGATCGGACCCAACAAGCTGTAGACGAGTCGCAAATCCTCTCTGACGCGTCCATTAGCGGTACCTTTCCAGAATCGGGCGTTTGGAGATGGCATGATGGTAAGGTGACAGAGGATGGGCTCCCAGATAATCAGCTTCCCCCCGTCAAAGGTATGGACGCTGAGAGTCTTATTTCGCGCTAGCAGCTATTTTTTTCTGATCCTTTTCCTTACACTTGTTGATTCTGCAGGTGCTGGAAAGTGCAGAGTCGCTGAGTACTCGCATTCATTACCAACCACTCGTCCTGGAACCGAGCAACATTCGCGATACAGTCCTGTGGAAAGCCTGCACAACATAAAAGATGCCATACGCGGCGCATGGGGACGTTCTGGACGAAGGTCCCCACGTCCCCATGCCAGTCCTACAGAGTCTCCAACTGGGAAAACCCCCGTGCAAATGCGCACCATGCAATGGGATGGTACTGGAATTCCTCGGACCGCATCTTCCCCCGCGGCATCCGCGACTGGTGAACTTGTAGCGCCAACCTCACCCAACATGGTCCGCGTCTTGTCCAGTTCCTCGCCAACGTCTGATGCTCAGCAAAGCGCTCGCAATCAAGTGCTGCCAATTGATTCGAAACCACCCACGAAGCGAACTGTCCGAGTGTCACGAGTTTTGGCTGGTGAACAACCTGTGCCAATTTCAAGCAAAAACATCACTGTCAAGGAGGGTAATCTCCCTCTTCGCGCAAATATGACCAAACCCCTCCCACCCGTTCCTTCAGCTCCCGTGATTAGCATCAGCGACGAATCCATCGATACGTATCCTGAAGGCCGTCGCTCCTGGGATCAATTGAAGCCCATTCAGTCTATAGCCGAAGAAGGTACCTATGAAACTAGCCAGGATCCCCTCGGCACGCCGATGCAATCGACACTGAGCGTCAGTGAACCCGAGTTGAGTAGATCCAGGTCCCATTCTACACCTGTTAACAGCAGAGGTGGCGAGGTTCTGGACACGAGAGCAACTGGGATGCCCCGCTCGCGAACCATGGCCGGCATAAATGGTCGAATCGCAAGTGCTACGGCACACCCGGCGCATGTGAAGGGGGCACTGGCGTTCCGCATGCCGCCATTACCTGTTGAGGAGGTTGCTGAGACACATCAGGTAGAGGCATCGGAAAAGCCGAAACAGAACGTGGAGACGACTGTACTGGACGGGGCGGTTGCAGTTGAGATTATACGGAGGTTTAATGAGCTGTGTGGAGAGTAGATATGGTTAATCTGTAACATTGCTGGTTTATACAAATCTTGTAGCATAGGTTTTGGTTGTACATGAATAATATCCAATGCGTTTAGAGTGGTGGAACCCGTCCTCGATGCAGGACTTTATCGTTACACATCAGGATGAGGTAATATCAGTCTTTTTATACAAATAGTGACTACAAACAGACTACGGTACAACTATGCATAATAAGATTAACGATTATTCACTATACGTAATGTGCAGCGTCTATACCTGAAAACACCGAATGATCTGCCGAGCCGGCAGCTGTCTAAAACACCAAAGCAACCAATCCAGCCGACATGCTAATCAATCCCATAACCCAGTTGGCGGCGACATCACTGGCGGCAGAGTGCTGGCCCGCTGCAGCGGTTCCCCTTGGATCGGTAGGGGAAGGTGCGGTGGAAGAGGCAACTGTGGTGGTCGACGTTGAGGTGTTGGTGGGAGCGAGGCCAGCAAGAGTTGCAAAATCGGGGTAAGTAATGTCTTCAGCGTACGGCTTTGTAATGTTCATGCAGCTAGCAACAGGCATAAGGTGCTTGTAAGCGTTCTTGATTTCCGGGTAGTACTGCATAGCCAATCCCATAGTCCGCGAGTCAATTTCATGTTCGAGAACAATGACACCGGATTTGGACCATGTTCCGTTCTTGCCTTCGTTGATAAAGTTTTGAAAGTTTGTCGTGATTTGCGAGGCAGGAATGGCAATGTTCCAGTCGTCTGTGTCCCGATTCCAGATGGTGGCCGTGAGCTTCAATTGACTTGCGATCGCGCGCACACGGTCATCAATGTCTCCGAAAGGCTAGAGTCATGAGGAATTAGCAGTGAACGCCTTTTTTGCATTGGTGCCTTTATGACTTACAGGTCTCCAGTACAAGACAGTAACGCCGGTCACTTCTTTAATGATCTTTGTTGTATAGTACAATTCGGCAACAATCTCTTGGTTTGTCAAGCTCGTCATTGGTTTGTGGGACCAAGTATGACCGTTGATGTGATGGCCATCCGTGTACCCTCGCTTGGCTTCATTGGGCCAGTCCAAAACATTTGATCCAATATAGTACATACTAGCTTTTTGGTTATTTTGTTTTAGGAAATCGTAAAAGGCCGTATTTGTGCAGTTGGGGCCGTCATCGTAGGTTATTCCCCATGTTCCTGGTTCGGGACAGGCGACAATGTCAGCCAGGATATTGGGATGTTTCGGTGTCGTGCATTGCGTAGCGGTCCACCAGCAGTCTGGATCTGTCGCTGAATAACCGGTGGTAACAGCTGCCCCATCAGCAGTCCAGTTTTTTGGAGGAATGTTTGGGACTTTTGTCCAGTCTATTCCGTTATATACTGCTTGGAATTCGGGTGTATTCAGCACGCCATTGCTGGTAGCCGTTGTCCAGGGTGTGGGATACTTTGTCGCATCGATCCCGGAAGTGTAGGGAGTGCACTGTTGAGCAGCAGCAGATGAAGCTACGAGGAGAATCCCAGCCAAAGCTGTTATGGTGGAATGCATGATGCTAAAAACGAATATGCGTATGGAACAAGAAAAAAACGAAAACAAAATCTAAAAAAAAACTAGCTGTGGGGAAAACGAAAGCTGAAGGAATCCTTTTATATTCCCCTCCCACCCATTTGCCCTTTTTCAAATTCCAAGTATTTTTTTTTTTTTCCCACGGCCATTACAAGCAGAATCACTTCACTTTCTGTGTTCCATTTCATGCGGCTGAACACAAATGGAAGGCGCGCGTTTTCTCAGAAACTTCCAATCGAAAATGGCCGTTCTGTTGATTACTCAGCCATGGGGGAACACTTGCGGCCATCGTGTTCGAGTGTTTGGTTGAAGGTTGGTAGCTCATATGGCTGATATACATATGTGCCAGTATGCACTTTTTCATTCTTGTAAGCAACCAAGATCCTCGCGTAAATTAAGAAAAAAAAGCATTCTAGACTACCAACAAACCTATTCTAAAACCTATTCAAAAAAAACGTGCCTAATTTACAGTATATACATCCAAGAGGATCCCAAAAAATCACAGAGGAGTGCTATCTACAAAACAAGAGGTATCATCCCGCCGGGCAGAATCATGGAGGAGGGGATTTGAAGGAAAGTACATCTTATTCAAAGAGTCCGAGGAGACTCTTGACGTGCTGCATGCAAAGATAAAGGCATTAACAAAGATGATACCCAATTGCGAGCATAATGCAGTGGACAAACCTTGGCGACTTCATAACTACAAGTCCCAATCTTCTGCTTTACGGTCCTGTTGCCCTCTGATCTCAGCAACTCTTCACCCGTCTCTACAAGATTATCCACAGCCTCCTGCAGTACTTCCAAAATCACATCGCTTTGACTTCGTGTGTCGGAATCAAGCATGGGTCGGGTGCGCCCAGTCTCAAATATGATGTCGTCTACGGAGGACTTGATGGATTGAATGGTAGAGTTGGATGATTCGGGTGTTCCCGTTTTGAGAGAGGAGACGAGAGTTTGGATGAGCGAGACAATAGCGTCGGTTTCGTCTTCGATAAATATCTGATGGAAGGAAATGTTTCAGCGTTGACATCTATATCGGCAGCGACTCTCCATGTGCCATACCTTCAACTCGACAACTTCCAAAACCCTACTACCCCGCCTTCGTTTTTCCAGTCCATTAGTATCATCCCTATCATCATCCGGTCCGCCTTCCAGCAGCGCATCCCCACCAGCCCGCTTCATGATTGCTACTAAGTTCCGCACATCCTCATCAACTCTCTGCACTCCATCCTCGAGAACTCCAATATCATTTTTATTGTAAGAGGTCGCATGTTCCTTAGCGATGGCGACAAGATTCGCCAGTGCGTCCGAGACCTGCTCCCGCGCTGTCTCGAGATCTGTAAAGTCGTCTGTCGATTCTACTCGTGCTTCTAATCGCTCGGCGTCTTCGGTGATGCCCTTGATGCTTATAATGACAGACTTCATGGCTATCAAGACATTGGTTGGCGTGCTGCCCCTAAAGATGCATAACACAATCAGATTCCGATCCACAAAGCCACGCTACAATAACAAGTTACGTACCTGGCAGCAATCACCAATCTCTCTGCAGCATCCTGGTACGCCAATATTCGTGGATCCTCACCGTCATCTTCCGCACTAAAGAACAAGTCACCCTTGGCGGAGTCATTCCGCGTTCTTGGTGTAGAAGCCGTAACGCTCCCAGCTTCTCCACCCAATCGTTCCACCTCCTCCCGTAACTGTCGGATTGTTTCCGCATCTCGCTCCTTGTCTTCCTTTAGTCGCTGGTTCTTTTGGGAAAGTGTCTGAACATCCTCCAACAGCGAATTCACATCTTTTCGCAGGGCCTCCGCCGCCTGTTTCAATCAATGTACATAATTCAGCATTGCATGCCTCAGTTGTACAGACCCAAAAGTTTGTTTAATTTTACACAAACCTGTTCCTGCGCTTTTAATTCTTCTTGGATGGTTTCATAGTCTGTTAACAGCACATCGTACTTTTGCTTTATATCTCGTTTGGCCTTATCAAACAGTCACGAAGATTTAAAATAACGTCAAATTAATGGACATCTATGATTGCTTACCATTTTGGACATGGCCAGCTCGGCATTTAGCTTTTTTATCTCAGGCGACGGTGCTTGTCCGCTCTATAATTTGATATACCAAATGAGTCGATGATTGAAATCGAGAATGAAAGGCTGGAAACACAAACCAGTTGCTTTCGTAATGTCTCAATCTCGGCTTCATATCTTGCCTTCATTCTTTCAAATTCTTCCTATATCGCCGAATGGAGATACTCCGTCAGAACATCTATCACAGCAAACGATTCTTCTTCTGCGGCACGTAACGTACATTTGTGACTCCACCTCTTCCTGTCGTGCCCCTCGTTGACGTCCCGTTCCGGGGCATCAACTCTGTAGGTTGCCGTTGCAATGTCTCCATGCCCCGCGTCGTCGGCATCGGCATCGGCGGTGGAGGGGATCCCCCTCGCCGGGCTCTACCAGCAGTGTCTATTGCGCCTCTCGATGCCCCTCGTTGGGGAATCTGTCGACCTGAGGCTGTCGTTGGCATACGTGCGGGTGGTTGGAAGGGATTTGGTAAGGGACGGTTGGGGGAGACGGCTCGCGGACCTTGGAAACCATTTACACCTGGACGGGAACTGCTGTCTGTGTACAGAGGCTAAAAAAAGACGGTTACATGAGTTCCCACTCCGAGAGAATATGATGAATTGTAGATCCAGCCATACCCCATAGCGCGCATCATTTTCTTGTACAATGCGAGGAAATCGTCGTTCGAGTTCAAAGAATACTTCGGAAGCAAGCTCCTTAAAGCGGAATTCTTGGAGAGTGGCAAGTTTTTGTCGAGCTTGGTTGCGTTTTGGGGTAAATTCATTTCGTACGGGAAGGAAAGGAACTAAGCATGATGATATCGCTAGGTTAGCCAAAAGTTTCGAACACCAAAGTGCTGATCCCAAGCTCAGTGCTCTAGCCGGCGACTCCTCCTTCCTGGCAGTACATGTTCCTCCAGCCTCATGGAACATGCCGTGTCCTTTCGCATGCTCCTTTAACATTCCGTTGTCCAGCATCCATCCACAAAAAAAAACGAGCATGGTTTCCCTCTCAAACTCGTTCAAGTGCCCAATTCCTACAGTAATCAACCTACCATTCCGATCGTTCTCCCGCCTTCGATTTATTTCATCAAACACATCTGTCGACAAGTCATAGAACTGCCTTTCTGATAGTCTTCCAAGCTTCTCCTTTGCATTATTTCGCCCCAACATCGACCCCTGTTCCTGCAGGAAGGTCGTGAGGTAGCGCCTCATCACATCGTAGTGCGTGGAGTAAACGTCGTCTGACATTGTAGGGTATAGGCTTGTATTTCAGGGGTTTTCGAGAAAGAGGTCGGAGGAAAGAATGGGTTGCGACAAAGCGACGGTAGCTGAAAAGAGGGAGGAACTGGGGTTGTGTTCAACGTCCTTCTCTTTTTCGGCCCCGCACCTTTTACGCTAAAAGGGCGTAGAGCCCGGGTGGATTTAAGTCGCAGCAAACTCCAGGCGATAAAGGGATGCGTGGAGAGAGAGGGAAATGTCCACTAGTCACAGTCGAAATCAGACGCTTTTTGAATCGTAATATCCGGTGCCGTCGACAGTCCCTCTGCATCAAGCTTCCAGGAAAATTGTTTAACGTACACTCCACAGAAACGGGAGTTCAAGTAAGAAAATGAGGTCCGTAAAGGTAAATGTACTCGAGTCGAGGTTTGCTGTCTACAATGACAAAGCTCGTCAGATCTTGATGTTGCAAGTGTGTTTGCGTTGGTTTTTTTTTTGGTTCGCAATGACCTATAGCTTTCCTTTCCGGACGCACCACCAAAAACACTTTGGGTTGAAACTTGGTCACCTTGTGGTGCTCGTGCGTTTCAAATTGTAGGCGTTTCACCGCTCCCCGCTTATGTAATCGATCGTCTTTTTAGTGTTCTTTTTTTTTTTCTTACTTGCAAACCCAATCGACTTTTTGTTTATTATTGCCGTTTTGCATTTAAGCTTCCTGTGCATTAACTAAGGCTTGTGTAGGTTGCAACTTGAAATAGACTGCAACAGATTCGTTATCATTGCATGGGAGAGGTGTTCAACTATGTAGCTGTAAATGTGTGCATTCCAATGTTGTTTTTTTTTTTTTTCACTTTGGGGTCCCCGTCCGCGAGAAGAGTATTTGTGGCAAGAATCGCCGTTAGATAGCCCGCCATTGGAAATAACTCACAAAATGCAGTTCATCAGAGCTCCTAATTTTTGCCGTGGGCACGTCACTTGAATATTACACAGTAATAGAAAAGTATTTCACGCCTCCGCCCTCATCGATGCCACGCCGCAATTCTTCCTTCCTTTGTCTACATACTTGCCAAAAAGCCACGGGCAGGTGTGCCGGCAAAGAAACGTGGCGTTGAATACGCACGAGCCGATATCATTAATGGGATGGACTCTTTCATGGAACAACGAGCAGCCGAGATAATTAGGAAGAAGACATTGCCGAACCATAGCATATCCAACACTTATTCACGCCGTTATGCATGTCATAAAGAATGTTTCAATAAGTCAGCGACCATCTCCTTCATTCTCAAATACATCCAATAGGGAAGGTCAGTAGCATGTAAGCGAAATATTTTCAAAGACGATTGGGTATGTTACAACGCCAATAAGTGATTGGAGGTCACAGCTTTCAGGAAATGCAAGTTCCACGAGAGAAATTCTAGAGGTATTCACAAAGCAAGCATTGCCTGCAAAATGCGAGCAAACATTTCTGCACAGATCCAACCGTAGGTGTGAACTTTTGTGCAGATGGGGGTCTTTGGATACAAGAGTTTGCCAATATCAAAAAACGGTGCCAATCACTACTCAAATTGGAGTCACTCGTGTCCTACGTACACGGACCTACAGTACATGCGACCAGTCCTAACAAGATCTTAGAGCAGGTGCTGCTCAACTGACAAGAAATCACCCAAACCTACAGACACAACGAGTCGTTTGTTGAGGATCACGACAGACACGAGGACGCCCTGATGACCAAAAATGTACATAGCAAAAGGTTTGAACAACTGTCTGCAACGTAATTCTGCTCACCTTGGTCGCTGTCACCCTGGTCAAGGTTACCGAAATCGCAGTGATCACCGAAATTTGCCCAGCTAAATTGAAATGATAAAGCATGACAGTTGCGCTCAGCGGCATTACGATACCGTTCCAGAGCTTCAGTGACGTGAAGTTTGTCTCTTCCCCGCTTTACCCTTTTGCTGGGAACCCGCGAGACCTGATACCAGTGCCTCAGAAACCAAAGCATGTGCAGCTGAGCGCTCCCGATGCAGCCACAAATCTACTTTTGGCGGTATTATTCTTCAGAGACGCTCTTCTACTCTCACTTGCCTCTCAAAAATGAGAGTATCAGACGCGCATAAGGAATGCTTCGAACGCAAAAGCGCTAAGGCATATGAAGGGGGATTTCATCGCAAATGCTGTTGAGTCAAGAGTCTTGTCAAGAATCATCATCTACAAAACGCTCTGGTTTGGGAGATGCTTTACACGGGGGGTGATCTAACCTGAGTTGTCTGTGCAACGTATTCATCGTCCATAGCTTGGAGTTTTGAAAACTTCATCCGCGGCGACTGTCGTCAACGTATACCCGCGTTATTTGCGCGCGGTTGAGTCAACGTTTTTGTCTGTCCGCAATGTCATTGTCGTCAACGTGGTGGACTGAGCCCCTGGGATATGCAATCTTTCCCCTTGGAACTGGAAGACCTTTGATGCAAGTTGCATGCCTACAAGAAATGATGATGGAGCGAGACTGCAATGGATGACAGGAGACTCCCCAGCCAACCCTTCATGATGTTGTTCGTGCATTATTACAGAATGTTTTCTCTAGGGAAAGTCACATCAATCCGAAGCAGATGTAATGTAGTGCAGATGGTCTATAAAAGGGCCCGGGGGTCTTTGTTCTCCTTCCACCCACCACTCCAAAAACACACGCCGTTCTCCTTTCACCCAGCACTCCAATAACACACGCCGTTCTCCTTCCACCCAGCACTCCTAAAACACACGCCATTAATACTTGATCATCATGCTTTCATGCAAATCCATTGCTTCCCTCCTTATTCTCGGATTGTGCGCTAGTTCCGTCACTGCACTCGAGGACCCCAGGACTACGAGGATCAAAGCCGAATTGATCGCCTTTTGTCAAAGTCTCAACGGCGAGCTAGGTGCTGCTGGCACAAACTGCTTCGACATTAGCGGCCCCTTTCACAGTGCGATATTGGCGGCAAAAGCTACAACGGCGGCTGGTGCGTGTGAACGCTCCGATTTGGCTGATCAGCTGCTCGCCAACTTTGGTGGTCGCCCTGGCGTAGCTGAACTCGCTGAGGAGATGAGGCATGCTCCCATTAACGTCATTCCCCCCAAACAACTCCCTGGTGTCGACCCTCCTTGCGTTAGGGGCGCTAAACTCAGAGCTAGGAACGCCCGCATATCTCAGTAGGGAGGACTTTGCAGCAGCCGAGCTTCAACTCTATTATTGAGGTTCAATAATTTTTGTACGTAGTCATGATGTACATGAGATTCAGTGTAGTTGTCGGCAGGTGGCAACAGGACAAGCATGTAATAGGAGCCTTAATTGCACGTAGGATACAGCATATGTACAGACAATTACATAAATTCGCTTCTGCAAATTGGCCAGAATGGGTATCTTATTTGTTCCTCCTTAGCAATGACAATAATGGCTTTGGACTACCAGATCAAGCACAACCACCCTCCTTTTCCTCAAGAGGAGAAAGCATATCGCCAAACGCTCTCCATGTGTCCGGACCCCAAGTCGCATATACAAAGAACGCATGAAGCATTTCGGTACTAGTAACAGCAGGGTGGGCTGCCTTAAAGGCTGCCAATTGCGCAGCCGAAGGCATCCTGACATTCGGGTGGATGGTCACACCGAACGCAGCCATAACCGCCGCAATGTCGCTCGTTGAAACAGGTGCAGGTCCCTGACTAGCAGGGCTACCGTTAACTGTGTCGTTCATCTTGATGATCAAGTGGATGTCAGACGGATGTCAAGCGAGTGGCAACTCGTGGTTAGATTCTAATGTGTAGACAGATGTACTCACCAATCGTGTATGCCCAAATAAACAATGATTTTTCTAGCACGATAGATGGTTGACTGTCCAAGGGAATCCTATATCCCTCCCTTCTCAAGTTCACCGATATGTGTGTAAGTATACCAGAGCGAAAGATGCGTCAATCCCAGTTCTAATTTCAAGCCCCTAGTCTACACAAGAACGACAAAGCCCGCATCCAACCCCGTTTTCTCCCCCGGCGACCAAGAGATGGTGAGTTACGTCGTCAAAAGCCGCAATGTACTCATGCTTACCAAAAAGCTTCTCCCAGAGGTTAAACTTGGTAGTTCTCGTCTTCCTACTGTTTTTTCTGGCTAGCATACCTCAACTTACTCCCATAATTTGTGAGATATGTACACCTTGGCACCTCTGCAGGAAAGCGTCCATCTCTTTGCCCGACAAGGCGGGGGTGCACCTGGAACCAATCGTTTTATAAACGGTTTGACGGAATGTAAGATATCCAAATATATCTTTTGTCTTCGCTTTGGACTAACCTATTTTGGAAAAAGCTGCTTGGGTTGCCGTCTTTTGTGCCTTTATTCTTTGGCTCCTCGGTTTGCTCTTAGCGCCAGTGTTGCATAGGTGGGGCGCCGCGAAAGCTGAGGAAAGGCATGGAGGAGCGGTATGTTCCCACAATGAAATTTCTCTTTGATATATGATATTGATGCTTATTATCATAGTCGGGCGGCGCAAATCGGTTCGCTCGTTCTGCCCGTGATGCCTTCCTCATCCTTCTCGCTACAACTGTAGCAAACGAAGCTGGCCGGGGCATCACAACTGTACGTGAGGGCTTTATTCGCATATGCACAATATTCTCATACTGTTCCATGCAGGCCGTCGTAGTTTTAACCTGGGTTGCTGCCCTGTTGCTGCTCTTTTGGATCCTCATCTCAACCTTCACGCCTGGCTACTGGTGGCTCGAGATGATCCTGTTCCTTTTCATTACGGGAGTTCAAATTGCAAACTTTGCACTGGCGTTCAAATGAAATCGCTTGGAAGAATATGTTAAGACGTGCTTTTTTCCGTTTACCTGTTGAAAGTTTTTGTATGGTCTTGGATTGGGCAGCGGAAGGGCGGCATATAGGATTGAATGTATAGTGGGATATCAAGTAGTGCGTTGTGTCAAGCGCACACATTCGTTTCGTTTTACCCTTTGCAATATAATTAGTATTTGCAGTAGCTTATATGAATAACTTGCAGGTTGATATTGCAATGACCTCTTTACATAGAGGCGCGTCGGATACACAAAGCAATTGCAATACCCCACTAAACCCAGCAGTATAGAAGTATGGACACTCCAGATTCACAAGATACCCCGTATTGTGGCATGTCTAACCAACTAGTATAGAAGTATGGACACCCCAAAGATACACCCATTTCGTGGCATTCCACCAGAATAGAAATATGGACACTCCAGATCCACAAGATACACCCATATCGTAGCATGGTATAACCAAAACTCTCCCATCTCTCATATCTACAACCAATAAATATAGAACCAGAATCAACCTATCTAATTGTACGCCCGATATCCTTAGGTACCACGTCTTTCAATATACCAGACAAAATCTCCAACCCGCCCACAACATTTTTTACCCTCCACAGCACCACCCCAGAAGTAAGGGTCATGACAAGCGACCAACCCACGATGATGACGATAAGCATGATAAGGGTTTGGTCAGGCTGAGGCGCCTTTGGTGGGGGCAAGTCGGAGGGAATTTCGTCCATTAGTGTGGCCGAGGATGACGCTTCTTGCGGGTCGGCGGGGTTTATTGTGGTAGATTGTGCGTCCAGTTTGCGGTGAGCGTGAAGGAGGGTGAGCATTTTTAGATACGCTTCGTCGCGTTTAACAAAAGATGCAAAGAAATATTGCTAGAGGAATGACAAGATAAGAATACAGGATACGGTTTTAGCCAATATGAAGTACGGACCTTGTTTCCTTTCAGCGTCACCAACAGAGCATTGGGAATGATCAATACAGACTTCTTCTCAATGCTCACAACATCCGTGATAGGGATGACGAGGTTGGTCACATATCCAAAGATGTTGGCGTTGAAGCAAAAGTGTTCAGAGGTGAGGTAGAGACGACCATGTATGAGAATTTCTTTTTGTAGCGCACAGCTGTAGTCTACATGTCAGGCTTACAGGTTAGCCGTGATCACGCTTGTAGAAGTGTATATAATGTTGTCAAACATACCATCAACATGAGTCTCACTCTCGGGTAGTTCAGGGAACAGTCGATGCAACGATCTGTTTCTCTTTTCCGAATACTCCATTACGTGCGCAATCTCCTGATACAGCAGTCTAGCTGGTGTAGAATCCACCGCACTCGTTCGCCGCAATGTTCCATCAACAGGTGAGTCGGATTCGTCAGTGGTCGTTGTCCCCGTCGTGCCCTCTCCATCTCCGGCATCGGGACTCGATTCCCCAGAAGCAGTTCGGCATCTCCTTTGTCTTGCCAACGACAACTTTCGGATTATAGCTTCACGGACACCGTTCTTTCCATGTGGTTCTGCCGCAGTTGCAGTGGGATTTCCTTCGGGTGAGTTGTCGTCATCCAACGACGATGAAGAGGATTGCGAAAGTGAGCGTCTCTTTCGCCGAAGAGGAACATAAGGAGCAAATGCCTTGCTGACCCTCTCTAGCGTGCCAGATTTCGCGGGTTCCTCATCATCTGTATGCGTGTCTTCTGGGCCAGACGACTGATCGCCGAATCGACTGGACGACTGTGAGAGGTGCTTGGCGTGTCTGTCCGGTTGACTCTCTCCTACGCGTTGAGTGACGACGGTGATTGCGCTGTCATTGTGTCCAAGTCCTAATGTTTTACCGTTCGCGGCTGATCCTTGGCGTGAGCCGGTAAGACTCTCCATGTCTGTCGAGCTTTCCGACGAACCACCAGTGTCCGATGCCACCTTTGCTGAAGCTTCGGTGTATGCACCAGCAGCCGATGCTCCAGTATTTGTGTTGTACGCCACTATATCTGGGGAAGACACCGCGGCGTCCTGTGATTCAAATGTCATAGCGGGTTGCGATCGAGCGTTGGAACGGGATTTTGCCAAGGATGGGAACGAGCGAAGAAGGTGCACGAGGTAGAATGGATTGACCTTTTTATCATGCGTCATTAGCAAATCATACGTCAGGGTTGAGCGGTATAAACAAATTGGCAACAGTGTAGATGTGTTGCAGGTCTGTATAAGATTGAACGAGGGCTTTTTCTATCGAAAATCCTCTATATAAAGATGACTGCAGTGTTCGCGTGGTATTTTTCAACAAAAAGACTTCCCCTCCCTTGGCAAGCACCAGCATTTGTCTTTTGCTTGTCTGTCGCCCCCAGTCCCGTGGTTGATGACATGAAGAAACTATGCAACTCACCTTGTATTTGTCAATGTGTTTTTTTTTAATCCCTTAAAATCCAAAGTTCGGAAGTTGTTTTTGGAGACTTGCTTGCGATCACAAATTTCGGAATTCATGCGCAAGGAAAAAGGCCCGAAATGCAATGAATCACAGAAAAAAAGAACAAGTGTGATTTATTTTGGAAGGCGAGGAGAACCCCAAACACTCGTAAAAATGGACTTTAAAACGACCGACCGCACGGCGCTCAAACCGACGACTTCCACGTCGGGCCTTCCTCCTTTTTTTTCACACTTTTTGTCACCAAAACCGTTTATGAAATGCCGAAAAGGAAGGCCAGTTTCTCCGCGGTTCGTCAGCAATATCACATGACGTACGTTGCTCGGGTGTCCGAAAGCTACGGCGTCGTTGCCACTGCTGCGAAAGCAAAGATATGTCATGAGGGGCTCTTGTTGGAAATGACGACCTTGCATCTTCCAACTTTGATGAAATCGTAATGTCGATCAGTACCTGAAGGGTAACAGACCGTATTGGGTCCCTTGGAACCAAAAACTATAGGAGCCTCAGCTTGCGCTTTCATGCTGATAGCGTGCAATATGTATCAAGCAAAACAAAACTTGTGCCAAATGAATGGATATACACATCACTGGCAGTAAAAGTTCAAAATGTGCTTTAACCCTTATTAGCCTTACCCAACTTGGAGGGTTACGTATGGGGCATTGCAATGTTTAACTTTCATGGCTTGGTCTTATCACGTGTAATTAGATTCGATCACGAGCCAAGGTTTGGCTTCCTTCTTCTCCCGAGCATTTTCACCGCATCTTACTCTCAACATGGCACCCCAACAAGAGTACACCATTGAACAGGTCGCTGCCCATAACAATGAAGAGAGCTTGTGGATCATTGTAGACGGTCGAGTTTATGACTTGACAAATTTTGCCGACTTGCATCCTGGTGGTTTGACAGTCTTGCTGGAGGTTGCGGGCAAAGATGCCACGCGTATGTATTGTGTCCTCGTCTCTCTGTACCATCCATATGTTGACGAATATGACTACACATAGAGGAGTTCTACGGTTTGCATCGCCAGTCTGTACTCGCCAAGTTTGGCCCGAAATATGAAATTGGAACTGTCAAGGGTGTGAAATCCAAGATCGTACTTCAAAAGCCCGGTGACATCAGCAAGGTTCCTTATGCAGAGTCCAGCGCTTGGCAAGGGTTCTACTCTCCTTATTACAAGTGAGTTTGCGGTTAAAGACGGAATCCATACTTGTTCCCACAAACCAATCATGCATGTCCTGCAGCGAATCCCACTTTAGGTTCCGTGCGGCCGTCCGAGAATTCATACAAAAGGAGATCGTACCCGATGCTGCTGTAAATGAAGAGTCGGGCACCATTGCTGACCAGGAGCTTTTCGAAAAGATGGGTTCATTCAACTTGTTGGCCTGCCGTATGGGCCCTGGTCCCCACCTCAACGGAAGAACACTTCCCGGAGGTGTCAAGCCAGAGGAGTTTGACTACTTCCATGAAATGATTGCCCACGAGGAAATTGGCACTCTTGGTGCTCCTGGATTCCAGGACTCGGTGGCCACCGGAATGGTTATCGGTTTACCTCCCGTCCTTCATTTTGCAACCAAGAACGTCAAGGAAAAGGTTGTTAACGAAGTTTTGAGTGGGAAGAAGAGAATCTGTCTTGCAATCACCGAAGCTACTGCTGGTTCCGACGTTGCAGCTATCCGCACGACGGCAAAAAAGTCCCCTTGCGGCAAGTACTACATTGTAAACGGTACCAAAAAGTGGATTACCAACGGTACATTCTGCGACTATTTCTCGACGGCTGTTCGTACCGGTGACGGACCTGGTGGCATTTCCATGTTGTTGATCGAGCGCAGGTGTGTATGATGATGGTTTGTCGCTTTAACCTTATCCGACATGGCTTATAGTTTGCTATGAAAATAGTGAAGGCTTGGAGACAAAGGCCATCAAGACTTCTTACTCCGCTGCTGCTGGCACGGCATATATCACCTTTGAGAATGTCAAAGTTCCTGTTGAAAACCTCCTTGGCAAGGAGGGCCAAGGTTTCCAGGTTATCATGTATAACTTCAACCATGAGCGTTGGTTTATCGTTGCAACCGTCACGCGTAGCATCAGGCTGGTAATCGAGGAATGCTTCAAGTGGGCTCAGCAGCGACTAGTCTTTGGCAAGCCATTGATCGAGCAACCTGTGATCAGAGCCAAGTTGGCCCACATGGTAAGGATCGTATCTCTTCAAGCAAAATCTTATGGTTTTAATGACACCGTATTTTTTCGCAACGCTTATCAGATCTCTGAAACCGAAGCCGTCCATAACTGGCTCGAAAACCTCACTTACCAGATGACGAGAATGTCGTACAACGAAGCGTCCATCAAACTCGGAGGACCAATTGCTCTTCTCAAGCTCCGTTGCACGCGTGTTGCCCATAACGTTTCCGATGAATCATGCCAAATCTTTGGTGGTCGTGCCATTACAAAGACGGGAATGGGTAGAATAATCGAAGGCTTCCAACGAACCTACAAATTTGCCGCTATTCTTGGTGGAAGTGAGGAAATTATGGCTGATTTGGGAGTTAGGCAAGCCATGAAATTTTACCCCAAGACTGCAAAGCTGTAGATGAGATTCAGATAGTCCCAGACTCTTTAAGCTAATCAAGACGTCATATCTTTGAAAGGCATCGCTTACTGTTGTGCATGTTTAATGGATGCATTTTTGCTGAATCGCATGTAGTATCATTGTTTTTACACTCGCATGATCTAATGCAGTTGTTCACGTAGGCGGCAGAATGGCCTAGTCTTCATATTACTGCATATAGCATATATATTCGATCTCTAGCGTCAGAGTAGTCCTGCAGAGATATGTATTTCGACACCCGCAGCCGTTCCAGTGACATCCATATACACATTATACACGACAGGGTGAAAACCTGTACAAAGCATCAGCTACAGCAGAGACAAAGCGACATGTACAAAACCAGGACGATTTCTTCATTGTACACAATTTTGGTGCTGCTCTGTTGGGACCATGGTAAATATCCAAGTATGTCACCGTGTTCCGGCCGGCATTCTCGAGAGGGGCCAGGATTTCATGTACAACAGTTTCGAAGAAATATTTGACAACAGCATTCCACCTAAATCCATGACGATGCGCGATCCGGTGTATTTCGGAGTTCCGGACTAGCTTTAGACGGGGACGCTATTTAGGAGACATTGCTGACTAGTTGTGCGCTGATAGAGCAACCAGATACTATGACGACAAAATGATTTGGATTAGGTTAACTCGTGCTGACCAAAAGTTATCGTAGCGAAAGAGATTCAAATCGTGAGCTTTTTCCACTTTCTCGTAGCCGACAGATGTTAACAAGCCCCAGCATGAACTTCGACGGTAATTACGAGCCATGGAGTATCCAAAATAGGTACGTTTCAGGGAAGTTCATGGGAATCATGGTTCATATATTTGATGATGCCAGAATGAGAAAGGTTGCATTTTGCCTGAATGCAGCATCATGCTCTCCAGATTCATCTGGCATATGGATCGAGCTTTGTAACGAGAACGCTGTATATAGGGAATTGTTACATTTGCCGAACCCATCATCAAAAGACTGTTGGTAAGAGCGATTCGCTGGAAATCCGACCTTAAAGACTAGTACGTTGGTATTCCGAAAGAACGTAAAATGCAGGAAAAACGAACCAGGCTCGTCAAAAGAAATCCCACAGAAAAGAGGACTGCGCACATTCCCTTCGCTTAAGACTAGCTCAATTTTTTAAATACAAGGAAATACAACCGGTACGCCGGGTACATCGCAAATTATACAATCAACATCCCACCAAGCCAATAACAAAAGTGAAAACTCATCGCACGAACAATCTCCGCATTTTGCGGACAAATCCCCGTTTGCCTTTCCCCCATTTTGCCCCAGCCGACGAACATCCTTCCTTCGGCCGTGTCAGCGTGGAAAAACGATCCACAACAACGGGTTCCAAGGATTCGGCACACGACAGGGCGCTTTTCCTTGCTAGACTACCAATCGAAGCGCTCCGGGACCGAGACGTCGCTTGCGATTCTACAGACATTGCGCTGCCCAAGTCGTTACACGCAAGACCGTAAACTGTTCCTCGAGCTCTGGCTTGCTTGACACTGACTTCAAACTCTTGGAATATAGGAGCGGATATGGTACTTTCAGAGTCAGGGTGGTTGGCGAGAACAAATTGGGAGGTTGCTTGAGCACGGTTCATTCCTTCGCAAAAGGAACGGTCCGCTTGTAGTAACGTACTTGGCCGAAACACCTGAGAGGTAGCTTGTGTTCTTTCCATTTTGAGCTATGAACAAGTATAGAATTGTGCGCAAGAGGAATTGCAACCTTCAAGTTCATATTTATCTAAGCTTGTCGTCCTCATTCCCAATTTTCTGGACATTGGTGTTTCTCCGCATGCTGCCAAGAATACTGTTCAACATTGACAGGTGTTATTTGAGTGAGGGTCGGTTGGGCTAGAAATGTGCAATGTAACCTCAAAAACAAACTATTTTTAGTTACAAGATTGTAAGAAGCATAACTGCTGAACGCAGGTTTGACAAGTCCGCGCGATTCGCCATAATGGGAATCGGCGATCCTTCAATCAAAACCCATTCACAAATCCCATATATCGCAATTGCTTTGTTTTGGTGGAATGGAGGCCTTATGGTCGATCCTATGTTTGGCCGTCACCGGAGCACACTTAATCTTGACGTCTATTCATTGGACTCTAAATAGGTGGGGGCACTGTACAAAAAGTGTGTTTATCAAGCCTGATTTGCCGGAGAACTAATAATTCTCGGCTCCTTCAACTGCTATTCATTGGAGCTTTAAATAGGCGACAAATACTCACTGGTGCATCACAGGTTGGATTAATTGAAAGGTACTAGGTGCGCCAGGACTAAAACGCCACATCATCCTATCATCCTTGCACTCTAACCCCACGGGACACTGTCCTAGAGTGAGTAGCTCATTCCGGCCATGAATGGAGCGTCGGAGCGGAGGGCTGCTTACGTGACCAATCCACACTTTCCAAGCCAGAGATGGATGAAACCAAAAGCTGCGGGTTACTACGGGTTCTAAAACTGCAAATATTGCCGAAAACATGTGTAAACAAACGAGAAAAACTTTTTTTTTCCATTTTATTTTACCGATGAAGATGAGCGTCTCAACTGCAAAACGCGGGCGGCGGCCTATTTAAGCTATTCGGGCACGATTTGCTGCTTGCTCTTCCGATCCTCATCGCTCATCCTTCACCTACGCTCTACGACCTTTCACAATGGCTGGACACTACACCCTCACCAAAGTTCCTTCTGGAGTAAGTTGAAGAGTGATGGGTTTGTGCCAGCAGTATCTCGCCGTGTGCACATGAGAAACCTCACGGCGTAAATTCTTGCATTGTAACTGACGTTCTCGTGCCTTTGCAGGTATATCCCTTGTTTGCCATCATGGCATTCGCTGTCGGTGGTGCCACTTACTTTGTAGCGCACAAGACCGCAGGACCAGACTGCGTGTGGTCCAGAAAGTAAGTCGTTGTTTCCTGGGCAAGAGTCGATCATGATGATGGATATTCGTTACAATGGGAATCTCTCGGAAATAATCCATGTCGAGAAAACGATTATTTTATCTGAATCTCTCTACTTTTGCTCTGGCTTGGCGAGTAATTGTTCCCTGCAATCGACGTTAACCCGTTGACTTCTTGTATTAGGAGCAACCCCCAACCCTGGAACACCGTCCAAGCGAACCAGACCACAAAGATCTACGACCCCTCTGGAAAGTTTGACAAGTGGAGCCGATTCTCTGCGTCTGCTTAAATTCTCTACAAGTATATGGTTGGCCGTGACCATGCACTTCTCCCCTTTTCGATTCCCAGGCTATCGTAGCCATGGACTTCTGCAGTTTAGATTTGTTACAAGTTGACTTGTTTCCTCCATAAACGGCTTTTTTATTTGAAAATATATTATTGAGATTTTGTGTATGTGATGTATTGTTGTATCGATGTTACCACAAGGAGATGTGATGTCATTGAGGTTAGCAAGTATTGCGTGCTTTTCCCGGGCATGATCCAGTTACACTAATCCGTATTGTCGTTTATTTTACAAGCCATTACAAGCTATGGTATCATCTGCAAACAATTCCCAATGACCCTCTGTCTCAGAAGCACCTTCTCTCCATCTTTTCGCCTCGACAAACAAATGTCTTTTCAATGCATCGGACCTTGCAAATGTCATGGTGCATCCAGCTCCAGGACACCGAAACGGATGCGGGCCTGCCGTATGCAACGACGCGATGTGTCTCCTCAAATCGTGCTTGCGAGCAAACGTCGTCTTGCAATGTGGGCAAACAAACGGTCGAAGACCAGAATGGGCTGCTTGAATGTGTGACGTCAGGTTGAATTTACGTGTAAATGTTCGGTTGCAATTGGGGAGAGGGCATGTGTGAATTTTCTTTGCCTTGGTGGGTTTTTGTGAACGTTTTGCGGCGCGATGGGGCGTAGGTTTTGAATCGTTGACGACAAATGTATTGAGTGACTCGTTTTCGAAAAACGAGTCAAGCGATGAAATGGACGTGGAAGAGATATCGGAATCGTAAGAGTATGTGGATGCATCGCTGCCGCGTCGAGTTTGAGGGCTGAGCATCGGTACGGAGAGCACGTCTTGTCCAAAGTTCGACCACGTCATAGAGGGTGTTAACTCTAAAGAGGGCGTGCCAATATCCGACAAGCTAGTACAGGGTGTTAACTCTAGACAGGGCGTGCCAATATCCGACAAGCTAGTACACGACTGCCCATCAAATGTGGACGTGTTAAAATCAGCTGGAAGGGCACTCGATAGAGGCTGGCCAGCTACTCCTTCATCGAACGTCAACAAGGCTTTCAAGCCATTATCATCCTCTGCCCATTCACCACCGAAATACTCGTCACCCACGGCCGGCATTCGGACTTCGTCTGGAGTTGGCGCTTCCGCATTGCCCAATGCCGCTAGAAACGCATCATCGCCAACTGGATATGCCGCAAGGACATCGAAAGGCTCCATGATAGATTCAGCAGAGGGAGCGAAGACGCCATGTGGCGATTGCTGAACGATATCTTGTTCCCCCCACAACAGCGCCATCACCTGGGCTTCGAGGGCGGTATCGACATCAGTACTTCCGCTCTTGGTATGTAACAGGTCCGGGGTATCCCACATAATTTCGGATGTAGCAGATAGACTTTCCCCGACGGCGGTATAAAAGCTGTCAATGGTCTGAACGTTACTGGAATCAGAAGCGATGAGAGTGGGTATATTGGTGGAAACTGCGTGCTCTGCGGAGATTCCAAAGGGGTATTTTTCCAACGTAGATATGTCGTCTGTGCAGGGCCAGACAAAGTCTTGTTCAAGGGACATTATCGGTGTGACTACGTGAATGTGTACAGGGATCGATCGAGGCTGCCTCACAAGGATTGTTACTTTGCAAGTTTGCCTTTGATATGGTTGACTGTACAGAAACACGGAGGTGCCCCTTCCGTCCTCCTTTTATAACTTTCATCGTCGACAGTCGTGGCGGTAACCTCAAAACGGTTGCGAGCTCGCTGTCATCTGCACAAACCCGTGGCCTGAAGCATCGACCGCAGAGTCGTCCAGGGCTTTGCGGTCAGCAAGGGATGCCATACCACATCTCCGTCAAGCGGTTCCGCCACGCCTGGTCCTCACATGGCAGTGCTAAGATGTGCGCCCTTGCCTCAGCAAAACTATGCCACTTGTTTACGTAAAATCAAACATGGCATTGTTTTTGTCGTTGTTGAAGCTGAGTTGAAAGGAGAACAAAGAGCCCTGACCGCCGGACAGGCCGCTGGTCCAAAAAGCAACATGCACGAATGAATGGCGTCAGCCAAAGACCAAAACAAAAACAGATGTTGCTTCGCACTTGTGTGGCTACAATGGGTGGGGTGGATTTGACAACGGAGAAACACAGTCGCCACGACATTCCGTCACAGGTCAACCAATCGTTAACCAATGGCATGACCAGGTTGGTACACATCTACTGTATTCTATGGAATGTGCATATGATGTAGCCTACAGCAGGGTATAGGATATGAACACGTAGGTGAGACACCAGGGAATGCATAGCCAGGGTCCAACGGCCGAACCTAGGTCTCTAGTTTGGAACCAGCTGCCAGGCACGACCAGCCCATATTGCTTTTAACGAGTCACCGGTTTCCTTTTTATTTTCTTCCTATTTCCTACCAACTTTGATAAATAAAGATAAAAAATGAAACTAACACAACAACAACAATAATAATAATAACATGTGTGAAGCCTATTTGGTTTGACCTGCCTAGCTTTTTGACAGCCAGTCACAGCGCCCACGTGTTGACGCGTGCCGGTCGGGCGTCTTACGCAATGATCACCCATTGAGGAAGGTCCCGCTCATACCTACAGCCCAATTGCTCTGGACTGCAACTCGTCCAGCGGCAGACGTTTCTGTGATAGACTGGGTATTTCTTTGGCAGTAGGCTGGGAGCTGTCCAGCTACACCATGGCAAAATCGCCGGCAGACTATGCTCTCCGAGTAAGGGCTGGTCCTGGTTACGATCCATCCAGTCATGTCACCCTTAGCGTGAACGACGAAGCAAATCCGATTATAATAGACTCGGAGCATTTTACAGGTAAACATGGCTGTGAAGAACCAAATTAAAGAATAAAACTCACTCTTCATTCGCTCTGGTAGGATATATCCTTGTCCGCATGGCAAACTATATCGGACTCGCTGCCGACAAGTCCTCGACCCCTATACCGAACCCACAGTCGCACTACTTCCATGGAAGAAATCGGAGATATAGTATAATGATTCAAGGCCGCTTCAAGAAAAAGTGGAATGGCGATGATATCTTGTTCGGTGTCGACTTTGATACAAAAGTGCGTACTCCGACAGGTGTGTCACTAGCTCTGAAGATTGCAAAATGGCTAGATCCGGCGCTGGATGCGTCTTTGAGTGGGGATAAGCCGTGGATCTTTTCGCCGCTTCTATCTGCGATGAATTCGCTGGCAGTGTACAAAATTGATGCTCCAGAAGTTAACGATGTCCTGCCTGCTGTGGATACATCCGCACATGCGATGGCCGAAAAGGATGGACCGCCAAAGATCAAAGGAAATAAGGTACATCCACATACAAATGGTCCTCCCAATCCCTCGGGCTACGCCGTGGAGGGTGAGAATTGGGTCTGGGATGCAGCGGTAGGAGTTGGCGATGCTGTTGACTCGACAACCGCTGCCATAGAAGGCATGTCTATTAAATCACCAGTAAAGCACTCAGCACCTCAATCTCCTCCGTCCATCAACATCGGAACCTGGTCTTTCCATTCTCGTCTCGTACCAGAAGATCCCGCCCTTCTCTTTCCAGACGCATCAAAAGCCCCAGCTTTAACGGCCTACGAAAAGCGAAAGAAGCATTTTGCGGAAGCCAAGGCCCGAAAGGAAGCTGCGTTTCTCCCCGAGCTGGTGTACTGCATGGATTATTACGATGCGTACTTCGACTTCAATACAATATCCTTGAAGCTCCCCGGGTTCTCTGTCAATGCTTTCAAATACTGGGACGGGCAACCGGTGCGATTTGTCTGCAGAAGCCGAGACAAGTCTGCAGTTTTCTTTGTCGTACAATTTGAGCTTTTGGATAGAGCCAAACTTGGTATACCTCCGGCACGTTTAGATGTCAGCATCCCCGTCATCACGGCAGAGGCTTTGGAAGATCCGGTTGTGTCTCCGTAGTCTGCCGACTCGATAGTAGGACGTTGTGTAGATATATTTTATAATGTCAGGGTTGTTTTTAACGCATGTGCGCTTTCTGAGTGTGCGCATGATATGATGATGCAAATAAAAGCCTCATGACAGCAGATCTATTGCCTATATAGCAGGAACAATGCAAAGGGAATTTGGGTATCTTGAACCATGCAGTGGTTCACTTCTGAGCAGCACTCTACCATTCTACGCCTATCAAATAGACCATCATTTAACATACAGATTGCGAATGCGATATTGACGGCGCACCATCTACTGCCGACTTTGAAGCAGCACGAACAGGAACAGGAACAGGCGCGGGGGCATCAGCGGCCGTTTGATACGAATTCGGTTGTCTGAACAATGAATGACAATGAGAACTAAAGAAATCATGCGAATGAACTAGGCCAAAATGGAAGGCATACTTTAGGCTTGATCGGCTCAGTGATGATACGGCTGCCTCATGCACAACATTAGTGATGCTTTCAAAAGCGTTTTCGCACATGATGAAGAGACAATTAAAGAGAAGAGCCGTTGGCGAATCCAGCTTGGTATCGGCTAGAAGGTGGTGCGAGACGTCGTCTTTTAGTTATCAGGTTTGATAAAATTGCTAAGGATAAGGTTACCTTTGAAAATAGAAAAGCATCCAAGGTAAACAGCGACTATAGTGAGAGTCAAAGCCATCATAACGTGGTTTGCGAGTTCTAGAGACGCCACTTTGTCCACACCAGAGCGACTATGGGCGATGGGAGCATTTCTCAACGACCTGTTCAGCTGAGATGCCGGTTCTCAATATGCTTACTCTACTAAAACCATCGCAGACTAAATACCTGATAACTAAAGCACACTAATCCTGAGAACCCATAATATATGGGCAAAATCAGACAGAGAATTGCCATCTTCTTAGAAAACGCTTGTGGAGTAGAACTCCTGCCATCATAGGGAGGTTAAACCGTCAGCACCAACTCGCTGAAACGATCAAAAACAGGAATATATCTGTACTCACGGCAATGTCCAAGTGTTAATTTCACCTAGCCCCACTGTAAGGAGCGCTATCCCAAATGCAACGATCATAACGGTCGAGAAGCCAATATAGATTTGCTGATATCGGTGCATTGTCAGAGGAATAGAAAACCTACATAACGAATGAGTAACATCGTCCACATTGAGCAAAGAGATCAAAAGTGCAAACCTTATGGTTCCTGCAATGACAAGCGCAAGCTGAATATAAAAAACTTCTAATGAATGTCGTTTCTTTAAACGGAAAGCATATTTTGACGCAGGACATACGTGCCCAATAATCCAAAATCCCAACCCAAGCGATACGGTAGTCTTTGTTTTCCCCTCATACACCAAAACACTTTGCGCAATCTCTGCAGCCGTCACCACCATTGCAAGAGAACCTATGAAACAAAAGTCAATAATCAAGGGGTACAAGTACCTATTTCATAGCCGTCTTACCAACGAGAAGAATGTACGCTCTGTAATTTCTTTTCGACCGTATAATGCGCGAGATACTTATCGCAACATTCGCCACCACTATCGGCAATGCTGCGCCGACAATAATTGACGCAGCACCGTATCCCTCCGCAGATGCCTTCACTGCACCTTTGATGTAACCAACGCACTAAAAAAAATTCTGGTGAGGATAATAGTGATTTAATATCAAACTGCCAGCAACTACACACATATGGGTCCCCCAGACAAGCAAGAAATGCGGGTGATGGTGCTGCCATTTTGTAGATATGGTGTTGCACTCGAATAAGTACAGGACGAGCTGAAAATAAGAGCTCCGTCAAATTCCCGGAAAAGAAAAGGTTTAATCGGAACGGACTGAACAAGCGCAATTCTAACGCTATGTTCGAGTTTTCTAGACCAGAGTAATGTTGTTTAATTAAGGGCAAGCTATTTTTAGGTAGCAACATGGCAGTCATTTGTCTGGTAACATCCCTTAATCACAGGATCTTGAATAACATTCAGAAATCCTAAAACTTTGACCACAAAGATGTCAATACGTGAGTTAGCCTTTTGGGAGTCAAGGCAATCACGTGCGTATGTGTCTATTCTGCTTTTCCAGATTGTCTTTTTATTTGCTATTATGGCACTACCCTCAATATGGCGTCATGAGATTTACAAACCCATTGGAAAGCGTCCATTGAGAAAACCAGAATGGGGTGTCTTGTTCTCCGGCATTGGGGCGGATTTAGCGATACGACCTACTTACTGTTCAAGCATAGCAGCGGGTTTGAACTGGTATAGCAATTATTCAACTATTCCAGTAGGCCACCCATGGTTAACGCACGCGCTGCAATGTTCCCACTATGCTTGAATGATCAATAAGCCGATACGGGTTTTGTGCACCATCGCGCTTCTGCTTCCCCAACAATCTGGTGAATGTAAGAAAAGACGTCGTACTATCAGTGTGTCCATCAATATTACAATACCATCTAAATACTATTATATGCTATCTACAATTAAAATGAACTCGCCGCTGCCTTTGTTGCGACATCCAGACCTTTCACAACGGCTGAAGGCTGCAGGGTATTTTCAATCTACCAGATCTTCGCTAGAACTACCCTGCAGTAGACTTTCGACTTTCGGCTTTTTCCTTTTGAACCTTCTCAGCCTGGCGCCTTCTTGCTTTCCTCTGCCGTTTGTTCAATTTCTTTTTTTTCGTGCTTGTTGAACTCTCAGCTGTTTGCAGAGCACCTTAATTTGACATGTCGTGCTTTTGCTTTTTCTTGGTCTTCTTCTTCGTCTTCTTTTTAGCCTTCTTTTTTTCAGGAGTGCTGACATCCTCTGTAGCCTGCAACTTCCGCTTTTTTGATTTCTTCTTTTTGACGGTTGCAGCTGTCATCGAGTCATTGCCAGCTTCCTGTACCTTCTTCTCATTCGACGGCAGATTCTCGGTCGAATTGCCTGAGATTGGTGTCAAGTTATGATCGGCCTGCCGATCTTTCGCCTTCGTCTGGCTCTGTTTTTGGACCTCTGAGATTTTCGCGGAACTCTCAGCCGTTTGCGGAGCAGCTTTAATCGAGATGTCGTGCTTTTTCTTGGTCTTCTTTTTCTTCGTTTTCTTTTTGGCCCTCTTTTTTACAGGATTGCCGACATCCTCCGTAGCCTGCAGTTTCCGCTTTTTTGATCCATTCATTGATCTTACGGGGTTCGTCAGGTTCGCTGCAACCGCTCCGCTAAGAGCAGAAGTCACAGATGAAGTCTGGTTCCAAGGATTGATTTGGGGAAATCCCGGAAGCTGCAAGACACTGAGATTATACGACTTTCGGGGGGAATAAGCAGCTTTTATCTGCTTAGCTTCTCGTCGCTGATCTTTGTATGGCTTTGCCTCTCCGATTGTATGCAGCCAGTGCGATACATTTTGCTATACAAACATATATATCAGAAGAAGGTGGCTATGCAAGATGTGTCCCAAGCTAATACCTGTCTCCATGTAGTTAACAATGACATTGCAGCAATCTCTGCTAACATATCTGCTTCCTCATTTCCGTAGTTATTCGAATGCCCTTTAATCCAATGAATGGTGGTACTTGCATCTCGGGACATTATAAGCTAATAAACAAGTCAGCATCGTCGCCAGAGTCTCACATTTCCAGTTTACACAATGTATACCTGATATAGGGCTCCCTCGAAGGGATACACTTTTGTTTTCGCAGGTTCCTTGTGTAATGAATTCATGGCTAAAATCAGGAAATTAATACACATGCTGTTCTATAGGTTGACTAGCGAGCACTTACTTAAGATTACTTGGCGACAATCTGTGTAAAGTTCCACATCTGCAGACCTTCCTATTCGGTGCAGCGCAAGTGCCACAGCCTGGCACCAGAAACAAGACAGGTTCGAAGACGTTCACAGAGCCTTGAGATAAATGAACTCACCAGAACTTCTGTTTGCACGGAACTGGATGCCGATACTGGTCTAGATATGTGACTTTCAAGTACTTCAAGTTAGCTAGACGGATACCACATGAGACTGTCCTAACCAAATGGCGATGGAGAACGAAATTGCGAAGACGCACCACCGCTCCGTATTCGGAAAGAAGACTCCAATGGATCCACAATTGTATTCACAATGCTTGTTTTTATGATACACTCGTCTGTAGCTCCCATCCGCAAATGCCACGATAGTTTCCCTCTCTTCATCGGGGAGGACTCTTCCCTGATTGAATGGGCACCGACATAAGTGACGAGACCTTCCCCTCCATTCCCTTCAACGAACAATACCGGGACATAAAAAAAGAGTTGGTCCATGGATACAGTGTTTATTGAACTTCCAACCGTCTTGCCAGACCTGAGCGAATCCTCCAAGTTTGAAGGACTCACCAAGTCCTTTACAAGATCCACCGCACTCTGCCCATCCTCTTCCGAGGACGTTGCAGCTTCCTTTGCATCCCCATTGCGATCAACCGTTGGCGAAGGACGTCGGTTAGAGGAAACCGGCTTCCTTGGCCTCAGATTGTGCACCTTGGTAGGGCATGCAATCACACGGAGCACAGGGCTCGCCACTTGCGTGGACGGCTCCGACATGGCTCTTTGCCAATCCGCCAAAGACTGGCGCCGGACCCTGTGCACACAGGAAGAAGAGCAGGCGGTTCCCGGCGTTATAGTGTCGATTGGAAAATCAACTAGTGGGCGTGGGAATTTGGGCAAGAACTAAGCCTTTGTCGACCCGATCGGGCAACCACCAATTGATTAGTTAAGCTGTGGCTTGTTACCACCTGTGCCATCTGCCCGTCAAACTGCCCTTGTCTCCTTCTTTCCACAGAGTTTATAGCTTCCGTCCCTTGCATTGGATCAAGAAAACGTGGTGAAGGATTCGGGTATCACGCAGGATAACAAAGGATGGGAAGGTGAAATCTTGTGCTTTGCCTTGACGTTCTGTGCTTGTCGCAAAAAGATCGAAAAGGCGATTCTGCGCGTGGGAAATGAAAGCCGCGAGCTGTCAAAAAGGCGAGAGCGGTACAAAACCAAGGCGTATTACTAGTATACTCTGTCAAGCTTTGAATCTCCCCATTTTGCCCTTGTAATCCTTTGCAAATAACGCTACTCCTTCTGGCTTCAGCTAACTCCCATGGCGAACCAAGACACTCGCAAAAAGAAGGTGTTGGTTCAAGTCCTCGAAAAATTGAAAATTCGATTCCCAATTCCCACAGAATGGAGGAACGAAGCAATTCCGTCGCGGGGTTCTGTGTCATCACTGAGGACGTTTGCATCGAGTAACAGTGAAGTATCCGCGCAGCCTCAGACGCCCACGTCGCCGACTCTCGAAGACCAGTGGCGATCTCTTGCCTTCCATACGGAGCTGGTCTCCCCTCCTGCACCTCCAAGTCCAAGTCCGACGCACTCCAAGAGTCCAGCGTCAAAAAGACAACACCGCATCAGTACGTCCAGCAGTGTCCCCACTCTCAAGAACACCGTTAGGCTTGCCCGCACCAGCATTTCAAATCTGTCATTCTACCTGCGGACCTTTAGGAGCACTGCTGATTCCTTGGGAACTGGAAGTGATTGGGAAACCGATGAGGAATTAGAAATGGCCGAAACAGGCAGTACCAAAACCCAGGCTTCAATGTATGATATATTGTACGCAGACGATCGTTGGAATTGTCGCCCAAGAAATTCCATGGTGGTCAAGCGCGACCGACAGGAGAATGTTAAAGGTGGGACGGCTTCTTATGCCATGGCAGTTGCCAAAGCTTTTCATACTCGAGCAGAAGGGTGTATGCTGGTGCAAACTTTGAATGAAAAAGAGAAACAATCCGAAAGTGCCGTCGATATACCCGCCTTACCTCCTCTCCCACCCGGACCAGACTCCGCGCGGAGATCGCCCCACACATTTCAATCCACATCCGTAAATGAACCCGTCTTGCCAGATCTCGACAGCAAACCTCTCCCGCCACTACCTAAACCTCATAAAACGCGGCTCTTGTCCATCTACTTAACACGCACTCGTATGCTTATCCGCAACCGAGTGCTTGCTAGGACTTGGTAATTAAGATTATGCAGAACCTCATATTCGCAAGGGAGATGAGCAATAGTGATGTCAGACTCTTTGTATTACATAGAATATACTATTATGTAGGATGCAGGTCATCCCTAAGCAAATGTTCAAATATTACAGCTCTATCTACAGAACATTTTACAGACCAATATTAACAACATTACTCGGATTGCTAACGCCAACCGAGTTTCTCGCTCGAACTCTGTACATATACGTTCTCCCCACCTGTACATTCTGATCTACAAATAATGTCTCACCAGGCTTCTTGGCATCTACAACGGTCGCCACAACATCCCACAGCTCACTGCCCACGGATCTTTCGACGTCATAGCTTGACGACCCGCTAACCCCTCTCCATTTCAACTCGGGAGTAGTAGTATTCAAAAGTGTTGGCGGGGAGGGTATAGCTTTGGGTGGGATGGTGAAGCTGGTTTGCTTCGCCAATTCTGCAGCGTAAGACGCAACCATCGGCACAACGGTACTCTCGTCCTCGCCGAATCCGGGAGCGGTAGGGAAGCCGGGGTAGTGATACGACCAGTACCCGTGCATTTCTTTATGTATGTAGAATCCACCGTCTTTGGAATGTCCTCTCAAACTCCACAACAAGGCACCAGCAAAGCCGGGCTTATTTTGAATCACATTGTCCATAACTCCCCGAAGAGATGACGCTGATGCCAGTCCATATTCGCCAGTGATGAAGACTTTGTCATATGAGGATACAGTTTCGGCATCTGAAGCGCTCCAGGCACCATACTGAGGGTTGGATATGCGGTTCAAGATTAGGGCTGTCAGACCGCCCGCCGAGCCCAGGATGATAAGGAGAGCGAGAATGACAGTTATAACGCGCCTGTTTCGGTATCGGGACTGTAAATCCGATTAGCGATTAGTACGATTGATAATAAAGACTCGCGACAGAAGATTTACCTTGGTAAACTGTTTGGACTCTTCCTGAACCTTGATCCAACCAACTCTCCTAGGCATACAGGCTGCCATAGCACCTATTATAACGGCAACTCCTATTACGGCCGCCAAAGCACCGATTCCAATCCACTCCCCTGTCGAAAGTCTTACGTCTCTATAATAATGATTCGAAAAGATATCGACATTCGGGCTCCTCAACACCTGTTCGTCCCATCCATGTTTCCACGACCCATCCATAACCAAATGGTTCTGATCCAGATTTTTGATATGAGAAGCAATATCAACAGTCCAGTCCGCCGGAATCCTCTTTCCCTCCACTTCTAGTTCGTTTCCAGTTTCCCAGGCGAGAATTGTCGGATCGTCCTTGTAGGTGATGTTGGTAACGGTGTTGACACGATTGACAAGTTGCTGAACGATCGATTTAAACTGGTTCCGGATCCCATTATCGGTATAGAAAGCTGAAGGTGGTAATGTAGGATTCACTAATCGCACGAAACTCTCCACCCCTCCCCACCATTCCCACCTATCGATAAGCGGGATAATGACACGCACACCTCGCCTATTGGCGACACTCAACGCAGAGTCCAATCCCCGAAGCACCCGTTCATTGAGCGCAACCCCACTTCCGCTTTTGATTATATGCTTTGCAGCTGTCGAATCTTCTTGTGGTGTTTGGACACCAAGCGAATAGAGCCTGACCACCCGGCCACCCATCTCGACAATGGACGCAAGCAAATCATCTTGCTCGTATTCGGTTGGAACAACGAATTGAGGATCGTCATGGAGGTGTAGCGTTGGAGTATTGAACGAGAGGAAGCGCAAAGGTGCATTTGTCGAAGGGTCCAACAGTGTCTTTCCAGTTCGCTTTACAAAGCCGTTCAGGGATGTCATGGTGCGTCAATGCACAAAACAACAAAAGCCCAACCAAGGTTTTGTCGTCTTCACGAGTTTGTATAGATTTTAAAAGTGATGTTTTCTTTCTGTTTGTTTACATGTCAAAATAGTTCTACCCCTCCGAAAGTCCCGGCAGTGATGAGGGTCGTGCCGTTGACCGCAAGGCTGCAATGCATTTGCATGGTGCACTCCAACCATTACGTAACATGATCGGCTTGCTGGTGCCTTCGTCTACTCATGGCAGCTTCTTTACGCATCGATATCCTCAGAGATCCCATCTGAAAAAGTGTATTCAGACGTATAAAGAACATACTGTGTACAAAAATGAAAAGAAGGGTTTGTTCAGTTGTCCTTGGTCAATAAACGTTCGTTTTGGCGCTCATTTTATGCATATCCATATTTAAATACATTAGTGTCGCCTCAGAGCTCATGGAAAACAGTATTAGGTTCAAATACTGCCAGAGGGTTGACCTGGTGCACCGATTTCATATCAAAAAGTCTGATCCACCTACTCTGCCAAGAAAATGCAAGAGGTTTGAGATCCTAACCAGATTCCTACCATGTGCATGAACATCCGCGTCTTGGTAAGTCATGGCAAGACTGACATTAAGTAATTGGATCAATTCTTTCCAATATGTCCTTCCATTCTTGCCCAAGCATTATCCGGTACTGGGATATACATTTGCAAAATAAAGCAACTGGATCGATTATTTTGCAGAATGGAATCATGCGGTTGAAAATACCGGGACCCGCGAGACAAACGATAATCTGCATCGTCTCAGTTTGTCGGAATATTTCCCAGTACACCATCACATCACCGCTAAAGCAAACGATATACCCGATTTAGCCATGCTCTGGTTTCAAACCTATACCGGCATCTTTTACTTCAATTCACTCGCCACGCCACAGGATTCCTTACATAGAAAGCATTCTGCACATACTCGACGCCGAAGAGGTATTTCCCGTGCTAACAGCAATGTCCCCTTACCGAAGAGTGTGAGTTCAGCTATGCGCGAATAACTGACTCGTTTCCCAAACAGCTGGCAGAGATAAAAATGATCGGTCAGCGACTTCGGCGGATCGAATATTCTACAAACATCTTATGGAGGCTGAGTATAATGGAATGCAGGCCCGGTTGTGGGTTAGTTGTCGCTGCCGTTGGGCAAAGTTGCTTGGTATTATGTTGTTGATGGCTTGCTAAGATAATGCCTAAAGAACTGCTTGCTACACATATGTTGGCCCGACGACATTAGACCAGGGGCTGCAGTCCCCACCCACTCCAACCGCCTGTACAGCATAATAGTAGGGTACCCCTTCCATCGCTCCCTCATCCCTCCACAACGTTGACCCACTGCACACATCATCCGTTACATTTGTCGCAACGGGATTTGGCTCCCATTCTACTCCCCCAAACTCATCTCTAGCTCGTCCCCTATAAATCACATAGCGAGCTGCCCAAGCACTTCCCCGAAATCGGAAGCATTTTGGTCGAATGTCCTCCAACAGGTAAGGTGCCTGAGGGACGGGGTACGGAACAGTACGTGGGTCTAGACCCTGAATGCGGAGTGCGTAGTTGCGTATTTGAGGAATCACTTCAGCTTCTTCGAAACAGAATCCCCGATTACGGGAAGGGAAGCCTGGTGCGTGATACGACCAATATTTTCCGCCTTCCTCTGAGTGAACATAAAAGCCACCTAATGTTGAATAGATAATGTCAGTCGTCAAATAAAGAAGAAAGCATGGAAAAGTGCGTACCGAACATGCTGTGAAATCTGCAATGTGGAGATATCATAGAAAAATCATTATCAGGGGCAAGGAAGATTGAAAGAATGTCAATGTATCACCTTAGACTCCAGATCAAACTGCCCGTAACCTTATCATTGCGCAAAATATCCTCATACATCCGTCCATACACTCCAGTATTACTAAATCCAAACTCTCCGACAATGAAGGCCTTACTGTGCTTTGCAACAAAGGATGAATCGTCTTTCAGCCTCTTGATATCGGATTCGCCGTAATAATAATGGTTTGTGAAGATATCGGGTCCTGCGGGAGATGACAATGCCTGTCGGTCGTATTTATCTTTCGCTTTGAGCCCTCCCATCGTTCCATCTAGGACAAGCGTGTTGGGTGCCAACGACCGGATGTGAGCTGTCATGCCCAATGTCCAGGATGTAGGAGGATTCGGTCCATTCCATCCTCCGAGTTCATTCCCAAGTTGCCATGCTAGGACAATGGGGTCATCGCCGTATCTGATTTGCCGTGTTCTTAATGTCACTGAAGCTAGTGGATCAAGATCATCTATAAATGTCTTACCGTATTCCATTCACGGTGTTGACTCTATTCAACACAAAGGAGATCAAATGCTTGAAATCCTCAACCAACTCTGGATCTGTCCAGAATGCACTGGGCTTCTTTCCTCGTAAACCCGCAAACGCAGCATAGTTCCCAAAAAGAGCATCCCCACATGCCCCTACTTCATCCTTTCCGCCATAATTATTCACCAAGGGCACAATCAAACGCACACCCACGTTCCTGGCGATCGCCAGAGCATGATCCATCGCCACAAAGCAGTCTTCATTATATTTCCGGGGCTGAGTGACGTGAAAGTTACATCCGGCCCCCAGCGTGTACGTTCGCGCAACTCGGCCACCCATATGCGCCACAGTGAGGAGGGCGTCGTGCTGTTCGTAAGGGTCTGGAAGGACCCACCCGCAAGCATCTGGGCGATCTTCGATAAAGAAAAGGTTGGGAACATTTATAGAGATGAAACGGAATGGTCGACCATTTTCGTATAGAGTGTGGCCCTGTCGCGTGATGAACGACATTCCCGATGAATCTGAAGGTGCGGGAGCAATTTGTGGATTGGAGTGAGTGGGTTGAGTAGAAGGTTGCGGCTGATTTGGGCGCGGCGGGAGCGGGAGCTGGTTGACAGGTTGCCCTTGGCCCGGTCCCATTCCCGGATAGCTGTTACCCTGAACTGAGCTTTTTGACGGCGCACACCCCATTTAACGGCTATCTTCAATCCTATTCAATCCTCATGCGTGTGTGGTGAAAAACGGACCCGTTAAGCAAAGACCGTCGCGCTGACGGAAGGGCTGACATCAGAGTGGCTGTGCAATCTATTGTGGCAAAACAATTCTTGCCACCATTCCCACACCTGTGAACCTGTCGTTTAGATCCTCGTCATGACACGAAATGGCCTACAAGCATTTTGCAAGCGTCCCACATTTGCGTGCGATCTATTTACGTTGATCAAATGTTTGCATCTGTAGAGTTGAAAGGGCCGTGAGCTTGTCATTGGGGGTACTTGTGTCGTTCGTTTGCCAGCTTCTGAGAACGGATGTCGTCAAAACGGAAGTATTCCCCAGAGGCTTTGACCCAAGCCAAAAAATGAACTGACAAGCGAAAATTCAATGGCGATATGTTTCATTTGCTTACAACGAATAGCCAATGCGGTGCAGGACAACATGCCAACTAACAAAGCGCTGTGGGTTCTGCTCTTGAGTTGCAGCTACTGGGATCTGCCACCTGAAGTCCAAACATCGAGGAGGCATTCTTACTGATCTTTCACAGTCAACCTTCCGTCCCTTAGTTAAACTTACTCATGGCATCACCGCATGAAGTAACTAGAGCTCCTCAGTCACCAACGGCGACTACATTATCGAGCATTGCAGGTCTGCGGCATTCCCGGCTCAGTTACTGAACATCAATATTATTGATCAACATATTATAGAGCTCTTTCAAAAGCTCGAGTCATTTATTAGTGATCAGGAAGAAGAGGATCGCCGCGAGGAGCAAGGCACAACGGCCCTGTGGGAGCGGGTTGTTGTGATGCGGAGGGAACATATAGGTGTCTTGTACAGGAAATTTCGGAATCTATTACCCAACACAACCCATCCCATCTTATCCCTCTGAGGTCCAAATCATAGGACAATATTCGTCAACTTTTAAGTCAATCGGGTATCAAAAAACCACAAATTCCAGGTATTCTACAACCCAATCCTGAAATAAACAGTCTCCAGCCGATTCTCTCCGCCATCCCACCTCCGCCGACTAGTCCGCCGCCTGCAGGGTTTCGCCGACATCCCGGTGCATACGTGTACACTGGCCAAGAAACGCACGCGCAAATGGAACCTGTGAGACGGAAGCCATGGTGGAAGATCTGGAGGCATCGAGCTGGCCGTCAAGGAGGCCTAAGGTAAAGGTGGGAGGCACTGAAGATCTATCTTCTAGAATGGGTACAATGGCTGGCTTGGATCGAGGACTCTTTCAGATTTTTCCATTGTTACTGTCTTAAATCTGCATTTTCAATCAGCATATTCCGGATGCGTTTTCCAATGTTTCTCAAGCGCAACTTTTTACATTCCAATCACTACGTCTGCAATTCTAATGCTCTGTACCATATTCCTAAATCAGTCCCAATGCATCTCTCATAACGCCACCGACCTGGGCCACACCGGTTCTCAGTCCCCTCAACAGCAATGGGACCACTCCTTCCTCGTCCGCAGATCCTTCATTCGGTTGACTTTCTTGGGCAATTCTCTCCTCCTCCCCCACTCTGACCAATCGCACACCATCAATTTTTAAGCCGAACTTCCACGTATCCGCATGATCGATGGCCTCAACCTCGACTTTTAAATATGGCGGTGCGCCTTCCCAGTCCCCTACACTAAGCTCCGGCAGCACGAAGTCGGTCCAATCTGTTGGACGCAACGGGCGACTTGCCTCGCCCGGAACAAATGTGGGTAGACTGTAACTGGGGTCGTCTGGAAAATTGCCTAATATACGGGTGGATGCAGTTGAGTCGTGGGCCGCAGCTTCCTGAAAGGGATCAAGTTTATGAATATCTCAAGCAGTTGGCTTCTAAGAAAACTGCTTAGCTTACTTCAGAAATTGTTGATGCTTTGAAGGTTACACCAGACAGGGTATGTGGGCCCCGTCCGACAAGTTTGATTCTCCAGATTGGGATGTACTTTCCTCTCGGGACACCGTTAATCTGACCGCGTACATCAAACCAACATACGGAGCGCAAAGTCGCAACCAACCCAGACTGGCTAATGATGGAGGGATCTTAACACCGTCTTCGGCATGTAGGTGAGGCTATCCACGGTTTTACCTACCTTGAAAGATCCTCTTCCATTTGCCAGTATCGCCCGTCATTCCAAACTATGCTTAGCTTGTCCGCTCGTAGGCTAAGTCCATCTAAGGATTGAACGTACACCAGTTTAGTGAACCACAGCCTTTGAATTGGAAGACCGTGAAAGCCTACCTGCGCTTAGCGTTTGGTACAACTCCTTAGGGCTGTGTATGGGTCCTTGAGCAGACAGAGCGTCCTAAGAGTCGGCCGATGGACACATTCAATCTTAGCAAAAGCAGGTTGACAACGTGCACAAATTATAGTGGCAGCCACCTTCCCGAATCGCCATGCAGTCATCAAATTCCATAAGTATTCATCACGAGTTACAACCGAGAAATGACGACTTGTCTAGGTACCGTTAGCTAAGGGGAGAGATCATAACGCCCAAAAGTTTCAAAAATTACCTGGGCTAGTCTCCCTACATCTGAGCAGCTTAAGAACTTGATAATCTGAATAGAAAGTTCTTGGGGAAGTGTGGAAAAACGATCTGCATTGTTGTGCAAAAGCCGGATCTACTGGTTCAGTACTTGGACAAGTAAGGAACTTGCAGAGCAGCAGGGCCATTCACCTCTTTCCAGAATGCTGATAGGGGCCATGGTATTAGCGTGCAGTCTTTAATTTCGGAAATGTGACATGACGACGAGTTTATAGTCGCCAGCGGCCACGTCGTGGTCATGGCGCAGCTGGCTTTGGTAACCTGACATCATCATTATCCAGGCCCAACGTATCAGTACAAGTAGAACACACTAGTTGAAACACTTAAGGGAAACCATTTACAAAATCAAGAGATCTTGGATGGGCATCGGTAGTAGCACCTCAGCAGATCCACTCAGGGACGTGGACGACGCTTTCATGTCGCATTACGCCGCGCTAAAGGCACGATCAATCGATTGGGAAAAGAACTCGATTCTCATCCTGACCGGGTCAGACTTGAAGTTGCTTTTCCACGATAATGCAAAGTCAACCGTAAACCGTGCGGTCCCATTTTCGGAATTATCTCGGAAAATGTATTCTTTTAACGTCCCTTTGTTCCATCGCTTGAAGTCTCTGTGTCATCTTCCACTAGCAGTATTAGCCGTTGTGGCCGGCCACACAGACTTGGAAACAAGTCAGAAAAAGCTCAAAGAACTGGAAACCAAAGCGGTGGCGGTCAAAGAGGCCATTGTTAAAGAGGAGTACAGCTTTACACAGGAGCAGCGCCAGCGAAATCTCAGCATGGTGGATCAGACGATCAAGCTTATCCATACTTACACATCCCACAATCCCGCCACGGATAAGCAGCTTCCTCAAACCGATTTATCGTCGTTTTTCCGCCGTCTTCGCTCTGCTTTCATGTCCAACATGTATGAAGCAACCCTCTCGTGCCTCGAAGCTCTCGATCACAAGCTCCACGAAATCATTGCAGACATTGGCGCATCGAAGAATCTCCACATCGTTGTGACCGGTGAACATATGCCTCAGGAAGATAACATGGCACTGCAATATTTTCTTGCCGCGTGTGGTAGAAAGAGAGAAGGAGATAGAGTTTATTATGCTACCTCAAAGTACAATGAAGAAGAACTGGTGCAGTTTGTAGCTCAGCATTTGGCGGACGGAGTTGTTGGAATGACGGTGTATGGAAATGGAGAGGTGATGCACAGAGATCTACTGGCGCCCGCTGCAGAAGAGATCATAAAACGATGGGAGGCCGAAGGTCGCCTACCTATTCAGGATCTTTTGAGGGACGCAGACGTGAAAAGATGGAAATGTCCCTTTATAATATAGCAAAATTAATAGCAAAGACTGTTTGGGTTCCCTCCTCTCAGTTGCATGAGCAGTGGGTGTACTACGACTTTCCGTGAGCAGAGAACGAACCGCCGTCCCGCAATCTCTTGCCAGTACTAGGATCCTGTCAAAATGAACTCTTTGGGTCATTGCATGAAGAAGCAAGAAACCCAAATCGAGATTGCCTCCTGTTGGATGGACAAGCACATGATAATGGCCGCTCTTTCACGTGAGATTATTCTGCTGTGCTTTCAGACGGAATACAAAGGTTGGACAACCTACTGGACATAACCTAGATGCATATAAATTTTATAGAAAGTACAACTATAGAAAGTCAAGCTTTATTCGCCATCGAATCCATTGATGACAGTGTCATGTCCAATGCAATAATATTCCCTAAACGGTCTCATGCGAAGGGTTAAGCGACCTGAATGCTTCTGTGTGGACAGAAGCGTCCGAACGCGTGGAAGAACAGAAGCTACTGTACGCGTGCAAGGACTGTCACTCTGCCCGCGCAAAATGACTGCGCATATCCGATATCAGGCTCTACTGATGAAAAGAGCAGGACCTATCGAGGATTTCTGTTCCCAGCAGTATACTTGACCACTCAAGGACAAAGTTTATTCTTGCGACCCGCTCGTGGTGGTGTGAGGAAAAGGTATGGCGAGACTGTCTAAAACCCGCAACATAAATTGACAGTGCTATGTTTGACGTCCCAACACAATGACAAGAAGGCGGGAACAATCGATGTCCTGGGCGTAACATCTTGCTGATATCTCGTTCTTTTTCAAGCAGGCCACCTGTGTACTCACAACGATCAATCGCAAAAAACACCATAAAGAAGACATTTTGACATGCAGTTTCGATTCTGGAAACGCGCGTCAAGACGGCCTCAGGCTAGTCCTTTTCACGGCGAATACCACGAAGCTGATGCAAAGAATTCCCTTCCGTCCGATACTGTAACGTCAGAACGCAAACGGAAAAAGGATCACATTGAGAGTGAGAAAAGGTGGTTCTGGTGTAAATCAGACAGGCAGCCCGCAAATGATTGTTCCTTGCTAGGCCAAAGGAGGCAACAGGGCGATTCGGCGGGAGAAAATGAACGAAATGGTCATAAAAGACGTACCAGTGCGGTCGAAATCACCGTTTATGATCTGATTCAGCCAGATGATAGCTTCCAGGACTTTGACAAATGCCTCCCTCGTCTTCCAATTCCGCATCAAGCATCTCCTACGGCGCCCCAAGCACCGAAATACACCTCTGATGATCTCATTGATGAATCATATATTAGTACAGCTTCACCGGATCCTCTTCCGCTTCCGCCCCGATATCAATGGGTTTCTCTTCATCCTCAACCAACCGTCGTGCGCGTCTTTCGGAGGGTTAGTACGTGGTTTATTCCTGGTAATAGTTCTGCTCGAAAGAAGCTACGGGAGAAGCGACGTAAGCAGCAGGCAGTGAACAGGCACAAGATTGAGCGATCCAAAACAAACTCGCATAAGCAAACGCAGAAAGTAGATGTTGGCGGAAAGGTCGAAGCTAAAGGAGCCAGGAGATGTCGATCGGATATAATAACGGGCGCAGGACCATGTCCTTTTGGGACCGGTGTTATAACCCCGCGATCTCAGTCTGAGGCCAATACGAGTGACGAACTATTGCCTTTAGATCCATACTTGAGCCAACGACTGGTGGACGCCGGATTCACTTCTCGCCCAAACACCCCAACTCCTTCAATCAAATCACATTACACCACACCAGCTACACTGAAAGCGCGGCCCACTCTGTGCCGCCGAGAAACAGTAAAAAGCCGCACACAAAGCATCAAGAGCCATACAACCGCCGTGACGTGCAGAACCGTCAAATCACTTGACAGCCGGTCCTGGCGTCCAGCGTCCGAAAGAGATCTTCAGATGGATTTTATGTCCAGCATTGAGGCAGCAGATAACCTGCCACCTGTACCTGCCATCCCTGCTCAATATCAGAATCTAACAAAGATGTCGAGTCGAAATCCAATGCTTCAAATTAGTAAGACAATAGCTAGCAAGGAGCCCCAAAATAGAGATTCGCCGAAAGTAGAATCACTCGACATAAAGCCTCAGAACACCGGTCAACCAAAAGTGGAATCGGATCAGAGAGAGCCAAGCAAGAATCATCGACCTCAGTTAAAAAATGGACCATCTCAACACGACCATCTTCAGATGACGCAGGACGTGACTGATGCGGACTGGAAGCGGACAAGGCCGGAAGAACCAGCAGTTCTGAAAGAGCCGTCTGCGAAATCTAAAGTGAATAAACGCCGTCATTGTTCAAGTTGCTACCTGTGGGATGATGGACGAGGTGAATGGAAGCTTGTGAAAAAAGATGCTGCGGGTGAAGTTATTGAAGAAGTGTTTGTCGGAAAGGCAATTTGATACATAGGGTCACATTTTGTTGTGAGGTTGTAATAGGGAGGAATGTGTTTATTACTGCTGTGTACCAATTAGATTGTTCATGTTCATTGTCGCCTTGCCAGTTTATATAACATGAAGTTTCTGATGGCTCAACATCCACATAACTTTATTTTATGCTTTCGGAGATAATTCGAGGGTCGCATGAGTGATGACGACACGAGCGCCGCCCGCCTAAGCATGTATAAGCCACTCGTCTCCTGATGTGTTGGGCATCCCCCTGCAGAAATATAAGACGGGGGAGTTTGGCAACTCGTCCTCACAATGCAATACCGTCAACACAATGAGCGCAGGCATTGGAAATGACGAGCCAACCTTGAAAAACTACTGGGAGGAAGTCGACCAAGGTTTGCTCAGTACTCTTTGTCGCATTCGGTTCATATTTGAGTCTCAGCTAGCCACTCTCCAGACCTCGTTGTTCTTCCATCTTTAACCTTTGATGCCGAGGAGTTAAATAAAATCTCTGGGCTGGTTAATTATGAGGAGCGTCTTCTCTACCATATTCTTCACCTCACCCACCCCGCCACGCGGGTCATCTACATCTCATCGATGCCGCTTGACCCAGAGGTCATCAACTACTACATTTCCCTCCTTCCGTCCTCTCTATCACATAAGGACCTGTCGCGCCGTCTTCGATTATTCTCTGTCCATGATCCATCCGGACATTGCCTTGCCCAAAAGTTGCTGAGGAGGCCTAGGCTTTTGCAGCGGATCAAGGGCATTATAAGGCCTAGCCGAGCCAGATTGCAGGTATATCGGAGAACAATGTTCGAGAAGCGGGTTGCGGAGGAGCTAGGATTGAAGCTGGAGGCTGCTACTCCAGAGGAAATGAAATGGGGAACGAAATCTGGTTCGAGGAAGGCATTCCGGGAGGCACAAGTGCCCCATCCAGTGGGAACGTACCAAGCGGCACAGAGTGTAGAAGCGTTGGTAGAGGCAATTGGTGAGGTTTTGGTCCACAATCCGGGAGTGAAAAAGGGCATGGTCAAACTCGATGAGTCTTTTGCGGGCATGGGCAATGCCATTGTGGACCTGAGCGAAGCAGCTGAGATGTTGCACGGATCCTCCAACTCGACCTATCACGTCGATTCTTCTCTCAAAAATGCTATCGGAAGAGCTTTGGAATCCATGTCATTTGAATCCAAGGACGAATGCTGGACCCGATTCCAGAGCGGCATCCAATCCATTGGCGCCATCTTTGAAGCGTTTGTCCCGCAGCAAGCTGGGCAAACAACGCCGTCCGCTCAAGGATATATATCAGAAGACGGCCAAGTGACTATTCTCTCGACACATGAGCAAGTAATGGATGGGCGACATTACGACGGATGCCAGTTTCCTGCCAACTCGGCCTACGGTGCTGGATTAGTTCGTTATGCATCTGAGGTTGGCCAGGTACTGGCGAAGCATGGTGTAGCAGGGCACTTTGGCGTTGATTTTATGGCAACCCCACCATCAGCCAACTCTAGATCAAACGAACACAGCCTACATGCCCTAGAAATCAATCTCAGAGCAACAGGAACAACATTTCCTCTCATGTCCCTCCTCCTCCTCAATCACACATCGCTGGATACAACATCCCCAGCGCAACTGAAGACAAAACATTATATAACAACAGACCATTTCGGCTCCGAGGCTCTTAAAACTTTAACTCCAGGAGATGTGCCCGATATTCTTTCACGGTCTCCCTACGACTGGTCACACGAAACCCAAACAGGAGTCGTTCTTTACATGATTGGCGGCGTGGCAGAGTTTGGACGGTTTGGAGCCATGTTTGCTGGTGATACCCTAGAGCAGTGCAAGGTTATGATGAAGGGATTGATGCAAATCTTTGAAGACGAGGCTGAGAAATGGAATCAGGAAGCCGAGGATGTGCCAGAGGATTCATTTAGCGTCTTGGTTGGGAGCGTCGTTGAGGCAAGCGGTGCATAGGCTGTCTGGACATTGGGATGGCAAAACCGTGTACTTAGTATCATATTGCCCAAGATTATGGATGTTACATATGTAGTATGTCAATCGCCTCCGTTGTGTGGTAAATCTGGGCGTCGACTCCCATAATGCCTGCAATTGCACTATGGAAAGCCATATGAAGACCAACAGACACACTACGATGTCCACATCAAGATTCTGCCATGACATTCACCAAATTTCCGTACATGGTTGCTGTCTATTCACACTGTGTACGCATCAAGGGTGCTTCATGCGCGCTGTGCAAACAACCAAATGTGCCATAATGAATATTGTTTCCAATGGGCTCATCCTAGGAATGTCCCGGGAATTAACATACTCGTGTCAAATCTTCCGTCCATTAGGCATACGAAAAATTCCACGATCCATGCTATATTACGCTAGTAATATGTCACCCAAAATTGATTTGGGAATACAATGAGCTTTGACGCAGACTATTCTCATGCGGGTACAAGCAGAGACTGATCCTGCGGCCTGGCATGACTAGGCCTCACGCTTGGTGCTGACCTGAGATGATCTCCTGATAAAGCGCTCCCAGTGCTGGAGACACACGAAAAATAAGAAAATGGGATTGACTGAAGCAGCGATCTAACTGCCTTTTCACTTACTGTCTTGACTGTCTTGAACGGGATATCATGGAACCAGTAGTCGTGTTGTGCACCAGAGTTGTCAAACTCTCAAACACATTCTCACAGGACAAGAAGATCTGTGTGAAAAAGAGCGCCGTAGGAGTGTCGAGTTTGGCGTCGTCTGCAAGGAGTAGGAAGCCAAGTATCAGTAAACGTTTTTCAAAGGCCTTACAGCAGATCGTGGATCACCTTTAAATGTTCTGAAAAAAATAAAGTAGATCGTGAGGGTTAGGAGTAGGAAGACCATCAAGAAATAGTTGGCAAATTCCAGCGACCGCATTCTTTCAAATCCGGTTGTTTTATTCTCGAGATTGAGAAATGCGCGACGAAGCTGGAAATAATGATATCAGAGAAGGTCGATATAGATGAGGACCAGTAGCTTCCAAAATACCTGAAGGCTGAAGCAGATGAATCCTGAGAAGGCATAAAAGACTGGCAACATCAACGAAATCGCAGCAAACTTTTGTGTGAAAGATTGTGGAGTTGTCACGCTGAAGACGCATCATGAAATAAATTAAGCTATATCTTCAAAAATGCTCACGGAGATACGTACGGGAATGTCCATTCCAGCACTTCTGCTACCCCCATGTAGGTGGTGACAACGCCGAATATCGTGACAATAATAAGCGTTACAATAACGTAGATCTTTTTGTGCACTGCGAGGGTCAAGGGGATCATAAACCTATATATCAGCTGTTAAAAGGGGTTAACCGCAAAATGCATTTTGACGTTGTAAATTCTACCTCATCATGCCCGCTATATTCAATGCCACCTAGAACATAACCACATACAAGTGAGTTTCTCTAGATGAAAATGCGCTAACGCCAGCAGCCGAAATTCTTACCAGACCAACTACCCAACCTATAAACCCTGTAATAATAGACACTCTCGTCCGCGATAAGAAGATGCCTTGTACGATCATCGCTCCTGTAGTCCCCAACCCCAAAGACCCGATAAGGAGCGTATATGCACGATAATTTCGAACGTTGGTCAACAGCCGCCAGATGGAAACGAGAATGTTTCCAGCAACTAGAGGTAGCGCCGCACCGGTAATCATTGCGACGGTGGCATATGCGTCTTTCGTTGACTTGAGATACCCTTGCATGATGTATTGGACCTGTGAATTACTTGGATTGTCAGAAGGTGACAGTACAAAAAAAAAGAAAAAGAACTACTTGCCCCCACGTCTGCCATGCAAGGCATTGTCATGTTCGTCATGGCCATCTTTGCAGTAGTTTGGATTTGGCAAACGCCGTAGTAACGAGCAGAGAGGTTTTACGTTGTTGAGACACCGTCTTCATATATTATGCGGAGGCCGCAGAAAAAATCAGGTTTTGGTTCTAGTTTTATCACAATACCGAGAGGATGCCAAACAGTTTTTTTAAATGAATGTTGATGGGGGATGTTATTGCAAAAACAAACTCTGGCGAACCTCTACTGAGTAGCGAATTTAAATGCAAGTTCATCCAATTTAAAAGCCCCCATAAAACACCACAATTTGTATTCCATGGGCACAAGAACCAGAAACCAGGAATGGCCGTAGAAACCAACTTCTGTTATGGTATTGTTCTGCTTGTAACCCACAGTTATAGTGCGTCTACCGTTGACACAGCAAGGAATGACCCTCATCTACGAATACTGTGCCCATCATCCGGCAATGAACATCCGGAAAGCCCTCCGATTGATTGGTGAATGATGGGTAACACAACAGAAAGTCTAGTTACGCTCGATCCTAAAACAAAAAAACCAATCCCGCAAAGATTGGCCTTGGGTATGGACAACCCCATTGTTTCAAGCGTTCATTTGCTTCCGCTAACGCCTGCCACAGTACAATACCAATCGAATGTTTTGAAGCACACGAGCTCACATGAGCAAACAATCTACGACCGTGAAATGCCTCCCTGTGCTGCGATAGCGGCCCAAAATTGTAACAGAATAACTCAATTTCAAGCCAGCACTCACAGGGAGGAAGAGACCATAAGGTTCAGATGCGTGAAAGAGCAGTGTGTAATGTGGCCTTACCGTGTGGCGGTTAACCTGTTGCCACACCAGTCATCAGTGGGAGGAAGGTTATGGCGCCGCTTGTGGCCACGACAATAAAGGCTTTTTATGCCAATCCGGACTCGTCTTCCTCTATTGACAAAGGCTGATTTTCAGACCTCAATGACACGGCATAGTTATAACATAGTTATAATGTTCATTTGTGGGTGACATGTTCGTTTCGGCAGGCGTTTGCCAGATGTGCCAGTTCAAAACCTGACCCCAGTTTGAAAGTTGGCGTACAATATTTATCTTTATTGAAGCATCGAACACCGGAGGGTGGTGCCATTTTAAAGGCACCTGTTACAGGGTTCCTGTTTGACTAAAGATGCGCCTTTGAGAGTTGACAGCTGTCGGTGAAGCGTGAGCACGCAGTGCGAAAGGGATAAGGTTGTGCAGGTTGTTAATATTGAACTATTAAAGTTTACTAATCTTTCCCATCTCCTTAATTCCATCTCTACGTAAGGTACTAAAAGCACAGCGTCTACCGAACCTACTGCTCTGTTCTTCAACTTCTTCAGCTCAGCGCATGAGTTTCATTTCCAGTTACCCATCTATCATGAATGTCTACCATGTTTAATCGTCAGCTTTATTGGCGCCTCGTGTGTTCACTAGAGGAGTTCGGACACCTCCTCGTGCGGCGCCAGCAATATCGTTGAGGGATACCGCTATCCAGGTTACTACGGCAATACCATAAAGAACAAGAATGGTCATTATTATTCCTCGAAAGGTCCAAGGTAGAACGATTTGACGAGGCTGTGAGAGTACTGGTGCTTCTGGCATGACTCTTGATATGATTATCCTGGACTCGGCGCGATGTTGTTTTTGGCGGGAGAGAGATATTTTGTGCAGGTTTGTGGTTTGGGCCAGTAAGGCGCCGTTGTTTTATAGACTATCTTGGCGGCTGAAAACCATATTTTTGAAGGTGGTCAGTCGCCAGATGAAACTGATCTTGTGAACGATGGGTGCAGCAGCGCGTCCAACTTGGGCGGAGGCGCCATGAAGACTTCCTTTGAATGCAGCGTTCAGCTGGTTATCTATGAGTATTGGTATTGACTGCTTTCCAAGTATAGATGATGGGTTGCGGATTCATCGTTCCATAACGCACTGCTTGTTCTGTACCATACCCTGCAAAATGCAGGCCCCAAAAAAAGATGGTGCAAAAGTACTTGTACAGAATTCTACCAGAGCCTAGCTAGTGGCATATATGAAAGATATTCCATAGAGTACACATACTTATGAGAAAAGGTAAGGCTGATGGTCCCAGTTTAAGAGGCAACTTGTGTAGATAATACGGTATGATGTCATTTATTTGGATTGGGCAATCACCAGCTTCGTCCGCAGCACTCGCCTTCACCGTGCAGGGTAAGATCCATGTCTTGCGCTCTTTCACGTACTGTCGGGAACCGCTGCGGCGATTACTGCGGAACAGCAAGATCGTCAATCGCATGTACCAATGTTCAAAGAAGCCATCCCGATGATGACAAGATCACGCAGTGCCGGATCTTCCCCTTAGAGTCGTTCCGGGCCATGCTGCTAGTCCCATCGCCTTGCTAAAGTTATCCCAAGGGCCGCTGTGAGATGATGAGGGCATTGTCGTTCACGCCTCAGTGTGGCGGTGAAATTGAAGAAACCAACGAAGTGTTCAATGCGTCGCGCTTTTCGCAAATGATGACATCACACTATTGGATCGTTCGTCATCCTTCAACTTGTGGTGATGGCCGCGGGCTATAAAAAGGGGACAAGGTCGCAGACCTTTTCTTTCTTCAAACTCATCAACCAAAGAATAAGCAACACACACTCTTCCCTCTTTTAACGACAAACACTCTTCGATCACCACAAAAATGGCCTCTCGCAACACTATCCGTCTATTCACCACCACCTCCCGAACACTCAAGAACCCACTGCAATCCGCTGCAGACGCCGTCAAAAAGGCTGCCCAGGCTCTTAAGGAAGACGGTTCAATTGGCAAGCAATTCACTCCTTCCGGTAAAATCGGCGGCACCGCCGAGAAAGTCGGCGGACCATTGTCGTCCAAGGGTGCCATCGGAAAGCAATTCACAACAGAGGGAGCTATTGGCGGAACAGGACAAAGAGCTGCAGAGACTGTAGAGGCCAAGGCTAAAGATGTTGAGCGGAACCCGCAACGCGCGGAGGCTGAAGTAAGGAGTGGTGCACAGCGGGCTGAGAAAACAGCGAAACGGGCTGTTGAGGACTTTGGAAAGGGTGCGCGGAGGACAGTAGAAGATGCCAATGACAGAACAAAGGATGCTGCCAGAAAATTTTAAATGGGGATTTCCTTGTAGTTTTTCTTTTATAGCCTGTATGGACGTCGCTTGTGAATAGGATTTGAAGCAAAGATTCCTCGGCGTTTATTTACGTTATTCTATTTGTTTACTGGCACTTGCGCTCGTCGTAAGCATTTCTTGGTAGAAAGCTGCCGGTTAAAGGCTATATTGAACTGGCATGCTGGCGAGTGTCATCTGTTGTTACAAGTTCAGTCCGTAATCCTGCTTGAAAGACCACAGACCAACTCGGGAGTGATTACGTCATCACTACAGGCAAAGTTGCCACGCAGGTACAGTCGGCTTCTGCTTTTGGTACAGAACAGATCGCCGCGATCTCCACACTCGCCGTAAAGAATGCGCATACCCTTCCACCATGGCATCCTCTCACGCCCAAGTGGCCCACAGCTGTCCTTTCTGTATCGTACGCGCACGATAGCCATGGCCCGATGCTTGACAACCACAACGTCACATTCTGACGCCACTGTCCGATACGAAGGACAAACGCCGCTTCTTACCCTAACTGTCTCAAACGGGGCGAAAACTGCGTTCCGGATTTCGCCTCTAAAACCCGTATCCGTACTGCTGGAGCAAATCAAAGAGGAAGATCCTAATATCAAGGAGATTGCGGTGTATGACTTGCCAAAGGAGAATGAAAAGGACAAAGGGTTTCGATGGGCCAGGTGATGAAACCTCCATGCGCTGTACGTTTTAGCTTCGGAGTAATACTAATGGGCTTGTCAATAGATCAACGCAAATTTCGCATGTCCTCAGCCGATCACTCCACCGTGGTGGCTTTGTCCTCCTCGTAAACAATACGCAGCTCCTCCATGTCCACGTTCCGACGTTCGAAGCCCGTGTTTCTCCTTTGAGACATGAGCTAGAAAGTGTCGAAAACCAGCTGGTACCGCTCCGGGATACTAAAAAGGCTTTGGATGAAAAGGCGCACAGAAGCAGCGTGAGGATTGCTTGGCTGGGGTTGGGTGCGCTCTGTGCGCAATGGGGAATCATGTGGGTTCTTTCTGTCATTGAAGAGAACCTGTAAATTAGTCTGAGCTGATTGATAGTCGTGAAACCTTGCAGGGCGAGATTAACTTGGTGGGAGTATAGTTGGGTAAGCGATCCTTGACATTTAGTCTTTTGTGCGCTGGTTAAATGACCCTTGTTTCGCCAGGACGTAATGGAACCAATAAGTTATTTTATTGGGGTAAGTCCTTTTACGGGTACGTTGCATTTCATGGCGACCCCTCACATAAATTCATCTCGACAGGCTGGCACAGGCATCCTAGGGTATGTGAAACTAAGAAGACCACTAACCTAACCCTGCCGCTGATTCACCCATTCGATAGCTACATGTTCTACGTCGTCACCTCAAAGGAATATACATACGAAGCCCTTGCGGAAGTAACAGCCACAAAGCACCAAATCAGACTATACAAACGAAAAAACTTTGATTTAGCAAAGATGGTCGAACTAGAACGACGAGCGCAGAGGTTGAGACTACAGATTGAGGTCATCAGGAAAGAATACCAACCGACAAGGGAGATGTTAGAGGAAGTGGATGCGGGCGTCAGGGTTGAGGCAACTTGATGAGCTTGTGATGGGCATCCTGGGCAGCGGACCGAGTCCCTTTATGGTGTCCACGCATCCTCATATTGCAATTGCGTAGAAAATCCATAAATATTTGTCCATAGATCGTTTCGAACTTTTGGTTTAATAGATGTGTAAACTAATGAAGCGTGGCCGTAGCTTGAAGCAAAAGCAGTCTGAAAGGCGAGCTAGTTCCCTAGCAGAAATTCTGCGAGCTAAAAAGGCGATATTCGCGACCCGGCAGTGTTCGCGCTCGGGTTTGAACCGAGGACCTTCTGCGTGTAAAGCAGACGTCATAACCACTAGACTACGCGAACTGGCTGACGATTGGCTGGGCCAGGATAAACATGAATGAGCATAACAAAGGTCGGAGTCCGTAGCAGTGGTCTCCCACCGGAGCAGGATCCCAAGGGCCAGCGAGCCATTTTTCTTTTAGAAAGCCATTTATCCACGCAACAGCCACAATCCTAAATAGTGTGTCGAGTGTTAGTGCGCCATACGTTTTTTATAGACGCATATGATTATCACACGGAAATGAAACAAACAACTGCGATAATGAAATATTCGAGGATGTGGCCAAAGATCCCGCAAACAAACAGTAAAAGCCATCAAGCAAATAATCCAAACACCAAATACCGGGTAGAATGTGAGCGGCTACCAGGCTAATGGAAACGTTGACCATAATCAGAAAATGTCGAACATCCATCGGAGTTTTAATGACAAACAATTTGGTGGCATTCGATGGTGTTTAGACGTAGGGCTCATTTTACTTTTTAATAAACGTTTTCCAACTCTCTACACGACGTTTTCGGTGATTGTGGGCAGTTCAGCATTGGTTCAAGATGGTCAATTTTTGTGGGTGCTTCCCAAAAACCGGACGTCAGCGACGGCGGACAGTGCCCGTGAGTGACCCTGCAAATGTGGTCCTAAAACAGAAGGCCCAAGCCGCTTTGGAGGAGCCGCAGTCGCCTAGTGTCGGTATCAATTGGCAAGGGGAAAATCCTTTGGGTATGTCTCTGGTGCACCGGATAACATGCTGCATGGATTCTAAGGCCAGTTCGCCAATCCAGATATCGAGCGAGAGTTTCCAACGACGCTGGATACCCAGCGCTGGTTGGATGAGTTTCGGCAGCAGGTCTTTTGTCGTTTGGTCAACGATCTGAAATGCCGCAGAACCTAACCTTAAAATTACTTTTAGTCAAACCTCGCCTTTTTGCAACATATCGAGGGACCGTCGTCGTATACCGCAGAACCAGCAGCGGTGCCAAATCATGCTCTCGTATTGGACCATGTATATGGTAATATCAGCGGCTTTGCATCTTCGTTGAGGACGCAAGATAACATTTCTGGGTATAGGATATTCCACCGCTACACAACGCTCCAACTACTTATACCTGTACCCACCGACAACCCAATCACAACCTGTAACCATCTACCCTGCTGGCAATACCATTGTGATAACCCAAATGCCGCAGCAAGTGGAGTCACCAATACGTACCGTCTTTGCTCAGCATGTCAATGCAATCACATCCCTTTGCGTGCATCCAGATGGTGGGATAGCTGCTTCCGCGGAACTGGGGCCCAAGCCCGTCATTACGGTGTGGACATTGCGGAACTCTGTGTCGGCAGCAACGACTAATAGTGCAAGCATTCCTCGACGGCCAAAATCACCTGGATCTAAGCTGTCATTGCTGGGTGTGCAACTGGACGATGACACGGATGTGGTCAAGTTGGCGGTTATTACGCTGCCAAGTGACATTGTGCATGTACCCTCATTGGCATTTTCAAAGGATGGAGTTTATTTACTGATTGCCGGAAATCGGGAGGATGATGCAGAGGTAAGCGGATGACGCATGTTTGATAGACACAAAGGTGTCATGCATCTCCTTGGTATTTGCTTATATCCACTGGCAGGTTACAGCCTTTGACTGGCGAAAAGTGGACACTTCCAATTCAGAATTTTCTACACCCGTCGCTCGCGCCATATGTCCCAGCAGAGTGAGTAATCTGAAATGCTGAAAGAACAGAGATTAAGATGCACACGTAACAAGAAACTCACCCATACACTAGTTGTTTTCAATCATCCCCCATCCCTGGAGTCGCCGCGATTTTATCACCACCGGCGTGAATCACCTTGGATTCTGGACCATAGACGTCTCCATGCTCTCCGGAGCCGCATCCTTGTCCCATAAGGAAGGTTTGGTAAACGAGCCAGGATTATTGGAAGGGAGCCGCAAAGCAGTACCGCAATTATGTTCTCGTCCCACGTTTCTGTGTGCCACCTTCACCAAGCATCGGATTTTGGTCACTGGGGGATTGAACGGGGATATCGTGTTTTGGAGGATGGGGAAGGTGGATGTGACATGCAGGCGCATACATAAGGTGCGGCACGTGGTTCGCGGTATCATGTTTTAAAATATGCTCATTGCTTTTGGTAATACGATAGGGCCCTGTCCTCTCCCTTACGGCCCTTCCACTTCCTGCACAATCCTTCCTCTCGGGTGGTGGAGACTCCCGCATCATCTTGTGGAATGATTCCCTCCAACCTGTCTCCGAGATCTCCTTTGCTGAACAATCTTCCATCCGATCCTTGGACGGCGGGGGATGCGGCGGATTATGGTTCGGATGGGGCCAGGCCTTGCGAAGACGGGCGAGTCGGGCACTTGGGAGGGGATCTGCATTACGGCCAGAAGGCATTCCGTATCGGTACGGGAGTGGGACGGTGAATGACGGCGCTGGGTATGTGACCAAGGCCTTGGTTGGGTGTGGCGACGGTAGCCTGTGGGAAGCTGGTTTTAGAAGTGACGGGAGCGCGGTTAGAACGTTGCTGCAAGAGGTAAATTGCTTCACGGGTGGGAGTCGTTTTGTTTATGTACGGCAATTGCTGACGACTGATCATTTGTAGTCTCATTCCACCGCAAACAATTCACAACTTTGGGGACTTGCAACACATCCGACTGATGCTGCTCTACTTTTAACCGCGTCAGACGACGGATTTCTCCGATTATGGAATGTGGAAAGCCATGTCCTGGTAGCGTATCTCAGGTCGCATAGTTATTCTGTATGTCATCTGATTATCTGCCTATGCAGGTTGTTAAGCGTTCTCTCAACACCAAACTACGAAGCTGTGCGTGGGCACCGAATGGAAGTCAAATCGCCGTAGGAACGGATGACGGTGTTGTAAGTACTGAGTCCCACATGATCTACCTAATCGATATAAACTGAGAAATATCCCAGGTACATATTCTCACTGCGGACATTCACGGAACCACCAACGTCATTCGGCAGCGTCGCGATACAATTCACGACCTAAAATACTCTCCCGATGGAAACTATTTGGCTGTGTCATGCCACGAAGGCATTATTGATATTTATGCGGTAGCCGGAGCCGATGTGGGATATCAGAGGATAATGTGCTGTAGGGTAAGTTGTTTGTATTTGGTATTCACATGTGGAATCTTGGTCCTGAAAAGAATTGCGTAGGGGCATTCGAGCTTTGTCACCGGAGTAGATTGGTCAACAGATTCCGTCCGTCTTCAGTCCAACAGCGGAAATAGCGAAGTCATGTTCTGTACGTGAAACGGTTGCGCGCACATTAGTTGCATTTCGTATATTTACCATCCAATGGCACGTTAGGGACGATGACATCCAAAACCCCACCACTTCCAATCCCGTTCTGCGACGTTGAGTGGGCAACTACGACCTGTCCCCTAACATGGGGCACAAAAGGTGTCTACAGCCACGGCGATAGAGCGATACAAGAGAAGGTTGGAACTCTGGACCCGATCAAACAGAAAATCTGGTTATCCCGGGTTTTGGGGTCGAGTGAACTGAGGAATGCATTGTATGAAACACATGGATGCATACTTGGGTTGCGAGAGGTAAAATTGAATCAATAACCCGCATTCTTTGCTTGGTCGAACTGACAGTGATGTCGATTTTTCTGTAAGGTGATATGCAGCACGCGGGGAGTGCCAGCAGATCAAACCTCGGCCAAGCCAGTGCTTTTGGTAGGAACGTCAAGAGGGGACCTTCACCTGTTACAGTATCCTGCGCACCAGACTGAGGTAAGTACCGAGACATGCAGTTATCAATATATTGCAGGCTTGTGACCTTGGATATTTTCCAGGCTCCAGCATACACATGGACTTCACACGCGGGACCAGTTGGAAGAGTAGCACTTTCATGCGACGGAAGATGGGCCTTTTCCATTGGGGCGCGAGATGGGTGCTTAATGCAGGTAAGGAAGCGGCTTTCTTACAGCCTTCATCAAAATCGGTCCATGTTAACCAGGTCCTGACACAGCACAAGATCGTCAGCAATACATCTATTACAAGGCATGGGATATCAGCGGACATGTGGAAAAAGTCTGTCATGAATTTATAAATAATTAGCTCTTTATATGGTGGACAATGTACATACAAAACAATTATATGGCCGATGAAAACGAAAAAATTGGCATTGACGGTACTTCAGTGAGGAGAGCGAGGTTCGAACTCGCGCATCTTTCGATACTAGAGCCTAAATCTAGCGCCTTAGACCACTCGGCCATCTCCCCGTTGGAGACTAGACAGAGGAGTGATATTCATATTCCCATTCAGTCCATAATAATTGTTCCAAAATCCAAACCCAAAAATCTTTTCGCGTGCAGATCCTCAAAAGACAAGGAAAAAGTTAAACTTGCCAGTGGCTGACTCACAGCTACCCCATTAACCCCATTCCAAAAAGATATTAAATGCCACCAGCTGTCCTAACGCTGGATTATGGCATTCTGGGCGGGATGCGTGGGAAAATTGCGGTCGATCTGGCCGTTTCTCGCCATTGCGCATTCCACCTTCCTCCCTTCCTTCCTTGTCGTCGTCGTCGACGTCGTCGTCGGATTATTCCCAAGTTTTACAAGAACAGGTAAGGCACAACTGCAGAATGATTTTGGGCGGGGAGTACAACAGGAAGGATTGCGTTGGATGAAGGGGGCGCGCGTAGGAAAGGAGTTAAAACGACAGTATCCATTTGATCCCTCGCATCCTGTCGTTTGCATATCGTTCGTTTCTACATTTGCCTTTTTTTTTTCCGACAGCTGTCACGATTTCATCTTTTTTAATATCTTTCTTCACGTTGTGACGACATTTTATCTGTCTAAAAACCTACATTTAGGCCTCATTTTGATACTCTATACCGCATTTTACACATCCCTCTGACGTTACACTCCAAAGTACCTCTTGCATCTCCTCTATTCGTGAGCGAGTTTATATCAAACCCATTCGGCATCTCCTTCCCAACCATTGTTCGAGAGTTCCCGTCCTTCACCTGCGCGTCCTTTGAGTAAGTGGGAAAATTGGTACGACTGCTGCTAGAGAGCAATTTGGTGACACACTTGGTGCTAACTGTGCGTAGGAATAGGACCGGAAAGCAAGATTTTTCTTTTTCAATGGCACCCTTGCCGCCACTCGATGTCAAAAGTACTCTGACAAACAACTTATCGGCCGCACACGAAGCCAATCCCTTGTATAGTGCATGGGAGACCACCATTGCTGTATCGATAGACTTCCTGCAGGGGGCCGTTGTGGGTGTATGTGCCCTGTTGATTCTTCAGATACTGATTAAGTATGAATCCATGACCGGTTGTTAAAAGTTGTTTTTTGCAGTCTTTGTTACTGACTCTGCCTGGACAGAATATGCCAGCTAAAGTACAAACACTGGAAATACCGCGACTATGACGAGATACGAGACACAAAGGACGGAGATGAGGAAGAGACATTTATCGACGAAGAAGAGATAGGGTGCCAGTCAGCTGATGAAGGGGAGGATGAAGTCCGTTGCCAAACAGAGCGCTCATCTTCCACGCATTCTAATGCCCCACGTCCTTCAACTCCACAACGGAATTCCTCGAGTTCGTCTATCAAATCTGCTGCTGCCGAACTACCTGTCGTGAGACACTGTCGACTTGCCGTTCGTGCCATGTTGCATCTTGCGGAGATAAGTCCGGAAGTTATTTCCCAATCTGCTCTATTTGCAGACGGGCGAATCTTATCCGGACGCCGTAAAAGCTCCGCACACTACTCCAAGAGATCAAGCACCACGTCAATTGGCGATCTGGACACACTAGTGCAACAAGATCATTCCGAAAAGCGTGGACGAAGATTGAGTGATAAAGGAAGAACCCGAGTGAGCTCAGGCCGAAAGGGAAATCGGAACAGTCTTGGCCGATCTAGCGGCGCAAAGGCTGCTGGAAACTTGTCATCCAAGCGTCGATCAATACTTGCTCGGTCCCGAAATTCCCAGCTTTTTGATGATCTTTCGCAGGTTGATCTGGAACGGTTTGGTGGAATGGATCCACGACCACCACGACCACCATCCGGAGTAAGTGACTCGAGACGGAGCCGAAATTATTACAAAGATCGGGATAGCGGCATTGGTGACGACTCGGACCACTTTGTCGCCGATGCAGATGACGAAACCGGTGATCGCGTTGATTCATCGCAAAGCCGAGGAGCTGCATCGGATGACCAGAGGGAACACCGCCACGGCGATCATTCAGACCTACCATCTAGCGAATCAGTGGAAGACCTGACCGGGACACGAAGATCTCGCACGAGGCGATTAACGAGGTCTATGACTGAGTTCATAGGTCCAGGTTCAGATGGTGAACCATTGCCTCCCAAGGCACCAGCAGAATCTCCCCGTCGAAACTCCACTGCTACTCGTCTGCTACGTCGTCGTTCATCAGGCACTGGAGCAAATCATGGACACTCGCGGAAGAAATCGTCCGGGAGCACTAGTGAATCTTCCAGCCCTCAGCATTACAAAGGTCCGGGGCTAGATAAGCACTACCTGGCAGCCGAACATACCCATGAATGGACGATTGCTGGATTTGGGCGTGTCAAGTTTACTGACCATGCACCTGTTGCATTCAAAGCCGTTCGAAATTTTTTCAAGTATTCCTTTGAGGAAATCAATGCTTCGCTATCTAACCCTTCTAAGGTTGACATGTCGGTCGGAAAGTCGGATGCTGGTACGTTGCACAGTTATACTGTCAAGGTGGCGTATATCACTTTAGAAACTAATACTGATCATGGTTCTCAGTCTTTTTCACAACACAAGACAAGCGGTTTTTGCTTAAAACTCTCCGCGGCGCGGAGCCCGACAACCTCAAGCACTTCCTTCCCGACTACCTCACCTACATAACAAAGCACCCCAGCACCCTTCTCCCACGTTATCTAGGCATGTACACATTTGAACGCATTGGACAGCAGTCGAACGGAGCTTCGTTTTTGAGCGGGTCCCAAGATGAAGCTATTTCCCTTGCCTTGGCTGGGAAATTCACCGTAGTGCTCATGGCAAGTGTCTTCGACACTGACTTGGAAATCCACACGAAATTTGATTTCAAGGGATCCAACGTTGGGAGACAGACATTAAGGGATGTTTTAGCATTTGCGGCAAGGAAAGAGGGCGTGAGAATGAGCTTTGATGGTGGTGGGTTGGCCGCATCAACTTTCCAGGCACCAGATGGTGCAACTAGTGACGCGGAACCCATCAAAGCCGTATCGTCGTCCCCAATTGTCATGCCAGGCGTCTTACAACAAGGATTGTCATCAAGTTCACGACCGACCTCGACCTCTGATATGGAGAACATGCCCGTGACGGCTGACCTGACATTAAAAGAAATTGATTTTCAAAAGTTGATTGGGATGGGGGTTGCCCACCGGTTGTGTATGGGTGAGGGGATGAAGGAGAGGGTTTTGCGGCAGCTAGAGGAGGATGTGGCGCTGTTGAAGAAGCACGAGTTTATGGATTATAGGTCAGCATGCCTTTGATGGTCTTATCGAATGCGTTTTGTTAACTTTCTCTGTGCGTTAGTCTGCTGATTGGAGTTTACAGACATCCCAAACAAGTACGCCAAGCAACTCCACCCAACACTCCCCAGGCATCCGGTCTACCAACATCACCGACTTCTTCAACCAGCCGAACAGGCAAAAGTCCCAAACCTCCACCTATCAATATCCCACCAGTTCGACCAGACACGTTTGCATATCTTTCCGAGAGCTCCAGCCAGACAGCTAAGAGCGCATCTGCCAGTCCCAAACCCGGCCCGTCTGCTCCGGTCACTGTCCATTCAAACACGGTCTTCCACAATGCTGTGAATGTATTGAGCAAATGGATTGGAGCAGGCGGCGAGAGTTCAGATCGGAAGGAGGAGGTTGTTGAACGCGCCGATCTCAGCGAGGAGACGCTACTGTCAATTGCAGAGGATGTGACAATGGACGATGCCATGGAACGAGGCGAGAACGCGGACACTCACAGGACGTCCGCTCCGGCCGCGGCACAAGAGGAGTGGGATTCAAGTCCGGACCTTGATTCGACAGTGTTTGACGACCCAAATAAAACGGAACAACACGAGAGCGATGGTATACCTTTTCAAAAAAGATTTAAAGGTGGAATTCGGAGTTGGGATTTTGCGGAATCTGAGACGGTCGAATATGAGGTATGATGGATATCCTGAGATTCGCTGTGAGATGGACGCTAACATTTCCATTATAGGTTTACTTTATTGGTATTATTGACATTCTCCAAAAGTACAATATGCTTAAATGGTTAGAACGAAACTTTAAGCGACCCATCTTTTCCTCACGCGCCGATATTCCCACCTCCCTCTCGACTCTCTTCTCACCAACGCAAGACCCTCCTTCCTCTCCCATTGTCGCACCCTCGACTCCACCTTCCTCTGTTTACACGTCACCCGTTACCTCTCCTGTTATGAGCCCCATCCCGGCGCCAGTGGTGCTACCGGGAATGGAGAATTTTGAGAATAGTGTAGAGGAACCTGGGCGATATGCAGAAAGATTTGTGGGGTTCATTCGAGGTGTGATTATTTAAAAAAAACCAGAAACTTGTTGGTTCAACTAGCAATTGGGCGGGGTCGCCATCTGAATGTATGACTCAGCATTATTACTAAGCCACATATTCATGTGACAACCCTTAACACGTGTCGTGTTTTGATTGGTGGAATATTGTGATTGTCACATTGGCCTCAGCTGATGTCCATCGCTTCTCTTTCTCCCCAACGCCCCCCTCTTTCGTTTCGTCTCAAAAAACACGAGAAAGTCACATCCATCCCACCTGGTGTCCTGCTGATTGCTGCTGCGCACACGCTCACGCAATAGCAAGATCTCTACAGTTCATTTCGTGTTTATTTCCTTGTGTGTGGTAGTAGGTCTCTACGCTTTTCATGTCTGCGGCGAGTGTCGTTTCGCAAAAGACAGAGGTATGTCTCGCGTTTGGTGTCGCTTTTGGTGAATGGCGTTGGTCTCATCTATAGATGAACTCAGGGCCAAGTCGCTGGTTCCAGCGTTCCCTCCGCTCTGCCTTCTACTCCTCTGAACGTTTCTTCTCCCACGAATCCTCCGGTAGCCGCTGCAGCCGTGCCACAACTGCAGGCAAACGACGCTCACCACCAACACCACCAACACCATCAACATCATCATCAACAACAACAGCAGCAGCAGCAACAGCACGCACACGCACACCAAACTCACAACGCCGTTTCTACACCGCCCAATCAGCTGCAGGCTCAGCAGAATCAGATTCCCGTCGGAGTTGGACAGCATCCTGGGACGCCTGTGGCTATTCAACCGCATCCCGGTGCTATGCCGACGACGCCGCAAGGCTACTCACCCGGCCCTGGCGGGCTCCCTGCCTCTTTCCCTCCCCCTCCGCCTGGAATGAACCAACAGGCCTACGCTAGTGTTTACGCGGCTGCTCAAGCTGCGCAGGCTGCTGCTCAGGCAGCCGCTGCACAAGCCATCTCATCGCCTGGGACGCCCTCAAACTCTAAGGCTCCCGTTGGCTCAGAAGAATGGTTGCGTCAGCGTCGGGAGAATCACAAGGAGGTTGAACGGAGACGTCGTGAAACCATCAATGATGGTATTAACGAGCTAGCGAAATTGATTCCAGAGGGGGAAAAGAACAAGGGGCGCATTTTGTCGAGGGCCGTACAGTATATTCATCAGTTAAAGGAGCAAGAGTCAACGAATCTGGAAAAGTGGACATTGGAAAAGTTGTTGTGTGAGCAGGCGTGAGTATCATTTTCTGGGTTTAGACAATACCTATAGTTATCTGATGGACTTGAAACTGCAGGATCCAGGAGTTGTCAGCTCAAGTCGAATCACTGAAGGCAGAGAATGAGCAATTAAGATCGCAACTGGCAATGCAAGCTGCTGAGGGTCCTGCAAGGAAGAAGCCGCGAAAGGTGAGACATGACTTTTACATTTTTGCCATGAATACATGCACTGACGTGGTACTTTTTGGGGGATTGACAGGATGATGAAGAGGGTCAAAACGCGGCTAGTGCAGAGTAGACCAGTGTCGTTTTTATGGATGCTACATTTTGGTCTTGGACCTGAATGTTCCCGCTTTTGGTGTCATTTGTCTGCTTTTTTGTTCTTGTGCTTTTTTGTATAGCTTTTTATAAATAAAAGAAATTGTGTGAAACACACTGGTCTTTTTCGTTGATATATTGTCTTCAACATAAGGTTTATTCTCCGTTCACACCACACTTTGCCTCTAATTGTGCACACCCAGCTTGCAAATGCTCTACCTCCTGTTGCAACTGTCGTGTCGCAGCGTCGACTTGTATCGTTTGGTTGAGAAGCTGAGAGTATTTGTATGTAAGCGTTTGGAGTGTTTGACCGGTTTTCATCTGAAAAAAGTCGGATTTGTCAATACATACATACATGATTCTCGCGAGCCTTTCTGTATCGAAACGAACTGCGAGCCTTACCTGCCCCATTTTCCTTTCCCTATTCACTTCCAAAACCTCTTTTTTGATTTGTTCAACCTGCGCGTCTACCTTCTTTTTCAAGTACTCCAATTGAAAGCAGTGCAACTTCCAAGCATTACTCCCAAAGCTATGCACTAATTCCAAGTTCACCATACGGGCATTCTGATGCTCCAACTGCGCACACGCATTCTCCACTGCCGATTTGTATGCTTCTACTGTTGATTCTGAGGGAGTATCGAGACGTAGGCGGGTTGTGTCAAATGTCTGTATTTTGGGTGGAGCTTCCGGGGGTGTATCGTAGGGTGTGGGTATGAGTGAGGGGTGTAGTGTGGTGGGTCGGGGGTGGGAGAGGAGGGAAGCTATTTCGTCGGATACTGGGGATGTAAATCTTGGTATTAGAGGTTTTCTGGTTTATTTTGTGGTATAAAGAGATGTAAACCTTACGTTCTGGGGAGATTTCGCCATCAATGTACGGCAGACTGATTGTAAAAGATTTCGTGAGAGATGACAACTTTAGTTGCAAAACCCAGTAGGGCATACCTATCGAGATGAACATCCAAGTTTTCTGACGTTGCGCTGGCAGTCATGGTTGCTGGCAATGGTACAGTCAAGATCTTAGCTGGTAGGCGCAGGTTTATTGATTCACAGGGACAGTGGCAGGATGAAGAACCGGTTCCAATGTGTGCTGACATGAGCGTATCGCGCTCTTTTTTCACCCGATCCTCAATAGAGGATGGGCTATAATGGGCAACAGACTTGCATCTCTGGAAACATTTGCCTTGGATAAGAAAGGCAGGCAGTTCTTTTGAAATAGAATTGCATGTAGATTGGATGCATGATGGTGATAGCGAGTAGTGTCGTCGCTACATTGATGAGCTGGGCTTTCAGTGCGCCTACCTACCGAATGCCAAAGGTCGTTGGCTGTCGTTGGATGACAAACTCCAGTCTAAACCCAACAAAAACACATGTACTGACATTAGAATAGACCTCGTCAGGGTCACTGCTGCGCACATCTCTCTGTTTGCCCTCCCCTTTAGCCGCTGTTTGCATCCCTTCAGGTTGAGGGGCGGCGGTGGGTGTGGCCTCCTTATTATGACTATGCCACCGGCGGAAGAGGCACAATCACACTAATTCCGCTTCATTTATCCATATATGTCAAATGAGGCCTTCCATTCGACCAATCAGTGCAAACTCTGCCATCGGGTTAGGATATTGTCGAAAAGTTATCGTTAGGAAAGGGCACGCGGCAAGTCGACTTGCTTTTTGCTCCTGAGCGCCTCGTTTTTTGTTTCGAGTAGAGCTCCTTTGTTGACCATATATCGGGTAGGTCGTTTTGTTCCGGCCTTGTTTTTACAGAAAAGAGGGAAAAGGGAGGCTGTTAGCGGCCTGTGTACTTTTTGTATTTACTCATTGTTGGAAGGGATCACACCTCACCTCGTCCTGTTGACTCTTTGATCGTTCACTTGTACAGAATCCCGCACACTTGTCACGACCTGGAGTCCATCAGCAAGGAAACAATGACTGGCGACGTGGCCGATGCTGCTGTAGCGAGAGATGAGACAACCGAGGTGGAAAAGGAGACTCTAAATGGGCTGGTTAACGGCGATGATCACAACGAGGAGAACGAATCTGCCGTCGAGGAGAAGGGCGTTGAAAATGCTCAGGTGAATGGAAAGCACGAAGAGGAGGAAAACGTCGCGGAGGTGGAGGAGGAACAGGAGGATGAGGAGGCTTCGACATTGGGTTCTGGCGCCGTGAAAACCACAGATACAGTCACTGATCCTGACCCGCAACCCGTTGTCGACCAAGCTCCTACTCCTCCTCCAACAGTATCCCGGACACCGTCTCCGGAACCGGAACCAGAGGTACTTCCCGTCCTCGCGACAGGACTTCCCATCCGGTTTCAATCCCTCCAAAATGTACCCCACCTGCGTCGGTCTCCTAGTGCGCCAAGTTTTAGTGCCTCGACCCCCACCTTGACAGATCGATCGGCACCTGAGCTGCGTACAACAGAGCTGCCAACCTTTGCGACTCCCAGTCCTATGAGCGCTACACGGATGCCCAATATCGGGGACATGGGGTTGGGGTCCAGGGTAGCGCCAAACTTTCCCTCGCAAAGAATGGATTCCTTTTCTTCGAGTATGCCTTTGAGTGAAAATTCCAAGAGCAAGCAGTTTAATCAGCGGTTGGATGTGAGTTTTCGGTATCATAATATTTGTGCTGGACCGTGCCTAAAGCTTGGCTCCACCTTAGTACATGATCGGAGAGTTTTTTACGCGCCAAGTCGCTAAACTCGCTACAAGTACTCCCGAGAGCGTCGACAGGATTCACAAAATCTTTACCCAGCGTGTGAGAGAAAAGCTGGGACAGCAGGTCGGTAAACAGGTGCGTGGCGGGTGGCGATTTACACATGTGGCTGTATCTCACACTATACTGTCTCCACCAGTGGGCCCATGTCACTGCTCAACCTGAAGTGGACGAATCGGCCAAAGAGATTGATGCCATGTACGACTACTTTTCTCAGTTGGAAAAGATGGTCGAAAAGCAGCGAATGGCTTTGCAACAGTTGAATGAGGTTGAAGCCGAATTGTCGCTGTTCTATCAGCAAAAGGGGTACCAGGAGCGGGATGAGGAGATTGGGAGGAACTTGGTGCATTTGGGCGTTGCGTATCACCAAGAATGGTACGTGTGCTCAGTATCTGTCAACCAAACAGTATATGGAACTCATGTCGTGTCTTGTTTTCCAGCAAGGAGCGCGTTCCTGTGATTGCGTCCTTGGATTCCTACCTGAGCTTTATCAAGATTTTCAAGGCAAAAGCAATTGCCGACTCTCGGGATACGATCAAGAGCCAGAAAACTGCTCGTCAAGAATTCGACAGGTTAGTCCTGCATTCTTGCCATTTTCTTGCATCATAGCTCTCACACCTGTACTCTGTAGTTACGCCTCCAAACTCGGCTACCTCGAAGAACGCGCCATCAAGGCGTCGACAAGACCACCTACGCCGACATTTCTCTCCTCCCGTTCAAAATCTGCTGAAGATACAGCCAAGTACCAAGAGAAGGAATTGGACCAGACGCGATGTCGGTTCCAGGCTGCCAAGACGCGGTACCAGGTGCTCAGCACGCAAGTAATCGATAAGGCGGGCTTGCTAGAGATGAAGCGGGGTGTGGACTTTGGAGCTCATATTGAGAGAGTTGTTGATGGTAAGTGCGGTTTGGTGAATGGAAAGATTATAGCTCACGTTAATTGACTATATGCAAAACTTTTAGCGCATGATGCATACGCTAGGGGTCACGGACATACAGTTAATGACCCTTATAAGCGTGTTGAAGAAGAGAAGCGTGTTGAAGAACAGAAGGTTGAGAACGGCGTAGCGGACTCTTAGACGGAGTAAAAAGGATGATGCAGAGGGATGTATATATATTCTCTATGGGGATGTGGACATTGTATTTTCTTGTCTTGGATTGTTTGGGTTTATGGAGGCATGATCTTTTTTTATTTTAATTTCTTGGTGTTGTTTTTGAATGGACGTGCCCTTTCAAATGGGTTCACAAGTTATAATTTCACAGACCAAGGTTGCAATATTTGTTACAGAAAAGATGAGCCCCACAGATGGCGGGGTTGGTTCTTGCTACATGCGAATGGGGACACGCTATTGCATGATATGGCCGGTTTTTCTCCTAAGCATCCAATACCTTGTCGTTAGGTTTACCTTGTGAGAGTGTCTGTTGCGACCTACCCACAACTCGTACCTCAGCGTGCCCATCATCAAACTTTACCACAACATGAAAACCACTCACCCACTCTCTCTGTCACCCGTCCACACGACGTAATTGAAGGGGTATGCGTATTGCGGCACGTAGGGCGGCGCATACTGTGTTGATGTTGCCGTAGTGGTCGTTGGTTGCGGGGTATAGAAAGGAGTGGAGAGTTCAAGAGGAGGCAGGGGAGGAGGATGTGGAGCGACATGAGGTAGGTGGGTATGTGCCCACGTTTGATACTGTTTCATTTGGTAAACGTTAACTTTAGGAAAAAACAAACAAAAAAATCAAATGCGGACGTATTATATACCTTTTCTTGACTGACCCGATTAAAGTTTTCTACGCGGCCATTAGGTCTTTGGACATGTACAGAGTAAAATACATGTGGCGTTACACGGACAATGGAAGCGTTTTCAGCGATGCATTCTTCAAAAGATGGATTCTGATGTTTCTTGCCCTTCTTTGGAGATGTAGGTGATGTTGGCGGTGTTGGTGTCGGAGGAACGGAGGGAAGAGGAGCCGTTTGGAGGACGTTTCTTATGACTCTCCTGGCAGCATCCACTCGATCTTGACTAATGTTCCAGCAGTGGACGACACGCCCATCGTCCGGCATGCGTAGATACACTCCAAATGTTGTGAATTTCTTGACTTCGACGATACGACCTCCCATGCGCATTACATCTTCAAATGTTTCTGTTTGGGTAGGTGTGCGAGGGGCGTGATGGGAGGCGGGTCGGGTCGTCGGTGGGAGAGTGGCGAGCGGGACATTGAGATGAGGTTTAAGACGCTGTTTGGAGATGTTTGTGTAAATCTGAGCAGATGTCTGTTAAATGCTGTTATGGTTGCGATAGGTCGTTGGGTGCAGACAACTTACAAAGACTTCGTTAGAAGGAAGGAGAACGTGGACGCTGTAGTTTTCGTTTCGGGTCTGTTGAGCAAAGGGGGGTCAAGATATCTAAACAATCCAACAGATCACGATCCAAAATGTCGTCGGAGCCAAGCGTCACAGGGGAAAAGGTAATGCGGGGGGGAAAAGCAAAAAAACAAGGGGCGGAAAAACGTACATGCAAGCGATGCTCAACGACCTGGCCACCAGCGGCGATGGCTTCTTCAAACGACACGTTTGGAAGTGGCATGAATGAATCCAAAAAAAAAATAAAAAAAAGGTTGTAAACGCAAATGGAGCGAACAAACAACGTCTGATGAATATCCCTATCCCGGATAAAACCCGACGGAAACCACCAAGAAAACGATAACTCCCACTTTTTTTACGTATCCGTGGATCAACCAAGAACAGGTCTTTTGTTGGGGAATATTTTGTTGGAGAATAGATGACATTCTCAGTGATGGGGTGTGACATAACCATGTGTATTGGAGGATGTCAAAAGCCCTGTCCCTATGATCTTTGGAACGGGGCGTTAACTGTGCGGGGGGATTTTCGCACAGCTCTATTAATTTTACCAACCATTTGCTGGCATTGCCCTTCTTATCCTACAGGGACCTGTTCTCGTTATTCATCGTTATCTGGTTGTGAACGCTCTGGCCGCTTGACAGGAATGCACCACAAAATGGGAGGCAGTCACGCCAGCGAACTCATATCAAAGGCGGTTTCAAACCGCTCGAACAGCTGAAAGGCTCCGGCGACCTGATAGAAATGTTCTACAGAATGGGAGGCAGTCGCACCATGCACACCCATGCCCACAATCCCTTCTCATTCCTGCACCTCTTACATGACGCAGGAGTGTGAGACCCCCCAAAATCCTTCTCATTCCTTTGCAGTGTGATAAGTCAAGCGTTCAAAAGCGCAACCTGATCATGACCTGATGACATAAACCAAAAGCCACACTTTACAAGCCCCGCAAGCCTTCTTCCACGCCCGTGAACGAATGGCATATGCACGTGCTATCAGGTGTGGATATAAGGGTCTAGATGGGTCTGGAATCTGGAGCGTTGCACAAGAACGACTTCGCCCCATGACCCGGTGCGTGGAAAGGGGGCAAGGTCATCGGTAGATGTCGCCGTGAAACGTTCGGCTCTTTTGAACGAAAATGGCCAATATTACTCTAGTGTTGCAAGTCATCCTTGAGAAATTTCGATAACGTAAAGAAAAAATACATTATGGGAAAATCCCAAAAAGTCAGTCTGAGTCACTTATGAAAATAAACAATAGCCCATTGTTTTGTTCTTGCGGGATTTGGGCCTGCAACAAACGGGAAAAACAAAAAACTCGTTTGTTCGTTTCTGGTTGTTTGATGGTCAACGCCACAGGTACTTTACATCCCGGCTCACAATCGGCCGCGTGCTTTGTTTGGATCTTCTGGAGCACCTTTTGGCCGTGATTTTTCCGCCTTCTCCAACTGTATCTCACATTAGACCACGCGACGCTGATATGATTTCTTCTCGTCCATTCTTCTTACAGTCTCCTCCTCAGAGGACGGTTGCGCAAGACCAAATCATACTTGAGACTTGGTTTACAGCATGAGATTATATTGTGACTTTTCTACAACACCCTTCTATTTTTTTTCGTCTGCCTTATTAAAGTTGTTGGTTTCTCCTGGATGAGTGGACCCGGGATCAGGATCGGCTTTGTCGGAGCTTTGGACCTCCGCTCGCTCCTGCCTTGTCCGTGTGTTGGATGAGTTTTTGGTTGGGCTGTGTTCACCTTGTCCATTCTGCCATTTTTAAAATCGCGCGGTTGGTTCGATACAAAAAGTGACTCGCTCCTTATTGACCCTCCGGTCACCCATCCGTGGCCAGGTACTTGGGCAAGCTGGCCAGATTGTATTTTGAAGGTTCAGCCAAGGCCCCAGTTATACAAGCCATTTGATCTTCTTTGTTCGCTCTCTCCCTTGCCACCAATTGTATATGATATATATTTTTCTTTTTTGGAACAAATCGCCGACTGGCTCTTCTCCGCCTCCTCAGGCCGTTCGTTAAAAAACTTGTCCCGTTGATTCAGTGTGATTCCGACTCGTCTCTCTCGCTCTCGTTTCCCTCCAGCAACACGCCCTCTCTCTCGAGACGTTTGCGGGATTGTCTGCTCCGTTCGCGAATTTCAACTTTTAGCGATCCCCGCGCGCCGCAACGACTTCTCTCAATTCTATTTGCTTGTCCACTCAAACCCCGTCCCTTGGCCAACCCCCCTCCACCTGATCGAGCAACGCCCTGCTTTTTTGTTGTGTACATTCCGGAATACAGTGTGCCCTTTTTTGTTTCTCTAGTTATTGTTATCGTTATTTTGTCGAAAGCCGTGGTATCGTTGCGGATTCTCTTTTTCTTCTCCTGCTTCGAATCCCCGCGTAGAAGCACCTTGCTGGTTTTGCCGGCCAACGGGTTATTGCTACTCCTACTCTGCAACGCTCGGCGACTTGCCTGCCAGCCCATACCGCATACAGGACAAAGTTCCATCTCGCGTCAATCAGCACCACGGGACTCTTTCTGCCTACAAAGGGATTATCTTTTCTTTTTTGTTTTATTTTTTGTTCTTTCTTTCTTTCGGGATTGCGCTCGCTGTGTCCACGTTCCCCGCGAACTCGGAGAGGTCAACATCTTTGTGCCCTGTCAACATTATACGTGGAAACAAAGCCTCTCGAGATACCAAAGGAGAACAAAACATATTCCCTTGTTACCAGTCTCCTAAATACTGGGTCCATCTATCTCTCGTTCCTTGTTCTCGTCTCGCGGTCTGCCTGCGACCTGCGTTGGAACTACTGGTGTCTGTGCCCTCCCGAGCTTTTCTTAGTGCTTTTTTTTTTTTAGCGTAGGCTCACCGACCCCCTTGTATTCCACGACATGTTGTCGCGGGCCGGACATGCGTCGGGGCAAGCCGTCGTTGCCGGGAACGCTGCAACCCTAAACGGTAGCGGTGCTGGACACTTGACTACTATATCGCCATCGACAATGGGAACCCAGCAGCCAACAGCAACAACGACGCAACCCACAATAGACGTTTTGATCACAACAGCGGCGACCACAATGATGACGGGGACAACAGGTGTAAACTCGCTACCATCTTCGCGAAGGTAGGCTGCAAAAAAATGTTGCTTTTATAATGTGGGCGTCCGCAACGTCATCGTGGGAATCCGCCCAAATGGCGCGGTTCAGATGACGATGATGGAGGCACCGTGGAGGCAATTTGCTGACGCATGGATTTGTTAATCGCACTCCGACAGACAACGACATGGTCTCCGAATACTTCAACACCCAGAGGTCGTTCGATGCTGTGGTTTCGGCAACAAGGGTATATTTTCCACAGACCGAGAATGTGGGCCATTTATTTATATTAATGTATAAACAATACCCTAGACCGCCGATCAATCGATCCTCCTCCTATTCTCGAGCTCATCACCTATGATTCCAACGGCAACGAAATCCCCGCCAATCTCCGCGAAGCACCTTTTATGATCGTCCACGCGTCGCTCTGGACCGCAGACGGTATGACAGACAAAAGCCTGCTAGAGAATCCATATTGGAGCGCGTCGCAGGCTCGTGAGCGGGAAGCGGCGATTCAAGCAGCACAAGCAGCAGTGCATACCACGAACCACATGATGCCATATACGGGACCGGATCATGGATCTGGCCCACCACAGATGGGAAGGGATAGCAGCACACATTGTCTGGTTGGCTCATTGGTTAGCATGGCGCACAAGTTCACCGACACGGATGGGAACAAACGGATCATGTTTGCCTTTCCTGACTTGTCGGTACGGTGTCCAGGTATATATGCTCTAAAGTTCTCGTTGGCAGATCTGGGCTCAAGGTATGCATTCTCAATATAACATGTTGCATTCCCTTGATGATTCAAAGCTTCACAAAAACCTCTATTGCAGCGCCGCCAAAATCACCCACGCGACAAAATCCCTCCTCTCCACACACCTTTCAAAACCCTTCACCGCGTACAAGCCCAAAGACTTTCCTGGCAAGCGCGAACCCACCCCCCTCTCCCGCGCTCTTGCCAAACAGGGCATCATAGAGATTCACGTGCGCTCAAATCTGAGCACAAAGCCTAATCAATTGTCTAACAGAGATGCGGATCCGCCTGCGTACCTTGTTCAAAGAGGTTCAGGAGACAGCACTGGAAGTAGTGGGAGCAGTGGAAGCGGCGCTAGTGGTGTGAGCGGGAGCAGTGGTGTCAGCGGGAGCAGTGGGAACAGTGGGAGCAACGGTGGGGTGCTGAATGGGAGTGGAAAGGTGTAGATCTGTATGGGTTTGTTAATTGTTTTGTTAGAGCGTGCTAGTGGTGTTTGTGGATGTGTAGTTTGATTGTTGAGTAGCGTTTGTGCTTATTTTTATCTATCGAATATTGGTATGCGCTGGCATAGAATGAGCGCAAGCCTATTATAAAATATCAGTATTCCTGATTGTTGAAGAGCATGTTGAGATTTGTACATCACATGACCATGGGTCTTACGGAGCAACATTAGGGAACAGTTTGGCACGCGTCCTTCGCTGCGTCCCTTGAAGAATCTTACCAACATTCGCGTCCAAGGCATCGGCTTTCCGTGTCGATGCGTGCGATCTTGCGTGAACTTGGTTTGGGTTAGCGCCGGCGCTCTTCATTTGTATATGTAAACTTTGTATCCTTTATGTCGGCCTCCGAGGGTTTGCAAAGTTTTATGGATTCCCTTTCGAGGGATCTCCAATTGGATGAAGTATTTGCAGAAGTGAATTTTGGAAAGGACGAAAAGAGTGGTAGGTTTGTTTCCGGCATGTGCTTTCGTGCGCCTTTCCATACTGGAAAAGCCAATATAACACACTTTCCAGATCGACTAGCGGAGAGTCGCGACCTAACCACGTTGCACAGTTCGTTCAACCCCGACACCTTCCCAGACGACCCTAATGCCCTTATTGAACAAATGGAACGCGAGCTCCGCGAAGAGTTTGGAACACACAGAACGGCTGGCCATGATTTCTCCAACGGGTTCAGTCTATCCTTCGACGTTGAACGCCAGGCGAGCTATGGGGGCGATAGGTTTAGCAAACTCATTGAGCGCGAGATTGGCGATGTGGAGCGGGACTTTTATCGATCTGAGGGAAGGAGTGCTGGGTCTTCTCCTATTCTGTATGATGATGCAGGCGTCAAAACCATTGATGAGGAGAGTGTTTTAGAGTTTGAGCGAGGGGGATCGCCATTTGATGACGAGGGCGTGAAAGGCTTAGAGATGGAAATGGGTACTATGAGAATCCGTACGCCGTCTCCAGATTTGCGGACGGTTGGAGAGTCGCCGAAAAGCACTGCGAGGTCCCACGTTGTCGTGAAGGAGGAATTTATGCAGGCGCCAGATTCGAACATAAATAACGAGTCTCGAAGAGGCGTATCGCGTAGTCCGCTACCGCGGTTCTCACCGCAGAGCTCGTCCCCAAGTATCCAGCAGTACCGGCTCTCCCAATCTCCAACCCGCGAGCCACCGAGATCTTTTTCCCGCCTGAGCGATAATATTCCAATCAAACCCGGGGTATCGATTTCCTTTGCAGAGCCTTCTTTTCCGGAGCACATACGTGCAGAGTCCAGATCAGACGAGAATGATCCTTTTCAGGGCTCTGCTCCTGTTGAAGCTGAGCATCGAGCAGTGCATCGTGATGTGCTTGGTGAAGACACGCCGCGATCGCCCTCTTCGCTGGATCTCTTGCCTGGAGGGACAGGGCCTGCTTCCCCACCTGTTGAGCTCCCTTCTGGCTTGCGCATGTCCATGGCAGATATCCTAGACGATGTCACTCCGACATTTCGCACGGTCCCCAGCTACAGTGATCCCTTTGATGGCATCCATCGTCATTTACCGCTTGTCAACGTCCCGGAGGATAGCAATACTCGCGCCGTGGTAAATGCATTACGAACGTTACAAGAGCGTGTTGGGAAGCTGGAAGGCGAAAAGGTCGCCGCGAAGGAAAAGATTGCAAAATTGGAGGACGAGTTGACTAGGACTAGGGGCCTTGTCCTGTTCGAGCAGGGGCGATTGAAAGAGAGTCATTCAGCTAAACATGTGGAAACCAAGAAAATTGACATTGGAAGCGACCTCCATAGTCAGATTCCTGACAAGGACCTGTTGGACCAGCTTAAAATTGAGAACCAGCTTCATTCGCTTAAAATGCGGTCAGAGATTTTGCAGAGGCAGCTAGAGCGGTCCAAGGAGACTGCTTTGGAAGTCGAGCTGGAAAGAAATAGGGTGGTTGAGCAGTTGGAGGCTGCTAGGAGGGAAGTGAAAGAATTGAAGAGAGCTATGGAATCAACTCAGGATGGTGATGGGAAGCAGGCAAAGGTCGATCAAGCCCGGGTATTGAATGATGGTGTGAAAGAGGAGGTTAGGACCGCGACCCATGATACAAAATTAACTGGAAGACAGCAAGCGTCGCCTCAACGTTCCAATCCACTTCCCCAACGCTCCCATCAGGACAAACGCTCGCCTCAACGGTCCTCAACCCGCGCATCTCCCTCCAAACGTAACCCTTCTCCTACCCGACCCAAATCAGTCTCTCCGCGTAAACCCTCCCCAACTCGACCTCCGTCAACCGACTTATTCAGCCGCTCAATCCGTTCGGATGCCCCTTCCCTCACTGAAGACAGCTTCCTCCACCCGGAAGAAATCGACGCGCTCCAAAAGGAAATCGAACGAGAACGTGTTGAAAGATTGAATCACGATGGAGGTCGGGTCTCTCGAGAGGATCGTGACAGGCTGAGGAAGCTGGTTGTTGGGCAGGTGCGCTTGGGGAGGAATGGGAAGGTTGAGGTTAGAAAGGGGGAGAGAAAGGTATGAATCCGAGGTTTTACTTGCCGAGAGAGATGGGTTGCTTATTGTATCGAGTTTACATAGGTTACGACTCAGCACACGAGGGACGGAGTCAATCCCGTCTGGAAGAAAATTGAGATTGGCCGACCTCGGCAAAAGCTCGTGCCCACATCAGGAATCAAACCTCGAGTCGTCATCAAGTCTCCCCCGCGAAATGGAACTTTATTTTGCACACATGGATCGAAAGATGAGCGGGGGGTCGTCAAGGGAGTTGTCGGAGGCAGGCAAATGCCCTTTATTATTGGAACGGTATGCTACTGAGCTTGGGTTACCCGGTCAGATGGCCTCATTGACATGTCTCCTTGGCTGACTCGCAGAGCACGTCGAAATCGTATTCTGTAACAGCCAACATTCAAAGAGTCTTCTCCCTACTCAAAGCTCATAACCCGGCATTATGCTCCGTCTGCAGTCGACGGGATAAGCCTCAAAAGGACAAGGATGAAATCACTGTTCACCGTACCGTAAAACCAACCGATCAACCACACACCACAGGAAAATCTACACAAACTCTTGGTGAACCATGGGACGATCACGCTTCTTTTCATGACGAGATGCTGAGCACTGATGGTGGAGTTGAAATTTTGAAAAAGGTGTTGAAGGGATTGGAGGAAGAATTTGAAGCGTTGAAAAGGTGTGCACCCTTTTACGATGTCGCTTTCTTTATTTTGTGGTTGGCCTGACGTATCTTTCCTCTAGACATTATCACACGCTTGTTCAAAAATACGACAGTGCCGCCGCCCAGACGACGACCAACCCCACCCCACCACCGACACTCCGAGCATTGGGTGACCGGCTCCGGCAGTGCATACAAAGCATGGATACCAAGGGAGACCAAATTAGAATCTTGAGAGAGATTTTGAGAGGGGTCGGTGGGCATTTGCAGAGGGTTCATACCGGTGAGCCGAAAGCCAGAAAAAAGGACCGAGAGGACGTGCTGGAAAGAAGGGTAAAGAAGGAGGGACATGCATCTGGAGTGGACAGCTTGAGTTTGTTAAAGAGCAGTCGCAAGGTGCAAGAGGCGTTGGCTGTTGGGCTTGGATAGAGAGAAGGTGCGAAAACGTATTTATGCTTTTTTTCATTATTGGTTTTTCGGTGGTGGGGGAGGGAAGGGTTATAAAATTCTAAACTTTTAATGGCAATGTTTTGACCCATAGACGATCTTGTGCAAACTTAAATTGACCCAATTTCACTGTATATTTATCACTATTTTTTCTAGCTTATACACCAAAAAACCATACGAAATTACTAGTATTCAAATGTCATATCTAATGTCCATTCAGCACCCCGCCCTTCCATTTCACAAGACTTTCATTTTCGGCTTGGACGTTTTCCTTAACAACACATAGCCTGTCAAGAACCACCATGTACTCAACGCCACCAAGATTCCTGCACATGCCCATACAGAGAGCCCGTTCAGATCTTGTTGTTGCAGGACAAGTTCACCGGTGGGTGTGCAAGGTTCGTCAGGTTGGCAGGAAAGGCTGAGACCTCGGAATTCGAGCTGCATAAAAGATCGGTATGCGTCTAATTTTGAAAAAGGTGTGAGAAAAGAGTAAAGCCATATAAGAGAGCCACGAAGATACTCACATCCAATGGGTGATACGTAGTGCAACCACTTGAACCACCAGCCCAAACTCCCATTATTGATAATGTTTCCACCAAATAGCAAAAACACAACCGCGATCATCGGAGCAACCGCCATCGCCATCTGTACTGTTTCAACACCGCTCGAGACCATGAAACCCAACGCAACTGCTGCTGTTGTCTCTAAGGCATTGATAAGCAGCCAGGCAAAGAACTTCCATGCTGAATGTTGAAGGCCTATCATCCAGTAAAGTGGTACACATGCCAACATGGAGTAAAATACGGCGGGAATCGCTTGGGAGAGTACTTTGGAAATGTAGAATGAGGATACTCGGTATGATCCCGCGGACCGTTCTCGGAGCATGATGACACGTTCGAGGGGGAAAGTTGCGACAATAGGTTGGATGGTGACAAAAACTTGGTTAATGGGCCAAAGGAACAGAATTCCAGCCCTGTTTTGAATCCCACGTTGGTCCTTATCCAGTTGCCAAAACGCGAACCCAATGAGAATAACGAGGACAGCCGTTCGAACAAAGGAGGCGATCACTACAGGTTTGGATCTCAACACATCCAACCAGGCGCGTTCGAATAGGATAAGGAATTCTGTAAACCAGTTGTTGGACCAGCCCGCTGCTGGTTCTGGTGAATCTCCTGGTAGGGCGTCCAAAGAGACGGTCATAGAGATTTTTGGCTCAGAGGGGTGTGTGACGGGGACGTTCGACTGGTCCAGCTGTCGATAGGCTTCTTGTAGCTTCTTGACCCGCGCTGTGTCCTCTTCGTGAGTTTCCTCATCGATCGTCAGCAAGTCGAGGAAAAAGTCGGCAGGATTCTTCCGTGCAGGGCAGGTATACCCCAGCGACGCAAAATGCGTCAAAGCATCTTCGACTGGGCCGAAAAATACTGTCGACCCACCGGCCAACAGCACCACCTTTGACAACAGCGAGAGAATTTCATTGGAGGGTTGGTGGATAGTCAAGATGACGATACGTCCAGTTCGGATCGCTTCGGCTTTGACATTTTCAAGGACGGCGTACGCCGAATTGGAATCTAGTCCACTCGTCGGCTCATCCAGGAACAGAATCTCGGGGTTTCCCACCAACTCTTGGGCAATGGCTGTTCGCTTCCGTTCACCTCCACTCACACCACGTGTCAATCCATCACCAATATAGGTGTCCTTGGCTTTGGATAAGCGAAGGGATTTGATAACATCGTCTGTGAGAGAAGCTTTTTCAGCTTTAGCGTATCGGGAGGATGACAGACGGAGGCGGGCAGCGTAATTGATGGTTTCGCGGACGGTGATGTTGCTATACATTTGGTCGTCTTGTTCAACAAAGGCTACGAGTTTTTTCCAGGTTTTCCGGTTCCGTGGACGCCCATCGAGCGTGACGCTTCCACTTAGGTGACCTGTACCCAAGCGACCAGAGAGGCTGTAGGACCAACAATGTCAGTTCAAAAAAATCCATCGGTCAGAAAAAAAAAAGTCATCACTTACCAGTTTAAAAGCGTCGTTTTGCCAGCTCCACTACTTCCCATGATCGCAACCAACTCCCCTCTCTTGGCCTCACCCGACACATCAGACAGCAGCGTCCGCGATTTTGGTTTACCGTTATCGTCCTTTGTCTTCAGATCAATCGAGTAAGTGACATTATTCCAGGATAGGGAGCCGCCCCGGTTTGGTGTAGGGATGTCCGTGTCGGTGACATTGATGGAGAGGTGCTCATCAGAGATTTTGGAATTTGGCGGCATACTTTATGGTTTATGTGATCTTCGTCAAGTATCCCGTATTTTATTTGTTTGAATGCAATGTATTGTTTTGATGGTTTTATCATACTAGGGGGGAGCACTTCAATCCTTTGCTTTTATAACCAATACAAGAACCTTTGCATGGAACAAAAACGAGAACGATAGTTTTTCCGCCGCTAGAACTCTTGTATTCTTGTTGCAAATCTATTTGTCAAAGTATGTGTTTTGTCTTGAACAAACCTTCGGAAGCCCGGAAATAAAAATAAAAAGGCGCATGAAATGTCCAGCGATCTTCCCCCTCCAATTGTCGGAGGGCTTAGCAAATCCATTGCAACAGGCGGATGCGGAATAACTTGAGTATATTTGGGTCTTCAAACAATTTACCAAATTGAAAAGCGTTTGAACGTGGCAAGTTGCAACTGGCCTAGAAGCGTTTACCGGTTGCCGGTAGGACGGCAAGTTATGACAAGCTGTTTATCGTCTTGTTCGTTTCAGATTCGAAGGTTCCGATCTTACGACGAACGTAATTATTAATGTGTGTGCTGTGGACCCGCTCCCGCGTTGACTCCAATGGCAAATGGTAATTGTTTCTTTGTATTGGAGGATTTTGTTCATTGCTGAGGGGTTGGACCTGCGTCATTCCAAATTCTGGAGGATTTTGTTCATTGCTGGGGGGTTAGACCTGCGTCATGCCAAATTCGAGACGTTATGCACCGCATGTCGGCGTGATGGAAAGGAGACGACAGCATTGGCAGCATTTCCAGCGTGTGCAAAGAACAGAGGGAGAAGCTCACAGCTACTACTTTTGGTTTGATCATGCAAAAAAACATCTCATGTTATTATGAGAGAAAAGGCAGAAAACTAGCTATGCTATACACAATCAATACACAAAATAGATGGTTCAGCTCTCTCCGCCAACCCGTCTTAGTGCGGAGCCGATGGGTATTGGCACTAGCACCCGCACCAGGGATTGAACCGCGCGACAACCGGCTCGGAAAACCTAATCTAACCAATCTACACTACACCTGGAACACTCCTGTTGAACACCTCTGGTCTACCGTGTCCATCTAACATTGATTGCACGATCATCAGCATGTTGCAGGTGCTCAGCGTGTCCCTGTTCCAGTAGCGCATCGTCCAGGCTTGCTGACAGTTAGGGTTGGTACAACCCAGCAATCCGTGGACTTTTTCAATCTTGCCTTCGCGACGGCGCCAAGGTCTTGAATGAGGTCGTGTTTTGAAGTCCTTTTCAAGGAAGTCATCAGATGAGGCCAAACAGCGAGGGCAGACAGATTAGGTCTTGTACTCATCGAGAAGGAAGCAGTTGATCCTGTTCCGCTTAAAGAGGGTGCGCCAACCTTTCGTCTTTGATGAGGTCTGAAATCTCGCAGTTCGACTGGCGTCGCTCCAATCACCCATCACAATGGTGAAGTTTTCGCCGTACTTGTTGCGCATGTTGGATATGAGGTCTGATTCGCTCTTCTGACGGTTTATGAATGCGTGCCATTTCCATCTAGTATGAGCAGGGTGGGAGTAGAACTCCTTTCGACGATCCCAATCAGCGCGGCGAACAAGAAGGTAACGCATGAAGTCTATGAGATTCATCATCTTCTGGCTTGGTATTCGTGATTCTATGAGGTCAACTCCAGCTTCTTTCTTCATCTGCTGCCATTGCCTTTGCTGTCGACGGCTTCCAGTCTCCACGGCTCGCTGGTTGGTGGTGTAGCGAAATGTCATACCACTGTTGTCTTGGCAGTAGAGAATATCGTGCTTGTTTGGGTCGATAACGATGACATTCTCTGCTGCTCGACAAGCAGGTAAGTTTTTCTCCATGTATTGCGCTTTAACTTCGTCCTCTAAACTCTTTGCTGACTTTCTCGCTCCACGCTTTCCATACTTGTCTGCTCCTGGGTGCTTTAGGTATACAGACACCGAGGTCCCATCCGTCATGATCAAGCCTTCAAACTGCATACCGCGGCGAGACCGAAAAGCTTTGGTACGTAGATTACAGACGCGCAACCATAAATTGACCTTTTCGACAGTTTCCGCTTCTCTTCGTGTGATGCAAAGGATATGCTGGTAGAGAACGATGGTGTCGATTTGCACATGGCTTTGGATGAGAGACCGATGAAGAGGGATTGCACTGAACTGTCGAAATCCATGTCGTTCATACAGCCCAGAGAGTTTGCAGTATGCAGGAAAGAAGGCAAGAGGGTCTACAGCAACCGAATATGCGAGCGGCTGGTTGTCAGAAAGGGGAATGAAGGACCACATCTCTTCTAGAAGCTCACTCTCTTCAGCGGTCAAGTCATCGAGTGACTCGGGCACAATATCAAAAAGGAAAATTGACTTCAAGTAGCGAAGACGAGCAAAGAAATCCTTTCGCACATTGCTTTTAGGTGGCAGTTGCTGCTTCTGTCCCTTCATGTCAAGCCGCAGATTGATATACCGAAGGAGCATCTGCATGAAATGCTCTTGAACGTTGACTTTCAGGTTCGTCATCATACTCGCTGTCAGGTAATTGACTGATTGCTGCTCGCCTCGTAGATTTGGGTGAACAAAGCCGATGATTTGGCAGTACCGTTGAACATATGGCAGCAAACAATCCCGCCATGCCTTCTTTGCTTCCTTTCTTGGATGCCAAGCCTCCCCCTTGTTGAGAAGATAGAGAATCGCTTCGATTGTATCTTCATTTACCGTGGGAAAGGTTGGTGCTGAAAGGAGATAGAATTTCAGCGCGTGGGAAGCATGGTCGGCGAGTTGATGGATGATGGCGATGTAATCTAGAAGACGCTGCCGGTAGGTCCCATTAGGTAAGAAAGCCTTTGCAAAGGAAGTCTTGTTGCATGAATGCAGACAGGTAGGTCGATTGTCGAATTTTTGCTTCTTCTTTGGTGGCATGATGATTGGAATAGAAAAATGGATGAAAGCCTGGGAAATGGGCAGATGTAACGGATTTTTTGTTGGTAGACTACGGTAAAGACGACTTGGGTCTCCTAGCAGGTTATGTGGGTGGCCGTACTAGGAATCATAGTCTCCGAATCCTTTCTTTGGGCGTCGGTAGCGACTTGGGGGCGAGAGGCAAGGAGAGTCGGTTAGTTGTGAACCGAGCAGGATTTAGAGGCTTCGGTACGGGTGATCAGGCCGTTGAAGCGCTCTGTTAGGTTCCTGTTAACCTAAGATTGGAGTTGAGAAGCGAGTTATGGGGATTTTGTGTCGCTACGGCTTCTGCCCCCGACTTATTTTATTGAATACATCCTTTTTATACAAGATTCTTGGATAAACTGTTAAACTAAACTAAACTAATGGGTGTCGCTGCACCGCAACTGATTTATTGGTGGCGGTACCGATCTCTTCCTTTTCCGCACTGGCTCGGGCCTCCACAGGTTGTACGAGGCACGCTGAAATCTAATGCGCCAATTGCCATTCTCCGAACCGGTTTTTTCGGTCGCGGTAACCCAATCGGTGGAGTTGGTCACGCGATTCGTGCTTCCCGCGTCCGATTTGGGCTTACTCGCGATCTCTCGAAGACGTCCTCGTCGTTACATCCCCCCTTTGAAGAGCCAACGCACCGGCGCTCCGAGCGGGGGTGTTGGGACGTCAATTACCAGGTCGGTACCGGATCTGTGGGGTCCGCTTCATCTGCATCTTGGTTCACGACCCAGATGATACTGGCACGGCCACCGACGTTGCAACAAAACCAGATTTGATCTGTTGCGGTACGAACGATGGTACCCGGGGTCACGTCGGGGCCAGTTCTGGTTACGTAGAGGGCCGTAAAGGTCTCCGCGGCCCTTTTCAGGTTTGTCGCGCGGAAATGGTACTCCGCGTGCTCGTGATGTCGGGGTCTGGTGAGCCTTGCAGAGGCTTCCGCTGCGTTCGCCGTCCTTAGGAGCACCGTCCTAGCTGCTTCAATGACGGCGGACGCAAACTCGTGGGCGTCGTCGTTCGGCCAATCGGTGAACGGAGCCGTTTTTCGGCTTCCCGCCTCGTGTTGGGGAACCCCGCGGTCGAGCCAAGCGGCGCACGGAGCTGGGCGCCCTCTTTTTCCGGGTTTTTTCGCGTCAGCAACTATTCCGACCGCTGCTTCACCACCATCGGTGGCCTTGCTGTAGGGGTCCGCGATGTGGTTTGTGAGGGGCTGGCCCACCGCGTAAGGTTTCGGAGCGTCGACTCCCAGCCAAAACTCATGCCCTGGAGTCTGCAGCGGCGCGTTGGGGTTGGTCCGAAGCTGATGAACCCAGGAGTGAACCCAGGTAGCGATCGCAACCCCAAGGCGATCCAGCACGCCCTCGGCCTCGAAGTCGCCCGAGTCTTCCTCCCAAGGGTAGCCGGACATGTACGTGGAGGGTACGCTCACTCCTGCTTGTCCTCTGAGATCGGTGTTCATTGTGTTAGAAATGGAAGTTTTAGTTTCGGTGTCGATAGAAGGGGTTTGCGAAGCAGAGTGAGTGTGTAAGGGAAGTAGGTCGTGGGCGGTTGAAGAAGAAAAAAGAGGGGGAGCGTGCAGGGGCGTCCTTTTAAGGTCGTCGCCGGCTGATTTTGACAGCTCGGACGCGCGTAAGCGTGATCGGGAGGCTTGGTGTGGCGTTCTCGACTGGTGAGGTAAGCCACGCGAAACTGGTTTTCTTTCTGGTGAGAGGGCGTGATTATCACGTGAGCTATCGTCCGGATAAACCGCGAAGCATTGGTGGTCGGAAGCATAAGCCGTATCTTCCGGGGCGTCGCCTGCAAGGCTGACTACCAAAGAGTCCTCTACTAGCGCGCTAGTGGGAGCTCTGGATCTCCAGTACTCTTCTAAGGCTTCGGAAGCCTCTGTTAGGGCTTCCTCTGGTTCCCAGGTATCCTCATGGGGTGGGTATCCGGACCAACGTATTCGAAATTGACGTTTTCCGCGCCTGGTTCGATGGTCTACTATCGCTTCCACTTCAAACTCGCCATCTGAAGCGTCGGAATCCTCCGCTTGTGCTTCCGCGACCTTTTCCTCAGTTTCGGCGTCGACAGGCTTCTGGTACGGACGTAATTTCGATATGTGAAACCATGGATGAAGTCGTCTCATCTTGTCTGGCAGTTTTAACTCGTAGTTGTCGCGGAGAGGGTTACAGTCGGTCACCGTGACTGGTCCCAGCCATTTCGGAGCGATCTTGGACTCATACCCTGCTAGGTTTTTCGTGCTCAGAAGCACCTTATCTCCTCTCCGGAACTCCAAATGTCGTCGCGATAAATCGTAATATCTTTTCTGCGAATCCTGGGCTTCGATCATCAGATCTCGGATAAGGATGTTTAGGTCGCCGAGGTGTTTACAGAGCTCCTCCGCATCTGCATTTCTGGTTTCTGACGGCCTTTCGACGATGTCCGCCAGTGGATTGTGGGGCTCATAGCCTAGGTCCATTCTGAATCGCGTCATTTTTGTCGCCTCGTGTACCGTATCGTTGATAATGAATTCCGCAACCGGAAGAAAGGTGTCCCAGTCATCTAATCGGGTGTTGACCATTGTGGTAAGGACCTGCAAGACCGTTGCGTTGTCTCTTTCTGATTGTCCATCACCTTGAGGGTGGTAGGCTGTGGTGAGCTCTTGATTAATCTTTAGGTTTTTGCAGACCTCCTGCCAAAATCGACTCGTAAATTTGGAGTCGCGGTCCGAGATAATGGTCTCCGGGATGCCGTGCAATGGGACGTAGCGCTCTATAAAGAGTTCCGCGACCTGAATAGCTGTCGCAGTGCTCTTGAGGGGCCATACGTGGATCCTCTTTGAGCATTTACATGCTATTAACCAAAAGGCGTCGTACCCTCTGGAAGTAAGTGGGAGCTTGGTTACGAAGTCAGTCGTGATGACTGTCCAGCGTCCCGGAGCTGGTGGTATGGGTTTCAGCAACCCCGGAATCAGTTGCGGTACCCTTTTTGAGCGTTGACAGGTTTCACATCCTGCGCAGTGTTTTCTGAAATCTTGTGCCATTTTCGGCCACCAGACTTGCGCTGCAGCTCTAGCGTAGGTTCTTTCGAATCCGAAGTGTCCTCCCCCCTCGTGAAAAAGCTTGCGCACCTCAGGGGTGCAAGCAGGGGGCACGTAAAGGCGCCAAAGGTCTTCGGAGACTGAAAAACGGTGCCACAGCAGGTTATCTGCACGTTGCCAGTCCTGAAGAAAGCGCGTGTCGGCGGTAGTGTACGTGTCGGGGCTGGTCTCCCATAGAAGGGTGCGGGCCTGTTGGGCGATGGGGTGGAGCGGGCCGGTGAGGCCAGCGCGGATGGCGGTGATGAGTGCGGGCTGTAACGCCAAACGAAAGATGGCATCTGCCAGTGTTGAGGAGGGTGCGGGACCGGCTGGCGGGGTGCGCGGCCGTCGTCCTTTGCGTTCCGACACCCATATTTCGGTCGCGGTAGAGCAAAGAAGAGTTTCCGCGCCAAGTAGCCGCGAAAGTGTATCAGCGACTATGTGGAAGCGTCCTGGTTTGTGTACGATTGTCATCCATTCGGACCAGTAACTAAGATCGAGGGCCCAGCGGAGGAGCTTTCGGTTCTCGCCTTTGTATTTGGCGAGCCACAAAAGAGCTCGGTGATCGGTAATGACCGTGAAAGGCAGGCCTTCGAGGTATGGGCGGAGTTTTCCGAGGCCCCAAATGAGGCATCCGGCCTCGAGTTCGACGGGGGGGGCCTTCTTTTCCGAGGTGGTGGTGCCTCGGGAATGGTAGCACAGCGGGCGTTTAGAAGCATCCGGCTGTAACTGTTCGAGCGTGACATTAAACGCTGTGTAGGAAGCGTCACTGTGAAGGGTGTAGGGGAACCCTTTTCTGGGTGCCGCGAGCACTGGAGCTGTTGTCAGAGCCTGCTTGGCGGCTGCGAAGGCAGAGTTTCGGGAATCGGTCCATGAAACTTCACGCTTCGCGATAAATCTGCGCAGACCTTGGTCGGGGCGCTTGCGAGCAAGGCGTCCGACACAAAAGGGGTCAATGGGTAAGTCCGCCAGCGATGATTGGCGTAGATTGACCGCCGGTAGGTCTGAGGAGCTAGATTTCGGATGTTGCGAAACCTCAAATCGGGCTCCGGTGGCTGTGATTGTAGGGGCCACCGCCGTGTCGAGCATGGATGGTGAATTGAGCTTTTCAGCGCCTTTCTTCGGGTCAGCGCGACCCTTTTTAAGGTCTCGGTATTCGCGAACGCCCTCTTGGATAGCGTCTTGCAGGGGTCGGACGAGTTCCGCGTAGCGAGAAATGAATTGGGCGTAGAACCCTAGGAGACCCACGAATGACCATAGGTCACCTATGAATTTGGGTTGTGGCCAATCGACTATGGTTGCGACCTTGTCTGGATCGGTAGCGAGACCCTGAGAGGAGGCAACGAAACCGAGGGCCGTGAGCTGGTGAAAGAGCCATTGACACTTGTCGAGTCTTAGGGTGAGTTTGGCTCTGGAAAAGCGGTCGAGCCAGTCCGCGATGGCGTCTAGGGCTTCCGCGGCTGTCTCCACTCGTGTGTGGATATCGTCGACGAAGTTGTTGATATTTCGCCATTTGGAGGGACCCAAGGTGTCGTCCATCACCCGACAGAAGTGCGAGGGGGCAGTCTTGGGTCCGAAGGGCATAAAGAGTGGTTCGTAGATGCCGTCATGGAGTCTGAGCGCGAGCCATTTGCGTACCGACGCATCGGTGATGGCGATTTGGTAGAATCCTTTGTTTGCGTCACCTCCCGATATGTATCGGAATGGGACTGCGACGATCCAGTTCAGGATGTCGAGCATGATGGGAAAGGGATATGGATCCCAGGCCATGCAGTCGTTGGCTCGGCGATAGTCGAAGGCTACGCGCGGGGGTTTGTCTGCATAGCGAATGATAACAGGATCGCTGGCGAAGGTTACTTCGGTGGTTCGTTTCCACCTCTGAAGCCCCATCATGGTGTCTCGCTCCGTCTCGAGGGCTGTCCGCTCCAACGGAGAGTACGACCGTGGCCTCGAAAGGGGTGGCGGAGCCGAGATAAATCGAGGCGCATAAGGAATCTTGGTGTAGTTCCCTATGAGATGACCCTCATAGCTGAAGGCTTGATGGAAGTGTCGTAGAATGTTGATTAGGGCCCAGACCACGGGTTTGGGTCGCTTGAGATCGACGTGGAAACGTTCCGCGTCTTTTAATTGGGCTTCGAAGGCCCCTGGAGCCCTCTCCGTAGAGTCGAGGTTCCATTTGTTCCGAAGTGTCTGCCATTCTTCTTTGGAAATGTTCTCTTCGGGGTCCGCAACCGAATTATGGGTCGCGGTGGACAGTTTGAGGCCTAACGGGACCGTTGAGCTAGCAGCGGTGGCCTCAAGAGGGTTTTCGATGAGAAAAGTTTGGGCTGCCACGCGCGTCTGTCCCGTGATTAACATGGTTAATCTAGACTTCTGAGCTTTGGCTTTGGTCAGCCGTGGCATTGACACATCCTTCATGAATTCACCCTGCTTGGTCTTGTATGGCGTGCCGCGCATGTGATCGGTGTCCAGCTCATCCGTTATGGAGCAGGGGATAAGGATGTCTGGATTCTTGAGCGTCACCGCGAAACTGGGTAACGGGGGTTCCTGAACCAAGGTTTGGAGTTTCAAATGTCCCAAAACGTCGTTGGCTAGGATGATGAGAGGTTTCCCGTACGCGATGACCCGAAAGTAGGCGCGGAAAGTCAGGTATTCTCCGCCGCGGCCTCTGAGGGAAGTTTCGAGGCATACTGTCTTGGTAGATGAGATACGTCCACCAATGCCGTTGAAAGCCATCGTTTCCGCATCCTGCAAATCGGTTTCGGAGAACAGAAGGCCTTGGTACGTGTCGGAAATCAGAGACTCGCAGGCCCCTGTGTCTAGTACCACAGGTGCCCAGAGCTGCGCGATGACGGCTAGCGTCCAGCAAGGCTGCGTTTGGGTCTTAGTCTGGCTTTTGAGTACATCGCCTAAATCTACTGAGTAGAAGGCGTTGATAGAAGGCACCGCGATCTCGAAATGGGGCGCGATGTCGTTAATTGTTGCTTCCGTAGCCTTGATCACACTCTCAAAGTGTTCTCTAGTTTTGTCGTTTTGTGGTTTTGTTGTTTTATTCTGGCGAGCAACTTGTTCGATAGCCAGCATGACTATACGCGTCCGTTCGCTCTCTTCGTGTCTTTGGAGACGTGGATGGTCTTTAACGTGCCGAAATTTGGGGTTTCCGCGACGATAATAATAGTCTGAGCGAACGATATTGCCTGTCAGGAGAAATGCCACCAGTTGCAGGTTGGCGTACGCATCAAAGATAACAGGATCTTCAGAGCTCCACATCAAGAATTTCTCGCGCTCGTCGAGCTTTATCCAGGCAAGGAGAATCAAACGAGGGGTACCGTCTTCTCGGACCTTTCGCAGGATTCGATCCTTGTCAGCTTCGGCTGCGGCAGCGATGTAGAGGTGGTGGGAACTCCACGCGACTGCGTAGGGGTCGTTCCCGAGGTGCCCGGCGCCTCGCTTCGGTTCTTTGGCGAAGAAGCTGAGCGCGCGGGGGTTGTTGCCCATCATCAGAGCCACTTGCGGGGTGCCCCAGATGATGGCTATGTTGTCCCAGACTCGGTCCCAGCCCTGCGTGGGCGTGCGGGGGTCCTCTTCCTTGGTCACCGTGACCTTGGAAAGAGGTGCGGTCATCAAAATTGTTGATTCCGAGTGCTTGGGTGAATGAAAGAACCCGATGGTGTGGAATCCTTGATTAGCGGCTTCCGTTCTTTCCAGTTCCGAAGCCGAAAAAAGAGTCTCGGTGGTAGCGGACGTCGAGTCCAGCTCCACTATGTACGCCTTCTTCGATTCCTGTTTGGGTTTCCAACCTGAGGGCATGGGTGCTCCATATGGTCCTTTCTTTCCATCTTCAGGATCTTTTCGGTTCGGGTTCTGCCAGCAGAAAACATTCCAATGCTTTTTCTGACAGAATTTGCAGGGTGCCGGTGGTTCCTTGTTGGGGTCCGGAACCATCTTCTGAGGACCATCGCGACCCTTTTCGGGGTTTCCGGTTTTATGCGGAGCCGTCTGCTTAGGGCCTTTGTCGGTTCCGGTCTTTTGTGACTTCTTCTGAGCTTCTGCAGCACCGCTGTAGCAAGGGTCTCGTTTTCTGGTGTCATCAGAGCCGAAATAAAGGCGCAGGAAGTCTTTTAATTTGGTCAGGTTCGTGACGTTACAGGATTTGACCATGATTTGGATGTCGCTGGGCAATTGTTCGACTATTAGGTCGAAATGCTGGTCAGCGGGACATTCTATGTTTGCCCGGTCGCCATAAGCGAGGCGCCGGAGATGAGTTTTGTGGTCGATGAACGCGAGAAAGCTGCGAAATTCTTTGGGGTTCGCATGGCAGCGCACATATTCGGTTTTGCGCTTGGACTCGGTTAGGGGATCTCGGAACTCTCGAAGCAGTTCCTCTTTCCACCTTTTCCAGGTCCATGAGCGAGTTTCCTGGGCTTCCAGAGTGTAAAACCAAGCGTCAGCAGGGGTTTTCTCGGCTATCATGGCTGGTAGGAGCTGTACCATCCTGGCATCCGACGTTGCGCTAACGTTTTGAAGAAGTTGGACTTTGTTAAGCCATTCTTCAACGTCTTGGTTTCTTCTGCCCGTAAACTCGGGTACGTCCTTTGCTTTCAAGGAATCGACCTTGGTGTCGCTGGCCCACGGGGCCGCTGGCACTTGGATTGGAGGCACCGCACCTGAAAAACTTGGTTCGGTACGCTCCCTTGGTGTGTCCGCCGTTTCCCACGGGGTTGCGGACCGTTCTCTTGTAGCTCGTGCTATGGGAGGTTGTTCAGGCAGCGGGCGATGCGCTAGGGCTTCTAAGGCTCGTGCGAGGCGCTCATCCGCCGCTGTCTGACGTTCGGAAAGCCTATGAAGCTGTTCCGTAAGGTTTTGAGTTGCCAACTGCGTTGCAGCAGTCGAGCGGGCAATGTCTTCTTTTAACGCTGCCACTTCAGAGGCCATCGTGGCCAAGTTAGGGGCTTCCGGTTCGACGGAAGTGGTCCCTGAACGCCTTGGGCGTGTTGCGGGAGGGACTTCGACGTCCTCCGCAGGACCCTGACTACGAGTCTGGATCACAGGTGAGCGGCCTCGCGTTGGTGAGCGTTCGACCGGCATCATTCTCGGTTTCGTGAAGTTCTGTCTCCGAAACGAGAGAAAAGGTTTCCGAGTAGCTACCTGAGCGGATCTCGGTTTGCGCAAGAGTTTCGGTACGACCGAATAAGGTTTTCAGCTGAATTTGAGAGGGGAAGGCGGTTCGTCGCGCTTCTCCACCATGTAACGGATTTTTTGTTGGTAGACTACAGTAAAGACAACTTGGGTCTCCTAGCAGGTTGTGTGGGTGTCCGTACTAGGAATCGTAGTCTCCAAATCCTTTCTTTGGGCGTCGGTAGCGACTTGAGGGCGAGAGGCAAGGAGAGTCGGTTAGTTGTGAACCGAGCAGGATTTAGAGGCTTCGGTACGGGTGATCAGGCCGTTGAAGCGCTCTGTTAGGTTCCTGTTAACCTAAGATTGGAGTTGAGAAGCGAGTTATGGGGATTTTGTGTCGCTACGGCTTCTGCCCCCGACTTATTTTATTGAATACATCCTTTTTATACAAGATTCTTGGATAAACTGTTAAACTAAACTAAACTAATGGGTGTCGCTGCACCGCAACTGATTTATTGGTGGCGGTACCGATCTCTTCCTTTTCCGCACTGGCTCGGGCCTCCACAGGTTGTACGAGGCACGCTGAAATCTAATGCGCCAATTGCCATTCTCCGAACCGGTTTTTTCGGTCGCGGTAACCCAATCGGTGGAGTTGGTCACGCGATTCGTGCTTCCCGCGTCCGATTTGGGCTTACTCGCGATCTCTCGAAGACGTCCTCGTCGTTACAGAAAGACATGTTTAGGTTGTGTTTGAATGCAGAAGCTCTGCTATTGAAGTGTTTGCCCAATGCATTGGAGTGTTTCAAAGTGTTTCAAAGTGTTTCAAAGTGTTTCGAGAACAATGATGTAAAGTGTCATTATTATATAAAGTATCTTAACGTTCACATTTTGATTCATGTGCCTAAATTGAGTAAAATTATGATTAAATTGGTTGGAATCTATGTACTAGTGCCAAAGTCCACCGGCCCCGTCTTATGATTCGATGGCCCAAATCTCTGAATCATTGTCCACGATTTGCTCGCATGTGCTGGTTACATCGAACTGTCCTCAGGGCTTTCTTCTTGTTGTTCTCTGTCTTCATGTCTCTTTTTAAACGTCTGGCTTCGCCAGAACTGGCCCAACTGGGCGGGCGTACGTCCAAAGTGGCTATTGAATTTTCTGGCGATGGTCTCCCAGTGAACTGGACCTTTCAAAGATTCCATGATGTCCTCGAGGATATCGCGTTCTTCTTGGGACAATGGCTTTAGGGAGTGATTTATTTAGATCTGAGGAGGGTTCTTAATGATATGGTGTTTCCTACCTACCTTGGCTCTGACTTTATTTCCCACTTTGGCCTTCTCTGCATCGGGGTTGCCTTCGCCATTATCCGCATCTTCATCGTTGGGTTCCGCCCTTGATTTGACTCTGCTGTTCTGCCGTTTGGTACCCGTTGCACGCTTTTTAGTCTTTTTTTCCTTGACCTCGACATCACCGTCCCCATTCTCCTGTTTCTTTCTCGATTGCTTAGCGCGCTTTTTGGTCTTTGTGCCGTTAGGTGGATTGTTCGCTTCAGTCTCGCTTTCGATGGGGTTGAGTTCAGTGTCGTTCTCGCCTGTGCTCTGCACAAGCTGTTCCGACGCTTCGAATTCGGCTTGAGCGACGGTCATTTTTGGATCGAAGGTCAGGCAGTGGTTAGACACTCGGTATGAACAGATGGCTTCGGTGAGATCTGGGGAAGAGGAATGTGCAAAGATGGAGGTTTTACTCTGTTGACAAGATGGTCCTTCTTATTCGGCGAGGCTGCTCAAAGGATGAGTATATGAGAAGAGAATCTGTGTGCTCAGGTTTTCACAAAGCTAGTGTTGAATGTGAGTTTGATGGGTTGTGGGGAAGTTTGCAGGCAAATGAAGTATGGAACACGGAAGCTATTTGTAAATTAAGGCTTTGCCAAAGCTTCTTGACATCTAAAGAATAGACTATTTTTATATGCGATGAGCTTCCCCGTAACCGTTGCCTTTCGGACGTAATGGATCATCGAAACCCAATGGCGACATTGGTTGCGACATTACTATTTCATTGAGATCTCTACGATGCATCAACAAAGCATCGCTAAATGCCGTCCATCATCTTATCAGATTGTTGTGTTATTTATACAGCAAAGACTCCACTGGTGCGCGCTGTGGTTTAGTCGGGCGCGTTGGGCGCTGAATTTAAATGTCCCCCTCAGCCCAAGCAACTCCTGACAGCTCCTTCCACTTGCTCATCCTTCACAACCAGTGGCCCCCCAGATGCTCGGTTTCAACCCGGCAAGAACCACACCCGATTCGTTCGTAACCCTCCTCCTTCCAGACGGGTGCATCCGTCAGTATCCATATCGCCCCTCATCTACAACCGCGCGCGATTTGCTCGGCATCGTATGGAAAGACGTGGAGGCGTTCTTTGTCGCGGAGGAGATGCAGGAGCGGAGAAAGACAAGATTCGATGAAGATTTGAGATTGGCCGTGGTCAAATCGGTTGGGAATGGAGGTTAGTGTGGTCAATGTTGAGTTGTTGAGTTTTCCTACAAAGGCTAACCCATCAATGTTCATGTTTGTACAGAAATTAGAACTATGGAAGACTTGCGGGTTCTCTCGCAAGCTGAGGTTATAATACCCCCACACGCACGAATCGCTCGATTTCTACGTCCACCCCCACCGCCACCGTCATCGCCTAAATCCGCCCAAACTCCCTCACAGTCATCCGTTTCACCTCACGCTGTTCAGCTCCGCGTATTCCATCCAGCGTGGACTCTCCGTTGCTCGTTTCGACATACCCCCGGGATCCCCGATAATATATTAACACAGCTTGCTAGCCTCTTTGACTCTGACGACGATCCTCCACCATCGTGTCTCCATCGCGCAGCAAATGGACGACCGGTGTTCGAGATCTACGGCGCACCCTTCTTGTCAACCGTCCAAGTTAAACACTTGCTTAGAACGCGATTCAAGATTGAGAATGGATCGTATCTCTTACATGAGTATCGGATTATTTCCAGCGATGTGGCGAAATCTCGGATGCAAGTCTTGGGAGGCATCCCAATGGTACGACATGAGGGACCCATTGAGGCATCTCTCAAAGACGACCTTTATTATGGTACGTTGCGCACAATCTTAGTTTCCCCTTGCGTGCGACGCCTCTCACTGATAGGATGTCTGTAGAATCAAGAGCACTACAAGACAATGAATGCCCCTTTCTCCTTTCTCAACAACTGTCCAAGCAGTCACCCCCCGACGCCCCTCTAGATTTCTACTATCTCCTCACACAGGCCCTACCACCACTCCCGCAACCAAAGGTCCAGCCTTTGCAACCCGTGCAATCAACAAGTGTCTCTTGGTTGTCTTTTGCATTTGGGTGGATTACCAAGGGGTGTTATGAGAATCTGGAGGAGGAGCTGTGAATAGTTGGGAGTTGTGAAAGATTTGTACTTATGTAATTGGTTCTTCTTTTTTATACTTTTAGTTAGGGTGGCGATTGTCGCACCTCCCTTTGTACAGTAGCGATGATAGTAATAGTGAACTGAATAGCCTACGAGGCCTCGGGGCTGAACGCAGTAGATTATACGCAACCTTGAATGCCATCCTTCTTTACCCAGCTGATGCAGCAAGTATCCGGTTGGAATAGCAGCGTTTAAAGATCATGCTTCGTCAGTGACTGAATTTAGCCGCACCTTTTGATGCAAAACAGGTTTGAGAGCATTAATTTAATAGAATGCTGCCCAGCAAATACAGAATACAGGGAGCACCTTTTACCCTCGCTCACACTTGGCCACGTCTGTATCTCACCCTGACATATGTTGCTTTGGATCAGTCAGCTATATCTCATGTTATTAATTGACGAGTGACATTCCTTATCACCCATATTTTAGTGCAAGACATTAGGGCATGGAGAAGGTTACTCGCCTTTGAGATTTTTACGTAAGATAATTAGGATGCAATGTGGTTATACTTGGTTTTACGATCGACCAATCAAATCAGTGAGAAGAAAAATTATTAGCCAAGCCACGGTCGACTAACAAAAGACAAACCACGCTCCAGTCTTGCTTTCTCTTCCCTTTCAACTCACACGGCCATTTGAACGATCCCCTCCGTCGTTTTGGTCCATCTGTCCAGCCAGAATGTCTGACGCGTACGTATCTGTGTATTGTTTTTGGTGGAAAAGTGGGGAAGGGAGCAAGTAGACTGCAAGAAGGGAGGCCTGAAGGAAGGCGTTGTCCACTACACCTGTTTTCTTCCTTCTCTTTTAGCCGCAGGTCGGACCACATGCCATATTGTCTCGCACTGACTGTTCTCTTACATTCGAAGACAGTTGGGCGAGGATTTGGGAGTTAAGAGTCTTCATTACTCTTTCTCCTTAAATGCATTGTGTGATAGACGAGAGCTGTCGACGCTTGCGTCTCGTAGCTAGCCCATTTTAACGGGTTTCTCGTCTATTTCGTCCTTCGCGGAGCTTCGCTAGCTATCGCTTGGGGAATTGCTGGTTGTGATCGATTGGGCAACGTCCGATTTTAGTCGGGCGTGGTCCACCACTCCAGTTAAAATAATCGTTGGAACTGGTCGCTGGGCTCGGTTCCCCGGTGCAAACCTTTTGCTCCCCCTCATGGATGGGACAAAAGTCAACACATCAATCAGTGGCATGTTCGGTCATTGACATTCCGTCTTTTCTTTACGTATGCTCTCTGCAGCGCCAAGCAATACGTGCCCGAGTCTGTGCTCAAGAAGCGCAAGACCACTGAGAAGGTCGCCGCCGAGCGTGCGGTTGCTGAGGCTGAACGCCGTAAGGTATGTACAGAGATGTGGTGAAGACTGATGTGCAGAATGGGTGATGACAAAAAATCCCTGACCAACGAATCCCAAAGGGAGATGTAGTTGTCATAAATACCATCTTTCGGGACTGACATTCTGCATATCTGTTTGAAATTCCGTGGATCAGATGAATTTCATCTAAATCTTATTTTGTGATTAATAGGCTGCTGCCGCCAAGCGCAAGGTCATTTTCAAGCGCGCTGAGCAGTACGTCAAGGAGTACCGTGCCAAGGAGCGCGATGAAGTCCGCCTTAAGCGTCAGGCTAAGGCTCACGGTAACTTCTACGTCCCCGCTGAGGCTCCCCTTGCCTTCGTGATCCGTATTAAGGGGTATGTTTTCGTGTACGTAGCGGTGGGTGCTAGCCAGCCTGCTCATACTCCCATTTAGTATCATGAAGATCCCCCCCAAGCCCCGGAAGATCCTTCAGCTCCTCCGTCTCACCAGCATCAACTCTGGTACCTTCGTGCGTCTCACCAAGGCCACCCTTCAGATGCTCCAGTGGGTTGGTCCCTACGTTGCATGGGGTTACCCCAACCTCAAATCCGTCCGTGAGCTCGTCTACAAGCGCGGTTTCGCCAAGGTTGACAAACAGCGATTGCCTATCACCGACAACGCCGTCATTGAGAAGGCTCTTGGCCAGTTTGGCATCATTTGCGTTGAGGACTTGATCCACGAAATTGTTACCGTTGGACCCAACTTCAAGCAGGCCAACGCCTTCTTGTGGCCTTTCCACCTCTCCAACCCCACTGGTGGCTACAAGGGAAAGAAGGCCACCCACTTCATTGAGGGTGGTGAGTCCGGAAACCGTGAGGACAAGATCAACGCTCTTATCCAGAAGATGCTTTAAGCTGTCCATACATAGCAAGGGGATCGGAGCGTATCTAGCTGACTGTAAAGTAGACTTCGCTGTGTACTTTGAATGGCTCAAAATTGAATGAATGTTCAATACGAAAGGATACTGCTCCTACAATTGGTATCGTTGCATTCACGGACAAGCACAGTCGTGAATTATACATATTTGGCTTATACTTTATATGCCACCCACTTGGGTAAATTCTAACCACTATTTTGGTGAATACATCGACACTAGTAAAATCTGGTGCATAGCCAAAATTTACGGGATTCAAGAAATATTAGAGCAATATTTGGTCATCCGCATTGGTCCAGTGGTTAGGATTCCGCGCTCTCACCGCGGCGGCCGGGGTTCGATTCCCCGATGCGGAAGTTGCTGTCATGCTTGGTTGCTTTTTTGCATGGTTGATATGGTATACCAGCTTTTGATGCACAGGAAGAACAAAACAAACCTTGTAGCACATGCTTGATGAGATTCATCGAAGATTTGCGATGGTTCCTTAGTCATGGTAAAGGTACGCTGACAGTCAAGGAAATATACTGCAAGTGGTTAGTCATATGCCTTGTCGTGGCTGCTAACCCAATAGCAACTGTCCGGATTTTGTTTTACATTATCCCTCTGCGTTGTGGAATCTAGGTTTGCACTGATAATGCTGTATTCACAACGACCAATCCAGGGATAAAGAGAAAGGCAGTACAGTGTCATCTCTTCTTATTTTTTAGTTTCATCTTGGTATTCGAATCTTGTTGGACCTGCGGTATCTCCTTTTCTGTGTCCTTCTTCTCAATTCCGTCCCCATCACTCTGCTCCTCTGTTCCCCACTCATCGGGGTTGCCCCAATCATCTTCTTCGCTCCAAGGATGTCGGGCGGTTCCGTCAGTTTCACGGCTCTGTGTGTTATGGCCACCCTCTTCTTTATGGAGTTCGTCATACCATTTCAGCATAGTTGACTTTTGTTTGGTGGTGAATAGGGGGACTTTGAGGGCGTCTTCGATAAGAGGGAGGGAGGTAGGTTTGTTGGCGTCGCTTTCGTTTGTGTTCGTTCTGAGGTTTTATATCGGGGTTGAGAAGGTATCAACTGAGAGACTAAAATCAAGGATGATGTTGTGGTACCTATCTGAGTTTCTATCGAATATCGTAAAGTATGCTTCCACTGCACCAAAGAGTTTTGCCTTTTCCTTGTCCGAGAAACGATAGTCTTGGTTTTTATGGATGAATTTACGTAGTCCATTCATAGCCTTCAAAGCTTTTGGGGGTAGTACTGCTGCTGAGACAAAAGATGTCGCTTCAACGTGATATTGCCGTACTCGTTCCTCCATATTGTGCAATGTGGGGTACTGTGGATAGGAACTTGCAACGCTTCAGATCTGTGTGAGGCTCGAATGCATTACAGTAGCCAAGGCGTTGCTATGTCAACCCAACCACCCAGGCTGCGCGCAATCAAACACCAAGCTCCACTAGCGAAAAGGCCATCGTTTCTTCTCAGAGCCACAGTCTTGGCCAAGGCGGAATCGTTCCAATGACATCACAACTTCCGCCGAATCTCCTAAAACTCTTTGCGCCGCGGCCTCCTCTCCCGCATCTGGAACCCCTTGATCGTTCTCCTGCTCAACGGCGGGGACCGGTCATCAGCGGTGTTGCTGCTTTTCTCGAAAGATGTAAGGGATACGATGCGGATTATGTGCCAACGGAGACTCGAGCAGAGATTAAGAAGAGGCTGGTGTGTGCTGGTTATGATACTAGGGCGACTTGGATCGTTTTGATCGTGCTTGGGAGCTAATATATTCATTATTCTTTTAGCAACAAGAGAGGGAGCAAAAGGCGAAAGAGGCTATCCAGAAAGGACTTGAGGTATGGGATCCAAGTAAGGATGACCATATCGTGAGCGATCCGTACAAGACCCTCTTCGTTGCGCGTTTGGTAGGTTGAAAAGCTTTGGCATTGCAATTTGCAATTGGTCATACAGCACCTCTAACATAACTACTGTAGTCATATGAAACGACAGAAAAGGAATTGAAGCGAGAGTTTGAAGTATTTGGACCCATTAAAACGGTAAGATATTGGTAACAGGTTTGGCCTGTGAGACTTGTGGGTGTTTTTGTGTTTTGTCGTTTTGGCGGGTAAGTCCGCGGAGCGATTATCCCAAACCTATGGAAATTGAATGCAACCACCCCTACTCTTTACGCCAATATTGGTTCCACCTTTTTCGGGTACGTATTGGTTTCCCTCCCCCTTTCCCCTATATTCTTCGGACGAACGTTCGGACACGATCGCGCATGGCACTTTCGGATCTTCTACGGAACCGCTATGACAGTTACGGATTGTACAAGATGAAACAGGAAAATCACGCGGATACGCCTTCATCGAATACGAACGCGAAAAGGACATGAAAGCAGCCTACAAGGAAGGAGATGGAATGAAGATTGATGACAGGCGGGTTCTGGTGGATGTGGAACGTGGGCGGACTGTCAAGGGATGGCGGCCACGCCGTCTTGGTGGTGGATTGGGTGGAACCCGTATCGGTGGACCCGACGTTAATCAGCGCCATAGTGGTCGTGAGGGAGGATCGTATGCATCTGGAGGATACCAGGGTGTATATGGCGGAGACTATGGCGGACATGGTGGTTTCCGTGGATCCAGGGGCGGAGGAGGTTACGGTGATCGACGAGGCGGCTTTGGTTACGGCGGTGGTGGAATGGACAGGAGGCGGTTTGGCGGACCTGGAGGACCAGGACCGGGTGGAGGGGGTGGCGGTTATGGAGACCGACCTGACCGAGGGGATCGTGATCGCGGGTATGTTTTTCTGTGGGACAAGCACATTCTCGAGGTTTGACCTATTACATTCACTTTTCAGGCGGTACGATCGTGAACGGGATCATGGAGACTATCGCGGCTCTCGAGGAGGCGATCGTGACGGCGAACGTCGGTCATCTCGCGGTGATTACGATGACCGTCGCGGGTCGCGATCTGACCGTGATAAAGAACGACGCAGAAGCAGAAGCCCACGCCGTGAGCGAGAGAGGAGCCATGAGCGAACTGAACGGTAAGCGAATAAATGGAAATTCACTTTGCAGTCCTACTACTGATGGCTAGTTTTTGTACCCATAATAGCCGGCGTTAATGTGGCCGTCCACCTTCTCTTTGATTCAGACGACCTGGCCAGAGATCTGCTGCTGTTGCAAGCTAGAGGAATTGATTGTTCTTATGGAACAAGTGCTCCCTGTTTCAATACCGCTTCGTTTTGTCACCTTCTTCTCCTTGACTAGCTCCAATCTGTGCATAATAGATCTCAGCCTGTAATGGATTGGCGATGATGTTGTTGTTGGAAATCCTTCAAAGGGCGTACACCTTACTTTTCTGTTCACGGTAATGGAAGGTTTGCTGATTTGCAAGAATGCACGTCATGAAGATTTGCTTGAGATCCCGAGAAGTGGCGATTGCGCTCCGCAATTCATCCTTATTCCCATGACTTTCAATGCTCATTTTGTGTGGCAGCGAGTCCTTTGAAATGCTGTGCATCATAATGTCGTACGTCCGCCGTCCCCGGACATACTTAGTCGCGCGTGGGTTGCAAAAATAAACGGCATGTGCTTAGGTGGGCGACGTGATTATTCATGGGGCTTTTAACGCTCGTTTAAACGCAGCCAAAAAGAAAGTGTGAAAAACGTCAAAATGCAAGCGTAAGCGCAGGCAGCAAACTTCCTTTGGATGGTCGACAAAAAATATAAAAAAAAAACTCGAAATTTTATCAAGTTTTTATAAGCCATTTTTCTTCACCACGGTCTATTCCTAGTACTTTCAAGCTTGTATCATATCGGGAAGCTTCGGCTTTACGCTCTTCTGAAAGGGAAAGGGAAGGAGATGCTTGGCAGCAGCAAACTGCCGCCCAGGGGAAGAGGAAAAAGAAGGAGGACTGAAAAAAATCGCAATCATGACTCAAACAAAAAAGAAGAATCCCGACCTCGTCCTTGCCTTCACAAAAGGTTATAAAAGTAACCAACCTGCCCCAGTTCCCTTTGTACATTCATCAAGTCAAACATCCACCAACCTCATCATATACCAAATACCCTACATCATGGTCCACCTACGTCGTATCATTGTGAGCGCTTTCGCAGTTGGGATGACCATCACGGCTCCTACTCCTGTGCAAGCCGGAGTTGTTAGCACCGTAGCATCCTCCCTAGTCGAACTTGCTTTCGAGAAAGTTGCACAAATGACTCTTCGCCCCAACCTCAACACCATGTCCACCAAACTAACCGCGCACATGAAAGCTGAGACGCTACCCAAGATCGTCGATGCTGCTATCGTCGACCTCAAATCACACACCGGGGTCGATGTTTCGGGAAAAGTCAATGTCAAGTCTCTTGTGGATGCTCAGACGGGAGAGTTGACGAAACGAACCGAAGCCTTGAAGGGCACCATCGAGGACGCTTTCGTATTGGGAATCAAGAACGCCGGGATTGTGAAGACATTGACAACCGTAACCGAGGCAATGTCAATCAAGACATGGTCTGAAGGTTTGAAGAAGCAAACTACGGACTCTATCAGCAATTCTGTAAGTTTGCATGTATTTTTGCCATCCCAGTTGCGACCATGAGTCTTACAGGCCATATTCGCTTTGACAGGTCCAGTCAGCTGTGGCAACCTGGTACAATGCAACCGTGCTGGCTATCTATGACGACGTAACCAAAAGCATTGTATCGCAAGCCAAGCTTAAGCGCCAGGTCACTCGCCCCCTCCGCCTTCGTGCTGATTCCGCCCGATCACCCCAGGATCAAATTCTCGATGTTTTGAATGTGGCAACCATGCTAGCACTGTATGCTCTGTTTTTCCCTGTTGCTATCATTGTTGCTCCAGTTGCAGCGCTGATTAGCATTATCACCGGAGGTGCTAGTGCTTGAGTTGAACAGTAGAATCGTAGACTTCATAGAGATATATACACTAGTTAGATGTCACTACTGATATTTTATCATTATACAATAGTATGTAATTAACGTTGAATGATCTTTATCAATTGCTATGTTTTCGCGCTGGCATGGCCGATGGAGATGGAAAGAGATTTATTCCAGGGCTGGTCAACATTATTAGCCCGCCAATTCGAGATATCAAGCCATTGTCTGCTCATCAGATAGTGTCGAGGTGATGGCACTAGCTACTACACCAGGGAATAAACCAGCGATAACTGGTTCGGAAAAGCCAAGTAATTCCTTCCTTACAACCAACCAACTACGACTAGGCCCAATTACACATGCAATACATTACGGTTGTTCTAACCGGGTAACTAAGCCCACCACACGAGAGAAATCCTACTTTCCGAAATTCTTTAGTCGGAGGATGTTCAGATACTAAGGTAGATCAGAAGTAGACTGGGAATACGCGTGGGAAAATACAAAGATAATGCATACCTGCGATCGTTGCAGCATAGTAGTAGCAGCGTTTTATAGACCTTTGGCTTGCGCCTCACCACAGTTTTAAAAAAAAAAACATTACATGCATGCCACACCGCTTTGAGCGATAGATGGGGGTTCTGATTATGCGATATGATTAACCGGATTATCCGGATAATAATGAGTCTTAGTGCCATTTTCCATCACCTCCACACTATGTGACTAGTCGAGCCACAGCTGGTTCACGGGCAAGATGTCCAAGGCCATAGACAATCGCTTATCCTGCGTATTTTAAATGCCTCCCAAGTATCACCAATTTGCTGTGCGGCGAGGGGGTGCCAATCTTGTTGGTTAATTTCTTCGTTCAGGATGGGTCATGACCTCTCCTATCCAAATCTGATGACCACTCACGCCATAGCAACGTGCAGAAGATATTGTGGCACAGCTTCTGATGTTGCTAAGGGGCTCCTTGCTTTGCTGGTGTAAAGTCTCACTTCTTTTTTAGTGCTTTTTTTTCAAGGCAATACATCCCTACCCGAAGGGAATTGCTGCACGCACAGAACCCGAGGACCGGAAACTTTCACGGCTGTGTAGTGTCCGCTAGCCTGATGGCCATGTCGGCGCAAAATAGGGATGCGAGCAATGAAGGGTCTTCGTCAAGGTCGGCCGTAATTTCTTCCGATGCTGGTGGTCTAAGCGTTGTCCCTACCACATCCAATCCGTTGGCCATTAAGCCTCCATCGACATCTACGACAGGAACCCACCTGTATATCAAAAAGGACGCAATGCGCAACGGATCGTACCTTGACGTATTCGACTTTCACCTTACACCCAACTCCGCTTTTCCCACTCCTGGAACACCTCAAACCAACTCTTTTCCGCCTTCATATGGAACGTCACCATTGTATTCCTCGTCTCCCCGTTTTCCGCTCTCAGCTTCTCCCATTTCACCTCGAAGAGTAGAATCTTTGGACCGCAAATGCTCAAACTCACCTTTGACCGTTCCTGAGCGAGGCGGCGCGGAAAAAGATATTCCTTGTTGTGGTCAAATCCATGCAACATATGAGGACCTGCTTCGGCATTACGAGCAAGTGCATGCGGAGGAAAGAACAGTTGAAGGAAAAAGACCACAGGCTCGTCCCTTGCCGATTTTCTCTCCCGCATATCAGGAGGACGACATGTGGGATCAGCAGCAACCCACTGGTGATCTACATACAGGAGTTTCTACTACAAAGCCTATGGACATATTGGGAAAAATCAATAGCGGCGGCGGTGCGGGTGGCTTGTTCCCCGCGGGTACCGGAAACGTCGATGCAGATCTGAGTGCGTTGTTGGCAGCTCAACCAAGCGAGGACAATGCAGGCAGCCAAATACTGGCGAAACGAAATTTGTCTGCGGCAGCCTTTTCTATGGGCTCATATGCTGCGGTGGAATTGAAAAGATTTCGAGAAGGGTTTCGATGGAGTGGAGTGGACTTCTCGGATATCTTGGATCAGCCTGCGATCAATGATCTCCCATCGCATGGAGCAGATGATATGCTGCCATCCATGCTCCCGGCTGTACCACAAGCAGCCGAGGATATGCAGCTGGACAACGAGCAACAGGTTGAGCAGCGCCATTCGCAGCAGCAGAACCAAAATCTGCACCCTACTTCTACACCCATCATCGTGCCAGCAACCTCCTTCACAACGCCATCACAGCAAGTCACGTCCGCCTTATCACAGCAGCTTGCACCAGCTCAGCACAATCGAACGTCACCAACTCACGCACCACAGGCACTTCATCCGCCGGGTCTGTCTCACCACCTTAACATGAATATGGACGTATCTCCGCAGCTCCCGAACACTCACCAGCAATCACGTAATCGCAATCCAGAAAATGGCAACGACATCGTCGACTATCTCATCACCAATCTTGAGGCGTCCACCCTCGCTACGCCACCAGTACGACCAGTACACGCCATATTACCGGCTCCTCTGGCGCTGGATTCATCCGCAATTCAAATACCGGGAATTCCAGCAACGTTCTCACCTGCTCCCCCACCATCACATCAACAAACCCTGCTACAACGTTCGGCCCCCCCAAAGAAGCCATCTCAGACCAAAAAGGAGCAGTCAGACAGCACACCGAAACCTTTCAAGTGCCCACATGACGGCTGTCTGAAATCATACAAAAATCCTAACGGCCTCAAGTACCATCTGGAACACGGACATCCAGAAATCTCTCCTCCGCCATCTGACTCCTCCAATTCACAAAAACCACCAGTTCACAAGCCCTTTCGATGTACATTTTGTGACAAGCGGTATAAAAACCTAAACGGATTGAAATATCACCTTGTTCATGCTCACGCTTGTGACGAAGGGCAGGCGAAAATCGTTTTAGGACGAGCGAAAAGTGAAGCCGCGTTCCATGTTGGTGATGATGGCGATGTGGATGTCAATGGAATGTTGGTACAGCTGTTAGCGGTGACGGAGGAAGGAGGTGGACCTTTAGGATAGCCATGCCGGGCCTTTCTCTCAATGGATAGTGCGTGTAATAAACGGGCCCGTGTGACAGTTTGATTCTGTTGGCCCAAGATTCCTGCCCTACTAGCACTCTCATTCTAGCTGCTGAAATCTGTGTCTGCCTGTCCGCCGCGCAGATGAGATCAAGATTTGCGGAAACATATGGGAAAATTATTTGCAACATCGATTCTCACATGAATCAGAGATGTCGGCTTAGTCATACTCATTGCGTAAGGCTCCGAAGCCTCCGAGGCGCCGAAACTTTCCACAGGTTTTGGGTCACGTGCTTCAGGCACCTGGAAGGGCTCCTCTCACTACCAAGGCAGGATTCACGATCACTCCATCTCCCGCCGTTTATTGCAATGTCACAGGCGGCAACACAGGCATGGTTCGCGTATGCTGCCAAGCTTCTGTCCCTTGTTGATTATCATGTTATCATTGCTTTCAGGAATCGAAAAAAGTCAGGAAAAGTAGTTACCTGCCAGAGTGCGCTGAATCCAGGCAGAGTTTCGCACTCTCAGTTCCTGCAACTGGATCTTGCGAGTCCCGCCAGCGTCCGTGACTTTGTTGCCTACAGGCAAAAGGACACCCTCTGCACTTGTTGCTTATTACTAAAGTTGTGTATCCCAAGCGAGAAGTCCAGATCTTCAGCCTTCCCAAACCATCAGAATATTCCCAGGCCGTGCCTTAAGCCTTGGCCGATGAACAAAATGGATTTGTTGTTTTGGCAAACCATCTCGATCATTTTATCCTTTCCATTTTTCGTCTGCCATTGCTGAAAACATGTTTGCTGCATAGCTCAAAGGAAAGTTTCGATGATAACAAGTGGAAGGAAATGTGGCATTGGAGCTGACTGATGCACTTTGAACGCGCAAAGCGTTACGCAATACCTAGTGTGGGCTGACAGTGTGGGCACCTCATCAAGTGCATACATGGATCATTTCTTGGTCAAATATATCTGCTACATAGTGGAAGGAGCTAGATTTTCCCAATGGAGTCAAACTGAAGTGAAGATCGGTTCCTGAGTCAATTATCTTCGTTGAAATTCTGACTATATGAACTGCCAGTGATTCATTCCCGTGTAAGTGGAGTTAACAACCAAGCAAATTCATTACATGTGTCGTCTCCTGGGTAGATCAATGTCCTTGTTCACGGGATTACTACTCGAAGCCTGCTGCCATATCAGCCTCCGCATCGTGAAATAGATCTGAGGCGAAAACCAGATTGCAGTGAATGACCAAACCCAATCTCGTCCCTTTTCGTGTCGCCCTCGCGACGCTCCTTTGAGAGCTTGTCCTTTAAAGCTCTGAAGTTAGATCATTGACCGTTGAGAGAGAGGCACCGAAAGATTGCTGATTCCATTCATAGATTGTAACAGTAAACACAAAATTAAAGCATACACATAAAAAAAAGTTACATCAAAACCTACACTACGACAATTATCACCATGATCATACAATGCTTGCCCCCAATGTAGTAAGTTACTTTGCCTCAATCTCCAATCTTCGCAATTCTGCAACCATGCCATCTAAGAGTTTTCTGACTTGCTGATAACGCCCCTCCTCTAGCTCACTAACTTCATACCCGCACACCACCCCATCTACCTCGCAGGTAAAGACAGCTTTCAGAATTTCCACAATCAGATCGTACCACATGACGGCACGTTTCTCCGTGGGTGATAGTTTGCCGACAGCGAGATTGTTTGCAACTTTGTTGCCCTTAATGACTCCTGGTGGGACAACCGCAGAAACCGGTCCGTCCGGTAAGGAGCTTGATCGGTTCCTTAGCGCCACTGCGGCATTTCTTCGCTCCTCTTTGTTCTTGTCATCGGCACCAAAGGTGGATAGCGTGTCCTCTATCAGATGTAACAGTTCATACCATAAGAGTTTAATGACTGCACTGGGACGATTGAGCTCCTCTTCCACAGCTTCTGATCCTACAGGTCCCCCTCCACCCTTCTCAGTTGAGGATGGTTTACTTGCTTCCTTCCTACTCATTGTCTTCACCTCTTGCCCTCTCTTCCCGGCTCTAGTCTGCGTTCTCTTCATGATCTGTTCATGTACTATCTTCTTTGGCGGTGCTAGCGCTGGTGCGAATTCGATTAGATATTCATTTAGGTGCCGGTCTAGTGTTTCATTGAAAAGGCCAAGGTTTTGGTCGAGATACTCTAAAAATGGCCTAATCGCTGCTTGAACACTTTCCAATGTCGGAGTCACGGATGCGCTGTTCGAGCCAAGTGATAACGGAATGCCCCATAAGGACTTCGTAGTGCCAGACGAAAGGACGTGACTGAAAGTAGATCGTGCGACTCGCGTTATCTATGAGAATATCAAGAGAATTAAATTCACGTTACGATGCAAAAATACAGCAATGATTACTCAAGACTGACCTGTTCCGCGTAAACCCGTACCATATCCTCCAAGCAGAACCTGACACTTTCCTCTGCTTTCCGTACCCAAAATTCCACATCGTCAATCTCTCCCTTCCTCATCACCCTGATAAAAAGCTTGCCCTGCGGCTTCAAATTTAATTCCACATCATGACTCAGGAAATCCTCAAATTTGCTGTCACGAAGGAAGATGCTCGCCTCCCCACACAAATCATCCTTCCCTATTATGTCCTTGTCATACACGAGAAGATCAAGGAAACTCTCATTATCCCTCAGGGACTGTGGGACGTAAAGTTGGAAGGTTTGATTCCATGCAGGGTTCAAGTTCTTATCGATAACTCGTGTTCTGTGGAGCTCGCTGCCTGCATGAGAAAGGACTACGTACGGATCTGAGGTGGTCCAGTCACACGCCTGTAAGTTAGCCGCTCGAATGACTTTGATCGAAATCGTCGACTTTTCCTTCTCTGGCTCCGTTCGTGGCGCGGACATATCTATTTTACGCCGACCGCCGTTAGACGCGACGAGCTTGGAAAGGATGTCGTTGAGTTTCATGTGGGCCGCGACGAGGTTGTTGATTTTGATGCAGGACTATTATGTACAGGGTAAGATGGACGCAAATGACCCGAGAAGGGAACAATGACCAGGCTCACCTGGGATGAAAAGACCAGAGGCTTGTCCGCGTTGTCATTATCAATCTGCTCAAACTCGTCCCACATCATCTGAGCATACTCTTGCAATGACTTACTCATCATCTAAGTCACGATCCCGGACATTAAGCATGTAGACCTTTGCATTGTGCAATGTCGGTCCTTACCTTGATAAAGTCTTTCACCAACCGATCCTTTTTGACTGATTCTCGCCAGGCTAGCTTTTCAATAAACTCCAATCCGCCGTAGAAACAAGTAAATATGTCCATCACTGACGTTGAGTGCATGGAGACTGGTGGCATATACGGCTCATACTGAGTTGTCAGAAAAAGCCTTAGTATCAGACCTGGTCAATTATCTCCTGCCTGGTTAAAGAGCTACCTTCTCAACGTCCACGGCAGACTTCACCCATTCCAACCATTTCTGATCTGTCAGCGTCAGCCATTGACTAATAAAGGGCGCGAACCAGGATTCAACGTCAAAATTCTTGACAATGCTATGTCATGCACAAGACGCGATGGGCGTGAGACGTCATTCTAATACCTGCGATGTATCACATTCCATGCACTTACGGCAATTCTGACTCCTCACACATGTCCCTTAGCAGCTTTACCACCTGATATAGTTCCAGCATCTCGGCAATCTGAAAGTCACCTTGAAGAGAAAACCTCATGTTTTCCATTTCCAAGATGAAGTACTTCAAGCAAGTCTCTGCCGCAATCAACATGACGGACATGCCGAAAATGGGTTCGCGGAAATACAGACGATAGTTTGTGATGTCGCTATTGACAGCTTTTACAGATGTCGTCAAGCGGATGATCTCGCGGGAAAGCCCCGACACTAGGGCGCTACAGGCTCTGTAGCGTGCGTTTATCGCTTCCTGATAATTAAAGAATTTATACGTCAGTTTAATTCGTGGAGACGACTGAATTCGATTGATACTACGGTACCAATAGTTCTTCGCGGACCAACTCTTCTAGCTTTCCTGGCTCTGTCCATTCTGGATGTTCGCTTTGCCATGCTTTATCATCTCTCAACGTCGCTAAAATCAGGCCTATCAGTTGCATCGTACTATTGCATCCATCCGGGGTCTTTTCTTTCCATCCAAGCATGCTCGCGAACTGACGTAGCTTATCATGTAACGCTGCATTTAAAGACTCCAAAACGGAGATGTAGTAGTGGCGCTGTCAAAGAGACATCGTGAGCAGTGAGACGGCTGTACATCCGGCCTTTTACAACAAGGATTAATGCACATACATCCGCTACTCGCCACATATTGACACCAGTAGACATCTTTGAGATCTGATTGAACCGCGGAAACAGATCATCCTCAATCAACAATCCCAACCGATAGTACGTGACCAGTACATCCAAAATTGCAATATCTTTAAATTCTTTCGAGAGCCGCCATCGAAGAGAGCACTCGGAGAGAACGGCAATAGATAGCTTGGATAAGGATATTGCGTTGTCTTGCCTGGCTGGACTTTGCAGATCGTGTTTAACGCAGATTTCAAGAAGCGTCCGGTAGTATAAGCGTGGGTCTGCAGGCAGGAATGCAGTAGCGTCTAATGTACTAGATGCCTGAAACCAAGAACCAGGACATTTATAAGTATGACCGCATCAAGAACGTAAGGTTCGCGATCCTGTCCCACTCCCATGTGAAAAAGCAGAACAGCCACTCAGACTACTCCCCACTCGACAATCGGCGTTCGACGTAGCAACCACTTACTCTGTTTTTGATGGTATTAGGGAACCTCTGGTAGAAGGTCTGCATAAGGACCTGCAAGAGCTGTGTTTCCCGCTGCTTCCATGCTTCATACGCCTGTCGCGATTGAAAATCTGACACTCGAGCCCCTGGACAATCATCTTTCACGATCGCATCCAGATAGGCTTTCAGCTCTGCAAAGGTCGACTTCTCGGTGCATGTTTTGCGAACCTCTGCCACGCATTGATAATGCTCGTCCTTTTTGAGTTCAAAAACCACCCTCACCCATTCGGACAGGCTTGACATAATACTGTCGCCTGTTATCGGAACGATCCTTAGAAAGGATCTCAGCACCACTTTGAGTTGATCTTGTTCTTTAAGCACAGGGTTGGAAAGCACAGTGCTTCGGGGTTCCGCTTTCTGGATCGCCTCGCGAATAACTGCCATAAAGAGTTCGGCGGTAAGAAAGAGGTACTTGTCGTGATCCTCTGGCGAGAGCTCCTTAGGCAGTTCTTTGTCAATGTAAGCCCCAATGCATAATATCAGATCCTTGACATCGGACAAAAGCGCGGGATTGAAATTTTCCACTAATCTTTCTCGTAAGAATCTGTCATTATACGAGGCAGAGTTAGGTTAGCATCTGAGAAGCTGTAGCCACACTTCGCCTTTGTCATCTTCAGTGACGTAACTCTTGCCCCACAATGTACATTATCCTACCTGCCACCCGCTCTCGCAAAGGTTCCTGTTCGCGGGTCTTTCATGGCACCTCTGAAAATCTCAACTCGAGCAGCGAGCAATTTTCTGAATGACTTCAACGTGCCTGCAGCTAGGCGGACCGTGCCTCCTTCATTCACGCTGGCCTCTCCATATTCTCCTACGTTCACATGTAACCCAAGCTTCTCAGCCGCCCTCCGAGCCTCGTCAGCAAAAGACCTCTCCCCCCCACCATAGGATGGCGGGAAGGCACCTCGCTGGTTATCTCCAGACGTTCTAGAAGGCTGCTGCTTATCTATGCCGGAATCGAGGGCAGGAACAAGGCAACATCGGAGTGCCGCTACATATATGTCCCGAACTCCAGGTCTGTGGTTTGAGGACGTCGAGGACGTCAAGTGCGCTGTGGTGGGATCCCGCCGCCGCGTAACCCGGCCAGAGGTGCGTGTAAGAGCGCTTGTCATAAACGAGAACCGTGATATCGGACACCAGAAGAACTACTCATGGGCAAACGTTCACAGCAAGCAATTCTGGCAAGTTGCGAGTCAATGTACACAGCCACTTGGGCAAAGCACTTGACGCGTGAGTCAGCACAGCTTTGTCATTTATTAATGATAATGTTTATAATGGTTCTTTGCCGTTTCATTATCCGCATTGGTCCAGTGGTTAGGATTCCGCGCTCTCACCGCGGCGGCCGGGGTTCGATTCCCCGATGCGGAATGAAAAGTTTTAGTGCGAAACGTTTCCTAGTAAATAATATGAGGAATATGCATTGCTATATACGATTTTGCATCAGACCTGGTGATTGACTCTAATAGTCTATGGAAAAACGTAATAGGTGAATGTATATTACCACGGGGTCAGCTTAATGAACTGACCCACTCGTAGCTCTTTCCCTTCCTCCAGTCTCAGCTTCTCCCATTTTATATTGGTCAAAGGAACTCCGTAAGGAACATCATCCAATTCCACTCGCCTAGTTGCCCGGTACCGGCCCCCCAAGATTGGGCGTGGGGGAACATACACATCCGAGGTTTTCTTATTGTATTCGACTCCGGTAATACTGAGATCGTAGCCGACGCCAGCATTGGACGGCGTATCAAGGACAAGGATCTTCATATCACAATTGTTTTTGTCCCAGTCGACGAGGACAAAAGAAGACGGTTCGATTAAATCCTCCGTGGTGAAGGTGTATTGGGAAGGTAACGGGAAGTAAATAGTTTCATCTTGGGGGTCAAGTTCGACTCCCTGAAGAATCTGGGAAGCTGCTTGGTAGCTCAGAGTGCCCTTCCATCCGTGGGCTTGTACAATTTTCGCCAAATCTATGCTTTCGACTGAAGACTTTTTGAATTTCCATACGGCAACCATATTCCAATCCATTTCGATGGGAACATCATCTAATTTTACTTCTTCATAATATCTAAGATGCGTCCCTTTGATAGGAGTTGGTTCACCAGTAACGGTTCCCCGTCGACGGATACGTGATTTTGGCTCGGATGTGAGAGCGAGATCCACATACGTGCCCTCATCGGGTATAGTTGTAAACACTTTGAAATCAATCTTATCGCCTCCATTTTCAAATTCCAGTCCCAATAGCAAACCATGCCACTCAGGCGGGAAGGGTACGTATAGCCTTTTGTCCATGAAATTGCATACCGAAGCCGGAATGTTATTTTGAACCCAACGAGCGACCGTATCGTAGGAATACACGCATGAGAAGCTAACCTCCAAGTACGATTGCGCAAGAGTGTTGTGCTTGCTTTTCACATAGGTGATTGGAAACTGATGCCTGATAGCCTTCCCAGCGACCACCCCAAAGAGTTCTCTTGTCACCGTCACTTCTACAAACCCCACGCGTTCATCTCTGAAGGTGTCCTCGTCGTAGATCTCGAGCATCACCGTGTGCCCACCGGTCACCACCGCTTCCTCCAGGTTGAATATAAGTTTCTCGTTCCAGACCGGATCAGGGGTATCGGAGAGTGCGCTAGACTTCTGGGATTTACATTGCGTAGACTGGAAACTGACTTTGACGTATGGGTCGATGTGTCCGATACGATCTGTCTTTGGTAAATTGGTCGCGCGGTGCAAAGTAAGAGCCAAAGTGATCCGCCCGGGAAACATGGCCGTCATGGTAAAGGTACGAATCGAAGGATATGAACATGGGCTTTCTAGCAGTCGGGTACAGAGGTTCGAGTGTTCAATGAACAAGAGCGCGACAAAGGCCGCACGCGTTACTATTCATTCACCTACTTGAGATGGAACGGAGGGATCCTGGAAATCTGAATTGACACCCGAAAAAGTGACTTGGGCTATCACACATGTATTAACGAAAGACTGTGTGCTGAATAAAATGTCTATAAGTAGCTATCTTCCTAAAACCCCCTGCTGATCACAGAAATCCAATTTGTATAAACTTGAAAAGTTCAATCTTCATGTAGTCCATCTTACGAACGCCTGCTTGGGCTTCTCCCGCCACAATGTCGAAACTAATGGTAAACATGCATGTGGAAGTTTGTGCAATGTTTAGCTTGAACAAAGGCGGTGTAGCATGACATGGGAGTGTAGGATCATTTCCAATGTTTTCCAGCGATTTATTGCCGAGTATCGGTCACCGTCAACAACATCAAGGATCTCAACTATTCAGAGTTCTGGCAGTCATATGGTTATGAAAGGATGAGTCCTTGCCGCGCCGAACGAGGCTTGCTCCAAGCCGATCGAAAGGCCCTCGCGCAGCACCTCCGGCAGACTGGGATCTTGTCGCTGTTCACGCGGGAGGCGTTCGATGACAATGGATTTCAAAGATTTAGATTTCATTATCCCCTGCAAACTTATTTTTGGGGATGCTGCGCGCCAGATTTGCCATTAAAACGCAGCAAAGCCTGAGTTAGCAAATATCAAACTAGGCCTTGTCAAGTCGCTGTTTTTCTATATATTCGCTCAAACGCACCTTCTTCCCGTATCTCTTTGTAGCGAGCAAAGTCATTCAAGCGCTGTAAGGATGGCGATGCCAATATTTGAGCCAATAGGCAGCGGCCCACAGTCCTTCCGAATTGGAATAGTTGATGATAATCGTACGTTCTCTTCCGGGGCCTCTTGTAACGCTGCAAGCTAACACTGCATTTTGCTCTGGCCCCATGTTTATCATTGAAGCAATCGTTCAAAGAATCTTGGTGGTAAGTGCGGACGATGAGTTTCCGGAAACACGACCATGCTGACAGTTGTGGGCTCTCTGTCTTTAGAAAATCCTAGAGAAGAATCTCGGCGTTACGGTCCCGAAGGAGGACTTGTTTTCAGATGGCTTATCAGTGTTAGATGCGTTAGGAAAACGTCGATTTGATCTGATATTGCTGGTGAGCAGCACAAAATTACACTGGATTGTGGTATATCGGGACTTTGTCAACACACTTCACGTTGCGTAGGATATCGATCTACCCATCCTTGATGGATATGAAACCGTCTTACGCATACGAGGTGGTGGATCACTTTCCAGCCGTACACAGAATCTTTCCCCCGTTCAAGGTACAGGCAAGGGCAAGACCACGTTCAAGGACGAGGCGAAATTAGAATCAATGTCTGCAGATGTGCCTCCAACCAATCCCATTATCGATGGGTCTCCGCGCCTCCCCAACAGCACACGACGTCCATCCGCACCCCATCCAAGTTCTCTGATGCCGCGCACGAGAAGCGGCAGTCGCGATGAAGATACCTTGACAAGCTTATCACAACAGGTTAAACAGAGAAACCCTAGAACTCTTGTCTCGACTCCAATGGATGCCGCGCCCCTGAAGCCCATAAGAAAGAATATCCCTCCAATTGCAAAAGACGAGGATTCGTTGCTTGCCACACGAACTAACCAGCAAGCAAAGACTAAGGCCGGATCAAAGGCGGCAGAAGCCATTCGCCGCGCAATAGCATCTGGCGTTGACGAAGACGTGGATCTGGATATAAGTGGGGATGAAGGAGAGCTTGATGATGCACCTGGTCCTACCCTTGAGGAACAAATTCGTGATCTCAGTTCCCGCATTCGCACGTCAAACAGGTCTATTCCTATTATTTGCATTACTGCCAATACCCTCTACGAGCAACGACTCAAATACATGCAAGGTGGCATGGATGAAGTTCTTACCAAGGTACGCTACCTCGGGATGATAAGTTTGATGGTCGGGATCTTAACCGCAAATCTCTGTAAACAATAGCCATTTAATCCTAATACGATTACATCCGTCATAAGCCGCTTCATGGAACAAGTTCGTCCATCAACACCAAAAATTGTGAGAGCCCGACGGCCTTCGATCACGACGGCGCTCTTGGAGCTTATCGACCAGCATGACCCTGACAGCCCTACCCGCCTCCATGCTGCGGAAAAATACATTGATGCAGAGCATGTCGACAATATGTATAAAGCTAGAGTCGCGGGACCTAATTGCCCTCAGATCATGTCAAACGTCCCACGACCGCCACCTTCCGGATTGCCCCCATTGAAGGTATCACATGAGAGTGGGCAATACGGTTCGCCAGAGTCTGTAAGACAAAGAAAAGGAAGCTTGGGGGCGTGCTTGGGTGAGGGAACTCCACAAATGCAGCACCCACGTCGGGACAGCACTAGGAAAAGGGCTATGAGTTTGGTGCACGCAAAGCATGACGGAAAATTGTATTCAGGGTGAGCCTGATGACGGCATGTATCGTAGATAGATCATTTGTTAATATGTCAATTTATCTGGGCAACATGTTTCATTCTAGCACGACAGAAACCTTGGTAATAGGATGTTTGCAACTGCTTGAGTAGGCCCGCATTGTTTGTATTCATTCCTTTCGCTGCATACTAGTGATATATATTACGATATTATTCTTGGTGCGCTATAGGGATACTTTATATACAAGCAAAATGGATTGATATGCCACTTCGTGTTACATACATTTTGCTGTATCAAAACCTCGGAATCCTGCTCATATCGTTCAGATTCAGGAGGCTCATTCCATTGCTTGTGCCCAACTGGTCTCCAGAGCTAAAACTCTGACTCCGTGTCCTTACGCCCATTTCAGGTCTGCTGTTTTGTGACACCCCTTCCTCCTCGAATGGAATGTCCAACGAGACAGGAGACCTTGCTCCTGAAGGCACAGGGGTTTGAGTACCACTACTAGGCATGCCAGCGCCATCCAGACTTAGCATACTGCGATTGACACTTTTGCGTCGACTTGTCGTGCTCCACCTCATTGCCCCAATGCTCCTGATTTTTTTCAAAGGAGTGCTTGCTGCGAGATTGTCAAAAAAGCTTCGGAACTGATACAGACTGTCGGGTACCGCTTCCTTTTCAGCGCCAACGTCTTGTAGGTCCCGTTCGTCGTCTGTCGTAGCGCCAATCACCATAGAACCGCGCCTGCTTTGACAACCGCGCGTGTCGGTGTGGCCGGAAACGCTTCTCCGCCCTGACAGCAAATCCCCAAAGCTTGGCATTCGCTTAGGCACCTCTGTTCCAGGTTTTTCCTGACCCAAATCATATCCAGATGTTTCTCTACGGATGGTGGTTGGCCGCGGTATCTCGGTGGTTGGATGGTCTTCCCGCTGCATATTTGGCTTTGATCGAGCAAATGATTGCATTGAACTCCACAGAGAATTTCGTCGCCCGATTCTACCGCGTTTTCTATCTGGTGTCTCGGAATCAGATTGTACCTCTGTTTTCTGGGTGGGCTCGGGACCACTCTCAAGCTCTTCAAATGTCATCCTTTCATCTTTCACCCTCTCACCATCTTCGTCTGCATCATCTTCCTTGGGCTTCGGTACCATTATGCTTTGCCTGCTTCCTAGACTGCTACCGTGGATACTGTCATCACCGTGGACAATATCTGGTCCAAAGTTGCCGTCTTTGTCCATGAATCCAAACTGCTCATGCAATGGTCTCGGACGATGGGTCCTTTGCAGGAGCAAAGTCAGACCACCCACCCACTGCCCGTGATCATACCAATTGGTTGGTACAATTCTGACAGTTCTGTGGGGAGTTTGGATGACAAGCGCGTGTTCCGGCCCTGGAGGATAGTTCTTATATTGCCGATCAGGGTCATCCCATTTCAGAGAGACTATGAAAGCTGTATAGACCAATTGAAGAATAATAAGGTATAACGTTATGTAATGTGCTAAGCTGCTTCAGTCCTTACCAGTCTTCGTTTGCATATTTTTCTTGCCCTGACTCGGTGGTTTCGGGGCCCAATTGAGCGCTCGAGAGTAAGGATTGACCCAGAAGTATCGCAATTGAGGATTTCGATTATGTCTGTTAAATTTCTGGAACTGTTGGTGGATTGGTTTAGATTAGGGACAGCTCGCGCAAATTTAGACAGAGTGCATCAAAATAATACTCACCCAACTTCCAATCATTGTGTATGTTAAGCATTCAATGTCGTTCTTCTTTTTGTCATCTTTGCTTGCAGTTGTCTCCCGTTCCTCCGTGCTCTGTCCCACACTTGTCAGGCTCGAGGCACTCTTTGCATTTTTTAATAAGGTATTGAATATATTGCTCTCATTAGTCTTCATGCTCTTGCGGCGTCTCATAGCCGAGCTGCGTCTTCGCGTGGTCGAAATTCCCGCTCCCTTGCTATTACGCAAGCTTGATCGATGCCCTGCCGTACTGGAAGTAACTGAGGCGTTACGCTCAGAATCATCCGAATGGCTGCCTTCCTCCTCTCTATGGGTTTCATTGCTCGCTCGTCCTGATTCGTTGCTCTGCGATACCGGCGGAGCTGGTAGGTCTGGCATTGGAATGCTTATTGTTGACGCGTTTAGTGGGTTCTCCTCAGTGCGCTCCTCCGATGATCGCTCCTCAGGGGTCGGAGATGGGGGTATCGTTGTAGGTCTCAACGGCGGAGCGGGGACCGGGGTTGCTTGCACCATTTTCTGTGGATGTGGTGGTGGCATAGGCCATGGTGCTGGTGAGAAGCGGCCCGTGTACGGAAGTGGCGCCCAAGTTTTCAGTGGCTTTGTCTTGCTGATGGCTATTGGAGACGAAGTCTTTGTCAAGCTGTCATACTTCGGGAAGGAAGGAACAGAGGTTGTACGCTCTAATTTGGAGGGTAAAGGCTCCTTTGCGACGACCTGTGTATCCTCCTTGTCATTGCACATTGGAAGGGAAGGACAGGAATTGGCACGTGATACCACATGCACCGTTTCAGAGTGACTGTGATCATCTGTTTTCCCATTGACCTTCGTCGTTGTCGCATGTTCGACACACTGGTTGACAAGCGACGATGTGGATGTTGATTTCCCGATCGTATTTGCCGGTATACGTCGGCCATTTACAGGATGAGGTTCTAGCGATCCATTTGGGCTACTGACAAACGGATTCTCAGGCTCAATCTCATTGCACATCGTGATTGCATCGTCACTGACGGACGGGTTGAAATTCGTTGTTCCCAACCGCAGTTCCTTATCGGCACAAAATGTGTCCGGCTCAACAGCTTGGGCTGCACTAATATGGGCCTGATCGCGATGGTTCAGAAGCCCTTTTGGGACTGCAGGTGGTGCAACTTCAAGTAGCTTTTCGGAAGTCATCTTCGTTGCCGACTCTTCGATGTCATCATCTTGAACGACCCCTTCGACTACTGGTATCATCTTCCCATGCCGCAATATGAACCCATTTCGTTTCTCATCGGTCCGCCTTTCCCCGCCTGCCGGCATCAGCACGATGTCGATTGAAGACGGAGATTGTGGTGCATGCAAATCAGTAGGGTCCATTTCGCAGTGGGCTGAGGGCAAAATGTCTCCATCCGGTACATCCGTATTGCGAATGCCAGCGCTTTGCAATGCCACCGCTCTGAAGTCATCCAGTAAATTCCGCGCAACGGGTCGTAGTTGTGGAGTCACGTCATCGGCGGTGACTGAGCCTGTTTCTGGTCTGTCCACTTCCAAGGGAAGCGGCCTCAATTCTTGCCGGGACTCTCGTTCGACAATTTTTATGACGGTTCTCAACTGTTCTCTTACGTGCTCCGCCATTCCTCCTTCGGGAGTGGATGTACCTTTACCTTGAAATGCTTCAATAGTCTCCTGCGCCTGCGCAAGGAGCTTCATCAACTCTAGCCGCTCAGCCTTCGATCTTTCGGCAGAGTCTTCCAACTCACGGATCTGATCATGGGCAAGCGACAGAGACGCAGATAAGGATTCCACAAAGAGGGTGTGCTTCGACGGAGAGCGCTCGGGGCTGGATGGCATAGATGATGGAACGGGAGAGGACGGCGTGTCATCAAGTTCCACTGTCGGAAAGAATCGCGAAGACCGGGGTGACATCTCAGGGCGTGGGAAGGTAGTCTCCTCTGCTTCTCGCGCAAGCTTCTCGCATGTCTGTGATAAATCTGATTTCTCTCTTTCTAGGAGCGAGATAGTGCGTCGAGCACGCATTAATTCTCCCTCCAATCGAGCTTTAGATTGTTCAAATGCTTCAACATTTTTTTGCTCATTGCTCTTGAGAACTTCAATTAGGTCAAGGCATTCCCGATAGGCGGATTCCGTATGTTCCATGCTGTATTTCAGCCGCAAATAATCTGCCTCCGCCTTCGCGATGTGATCTTTAAGCTGCTGATTATGAAGCTCAAGATCCCAGACTTTGTCATCTAGCTTTGCTAAAGAGGGGTACATAAATTCGCAAGTGCTCATAGGAAGACGTAAACCCCAGAAAGACTCACATCCAGTAGAACATGTCTTATCATACTGCTTCCGAAGACCCTCCAGCTCAGACTCAAGACATACGACCTTGTCCTGCAATTCTCTCCGTTCCTCGTTTGAGAGGCCCAACTCCTGCTGCAAACTCCGGACATGATGGAGTAACTGATTGTCAATGTCGGAGGCTAATGTAGGATCAACAAACGTTGGCCCCTTCATAGCATTCTTTCGCGGTGACTGTGGCTTCATCGGTTTGTTAGTCGTCAAACGACGTGGAGTGCGAGGGGCTACCTATACCACAAGATTTCAATTTCTAATCAATTCGCACAAAAAAGGTCAGAATAGGGTACGCACCTTTTGCCTTATGCTGGCGCGCTTCCCCAGTTCAGGTGATGCATCTGGACTGTTGGACGGAGACAATTTTCCAACAAACTTTTCCATTGACGACGTGAGCGAATCAAAGTCATTCTCCAGCATACGCAGTTGCTCAGAAGAGCTCGCGCGTGGCGTTGACTCTGAATCCCGATTTAATGCCTCGGCTTCCTTCAGACGTTCGCGAAGCTAGGATGGGAATAGAACAACACACATATCAGCACATTATTTGATCAAATAGGGCAATTCTCCACAGTACGCAACGTAGTTCAGGCGTGGCTCTGCCGTTAGCCCCGATAGACCTGCACTGTGCCATAAGATACCACATCAAACTCACCCGTTCATAGTCTTCTAGCAGATTTTGTCCAACAGTGGCAGCCGCATACAAATTCTCCTCACAGTCTGCCAGCCGTTTTCGCAGGTCATTGTTTTCGGCTTGAAGGGCGGCGAGTTCTCCGTCAGGCACCTGTCTCCACTTCCGCACTATTGCCGGATCGCTGTCTCTTGTTACAGAGGACTCAGCGGTGGCGCTGACAGGATGGTATGCTGGACTATCAGTAATCATAGCTGCAAGTGAAGCACGCCGTGTGAACAAAGCTCGCCAATCAGGCTGGATTGAACGTCAACTGGTAAATCTCGAGAGTTCGAACGCACCTGGACGACTGCTTGTCTTGGTTTCCATCTACAATTAGCGATATCCAGTGGTACCGACGAATACTTGATTTAACAACCTGTTAGTCGCAACATGCATCAACACCTCGTGCTCATTTACAGTCAAGATGGTGGTGATCTGCGCGATTCTTGATTCACTCCAGTTTTAAACCCCGACGCTGGTAGCGTTACCAAATATTCTTGCGCTACGGAGTTTCGTGTCTTAGGATAATAGCATGTCTCTAGGGATCCTGATCGTTTTGACACCGACCAAGCCGTCAAAAGTCTTGCTGTGTCATCTAAGCCAAGGCCAGCTCGAATCGAGCCAAATGAGTCATCTTAGCAATAATCAATATACAAAATTCGTGTTCAATCTAAACGATAATAACATTCATCTAGTCTAAAATGACCCACTGAGATACATCGTCTACGTTAAACTCCTTGTAGTTTGTCTTGTTGCCAGAAACTTCCTATAGCAGTGTAGGACAGAGACAGATGCAAAAATGTAAATGCACGAAACCCAGCGTGAATGCAACCACCGGGATTCGAACCCGGGCCACCTGCTTGGAAGGCAGGTATGTTAACCACTGCACTATGGTTGCTTGACATCAAAACAGAGAGAATGCTAATCTGTCATGAAAATAACACAGTCAACGTCCAGAAAACCCCGTTTCCCAGTGCGAACGAAGAGAGAACGAAGACCAGTTCAAGGAATGGCTGTCTAACCAAATGTCAGACCAAAAACAAACGTTTATCAACACATACTTCGAACCGCAAAAATTTCCCCCAAATATACTGCTACAACTCTTGTCACTCATACCATATTCCCAAAATTGAAAAGGTTATCGCCTTTCCAACAGTGACACCAACTCCCACAGCTCCTCCTCGGTACACTCCAACTCCTTCATGGCGTCTCGTTGCTTTTCCCTTGACCGTCCTCGTTCCGAAACTGGAGACGGCGACCTCTGGACGCTCTTGCCAGGTGGACGTAAAAAGCTGCCAGATGCAATTGGGGGCGCATCGACTGCCAGATCCACGCCAAGGCGCTCACGCGCCGTTTCTCCTATACGGTCGCGGAAAACCTGAAATAGTACCTCAGCCCGTTCGAGCGTGCTTTCAAGAGGTATCTGGTTGGATAAGTCATTTATAAACTATACTAAAAGAGTCAGAGATAAATCATTTCCTTGCAAAAAAAAAAAAAAACATTGTTTCTTGCCTTCAACGTCTCATCGAAAGCCGCCTTTCCCATTAAGTCCTTTCGATGGCGATTCAAAATTGCAAGAGCGACGAAAAGATGGAAATGCTTGGTCAAGGGGCATACCCACAACGTCTCCCAAAGCCGCATACAGTCTCCAAAGTCAAACTCGCGCTTAAAAAGGATCAGAAGCCATCGGAAACAGCAAAACAGGTTGATGCTATCCGTGCTCTCTGCCAGAATATCACAGTATATGAATACACTGCCAATTGTAAAATAACCCCTCCACAGCCAACTCACCCATGTGCGCGTACAAATATGGATCGACAAACTTAATGAGAAGCTCCAACCGCCGCAGCTGTGAGCGCATTCCACTCTGATCTCGGAAAAAGTTTGACTGCTATCAATTCCCATTGAAAGGATACCTTATTAGGGACACTGTCGCACAACAAAATATCGTGGTTTCACCAACTCTCATGCGCACCATAATGTTCATGAACTCTACAAAGGACCAAAATGAGTCGGTTTCATCCTGCATTACTACCAATATCGGTGCTAGTAGGTCGTTCATTCCTTGGACATAACCTAACGTAAGGGGCACTAGTCAGCTCACAATGCACTTGTTTGTGGAGAGTGAGGTTCCTAACATACCTAGCTCAAAATTATAGACAGTATAGGTTACGAGAACATTTCGCAACATCTCAAGATTAGGATTTGCCCCGATAACCTCTTGCATGTCCGATGGCGACACGGAAGTGGCCCCATTTGTTTCAGTTTGTGGGCCAGCAAAGAACGGTACGGTACGATCTGTGCGAACAACATCTTTTTCTAAACAAACGAGTCAAATGAATGTCATGAATTGCATCATCCGCTCTCCAGCTCATAGTTCTTACCAACGCGATATTTCCGCTCTCGAATCTTTGTGACCACGTCAGCATCTTCCTTTTCATCGCCCGCCTGTGTCTCCCGCTCCTCAAGCTTGTGCCCGGCTGCAAGAGCAGCTGCGTCCGCGTTCGCCGCATCCGTCAAGATGGCCATCCATTGAGCTTTCATATCTGCATATTGGGCTCTAAAAATATAGTACAGCGTCAAAGCCTGTACAGGTGTACGATGTACCATCTATCTTCCTGCTCGCCTTTTCTCCTTGACTAGTTCCGCACGTTCCACCTCGGTAGAGTTGTATGGATATACTTTTAGCAGGTATTTCCACACGTCGACGCGTATGTCGGCTTCCACTCCCTGCCGTTACAGCCGTTTAACCAGCCGGTATTCATCAAAAGGCACGCTTCAACAATAACTTTACCCCGACAAAAATGACCGCCTTGACCTCTTGCTCAGAAACAGTTAATCGCCCTTCGGTATCATACCAGGATACCCATTGTTCTGCAGAAAGGGGCCGCCCTGTTCGATGATGCTGTCGTCCTGCCTGAACCAAGAAATTGAACAGTATTAACAATCCAATGTAGACTTTCCGTGACATCGAAAGTCGCAACACACCGCCAGATTTTCAAAATCCCGCGTTGTATCCTTGGTGGGATCCAGCAATTGCGGTGGGTGTTGGCCCAGTCTGCTCTGCAGTTCTGCTGCAAAGACCGCAAGATAGTGGCCAGCCGGTTCATATTCCTCCAGTAGCGCCTCAGCTTCTCCAGAGGACAGAAAGTAGGAACGGATGTTTTGGGGAATGAAAGGAAGGATTGGTCTAGCTAGGGGGTGCTCCAGTACCTGGACTGCCGTTGATGTGAGTAGTTTACGAGAGATCTGAGCATTTGTTATGGGTATTACCTGTCGTACTCTTGGCGTAGTTTGTCACTTTCGAAAATCGCTCTAGCATATTCCATCCAGCACCCTCAATTTTCTATGATGAAGGAATGTCAGCTCTACGGACACCTTGCGACAGTCATCAACTAGTATAGTACGCACGTCTGCCATAGGCTGGCCAACTATGTTCGTGACAACGTTAAATCCGTACGTTCCAATGCGATGTATCGTCGAACCTTGGGGAATACTTGGCCATCCTTCGGGCCATCTATGTGGGGACTCTGGTCGCGTTACTTCATTAGATTTTGGCCTGAGATCATAAAGGTATGGAGTGGAGCTAGAAGGGCGCTCCTCGTCGTCCTGGTTTCTCCTAGAAGACGCGGCTGGTTGCATCAGTATGGGAGCTCTTCAAAAAACATATTATGGCGCCAAAGAATGTACCTTACTAGATCCTTCCCTATCGCCGAGAACCAACCGCGCAATTCCGTCTCAACATCGACGATGGAAGGAGCTCGTCCGGATTCGTCCTTCTCAAACCATAAATCTGGCAGTTGGGCACCCTCAAACGTCAGCGTTACAATAAGCCTCACTAGGCAGATTTCTGCACCATCCGCAAGGGTGAGCTCGTTTGCAATTCCAATGGTTTGAATGTCGTCCAACGGAGCCGAGATGGCTTCAGTTATCGCCGAGAGCGTCTGGGTTGGAGTTGTGACGAGGGTGGTAGAGTCAGGTCGTGAAAAAAGCGCTCGTGCTGTCAACTCTTCCCTATCAGCAATCCATAGAGCTCCGCCCATTACTAAATTTAAGGCACCACTCACCCTTCCTTGTTTTCCCAGCGACTTCCAAATACATGTGAACCTCATCTGCTGGTATGGTTCTCCGAGGTACCCAAGCAAAAATGAATGTAAGTGGTTCCTATGAATGTAGTAAGTCAGCTATTCAATTCGGTCCAGTGCGGCCTAATAACCTATACCTCCTGCTTTGCCAAGCACAAAAATCCCATGGTAGGGTTCATCTCATCTGTTCGCATGGAAACGCACGAACTGACAAAAAGTAGGCCAAGCTTGTCGGACGACATCGTGTCACAAGACGTGGAAAGCTGGAAATCCCAGTAGAACCGAAACCAATGGCAGTTTGACTGGAGCAACTTCCCTAGAAAGTTGCCTTGTATCGTCCTCGAGTGCCACCACTGCCAACAACCGTTTCAGATGATGGTCTTCGCCCTTGACTAGAGATATATCAGGAATCCAAGGCAAGCTGTGTTTCCTGGGGGTTGAGTTGGGGAAACTTTTAAAGTGGGCGAAACGCACAAAACGGGAAAACGCTGATCTTGGCAGTGGCTGGCAGGCAGCTTGACATTGAGCCTGACCGTGAACCTGTCATCAACTCACGTGAGAGGATTAGGCAAGCAGCAAGTCTTCAAATTAAAATCATCTAAATGAGCACTGAAGCTATCAAATTTCTATGAACGGGTGAATACAAAGATCCCTCTTTGGAGCCAATGAACAAATTCTTGAATCTTCAGGGACGGAACCCAGCAGTAGCTAGCTAATTTGGCTGCTGAAGAGAGAAAGGGGCGGAGAGATAGGTCGCAATCGTTTGCTTTCACATGTCTCTAGAGACCAAGCAACTGCCGGTTCATACGCTTTGCGCTAATAGATAAAGCCGTAGCTACTTGTCTTTTTCTTCTTCCGGGATAGATGTCCAGCAAGGCAGTACTGCAAGTGGCTCCCTACTTGTTGAATAATCCTGGCGAATGTGAATTGGAACGCCCTGTCGAGCAAAGCACTTTGAAAGTCGCGTCGATTCTAATAACCGCGGTATCAGGCGTCAAGCTAGCAACATTACGTGCGAGAGCGCCACATACTCACCCGTCATCCCTGGGAACGTCTTTGGTGGGAAAACATCGAGAATGTCTGTCATTACGCTGCCTTTTGCTTCTGATACCTTACCCTCTCTGCAGGCAGAAAGCAAGAAAAATTAATAAGAAATCGGAAGATCCCGACTGCCCAGTAGTATCATTTGATGCGCACAGATTCAGTTGTACCAACAGAAACTTCAGGCGATATTGCCCCTTAGTCCGTACAGACAAGTCGTGAAATACAAAGAACATGCCCAGTTGCCCGTCCGGGTCTCGGAGGATCTCACAGGGAACGACGGTAGATCCGACCAAGGACTGATAGTATCGCGATTGATCAGGGGTTGACGAACCCGAACGTGATGTTGCGTCAAGTGGTGATGTATTTATTAGGGTCGTCACCCCGGCAGTCAACGGATCGCGTGTTGAGTCCTCTGTACACCAAGGTCGGAATCTTTTTCGATCGGACACAGTGCCCGAAGGGGGTTCAGCTGGTTGTCCCTCATCGCTGCCGCTACCTATTGCGCGGGGATTGACCACGATGCTGCAATCTTCAGTGCCATCTGGAGAGTATAGGGCAACGTGACAAATCCATCTTGGAGTTTCTTCGGCCCTTTAATAAAGTCAGTTGGTGGACTGATGCACTCGCAGTCTAATAATGAGAGATCTGATATTCACCTGACAAGCACATCTTCTCCATCTGTAACAAAAATAAGCTGCAGTACTGGTGGTGGGTCGCTGAGGAACCATACGCATCTCAGACATCAGCCACACACACAGAAATATTCCTAAAGACGAGCGTACGCACACAAGCCGTCGATCTTTGGTGTCAGAAAAGCCACACATTCTCGCACGTTTTGGTTGTTGTCGGAGGATCAGCTTGAAGCGACCTCCGTCAGAACTTCCTCTGGAGACATTGTGGATCGGCAATTAGACAGCGTCCGCCGTGTGTTTTAAACCTTCTGTAGTTCATAGGATACTTAGTACGTACTCTGTAACATGATGCGAGGGTGAAGCCATAACTGTCCGGTTGACGGCCAGCGTCAGGCTCCCTGATGCGCAAGTCAAAAGCGCTGGATAAAATAATATGGCTGCTGAATAGCACACGTAGCACACTCCTCCTAAAACCACCGCACTGCCCGATTGATACATATGTTACAGTTGAATGTGTCGATGCAGTCGCTCGCAACAGTCGGGGGAGGCTTCTGGAGGCAATGGCGCTAGTTCTGTTGGGAGGAGGAAAACGTGAGGTCGAGTCCTTGAACCGGCAACTACCGACATCTGGTAACCAATCAGAATGCTTTGATCTGCTCTCACGTGCCTCAGCGTTCTGGTCGCTGATTATTCGAATTCGATATTTCGATATTCGTCATTTGGATGCAGGGCAGCCCTCCGATGCACAGCGCTGAGATGCCGTACCTGATGAACCAACCTCGCCCGCGTGCAATGAAGAGACAACGATGGCTTGTTGCTTCCGATTCCCGGAGGATATTTTAGCGCCAGAACGCGTGAGAACCTGGGTAAGCTAAACATTATTATTATTTTGGTAAAGTCACCGTGCCAATCTGCCACATCCAGGTTCATTTGACACAGTCAACTGTTGACCATCGTGCCAAGCGCGATCAGCGAGAGATCGCGAATGACTAGCTATCAGCCAGTGTCGTAGAAGTCTGAGTACGGCTATGCTATCAAAGCAAATTGGGAACGAGAAAACGACTTGGCCACTTACGTATCCAACATGACCAAACCGATGTCAAAGGACAGGCTAGACACCGTATCACTGTGGAGGTTAGTCCCGGACAGTGATTGTAACTGACTTCCCTCAATAACCTTCATTGTTATCAAAAATCCTATAGTGAGGCGCAGTCTTTTGAACGTGCGCTTCGAGAGCATGAGCTCCGCAAACGTCAGCAACGCAGCTTGGCATTGGTAGATACAGATGCGGGACGCCTTCGATTATGTCTTTTAGAGCTTTACGAGGACTTGATAATAGTCGACCCCACCTTTGCCGCTGCAAAGAATGTTGATGATAAGCTTTGGAATGTTGTATTTTACGTGCGACTGGAAGAACTTCGCAGCTTGATCCGAAAAGTCCGTTGAATCCTGCATTTTCGGATCTGGCACAGTATAATCTAACGTATATTTTTAAATGTGCAGTTACAGATTGAGCCGAATCCATCTCTTCTTGCCGCTTCGGAGGAACTTCAGAACCATTTGAATATGGCTATTAGCTTTTATCAAACATTGCTATTAACAATGAAGAGTACTTTCCAAGAAGATTTGATTGCTTTTGGCATTGGTAGGAAAGGGTTACCCTTACACTTAATTTCAATGACGGGATCACTCATGTCCCGGGATATAGAACAATATGCATGCAAGCGAGACGCTCATGATGAACCGCTGTCCGATGTGCAAGTAAAGCTTTCGCTTTTCCAGCTGATCCATAAGTGTACTGTCTATCTTGGAGATTTATGTAAGTTCTGGTTACTGTGTGCATTTATGCATGTCTTAGTGGTGCTTGTCGCTCATCCTTGATTGAGATAGCACGGTATCGCGAGATTCACAGTCTCAGTAATGGAAAGAATTGGCAGAGCCCGCGCTATCACTACCTCAAAGCGATTAGAATAAATCCAGACATTGGTAAGTCAATGGCCTGGATTTGATTGCGATCGATGTAGAGGCTGATGTGCTTTTCAGGTAAACCCTACTCACAACTTGCTATCGTCGCCAGCTATACGCGAAGTGATCTTGAGGTGATTTACTGGTACTGCTTGAGGTCAGTTCTCCCTACATATAAAATCTGCCCAAATGCTGTGTGTGCGCTGTGGATATTGAATTTTTTTATTAGCCTGGCAAACCTCAATCCTCATAGCGTCACGAAAGAGAATATTACCGCTTTCTACAACAGTCAGGAAACGAAAGCGATGCTACAGTCCTCTGAACCGCAGTCCTCAAGGTACTATAGCACTCTTCCCTGTTGCAAAGTGCCGCGCTCACTGTTATTTAGGTTCCCATTGCAACAAGCAACCACCGACTTCCTGTCATTCCATCGCCAGACTTTCGATCCAGAAAGCGTAGTCATGAGGTGGGCAGATCCCTTCGCTTCTCTTGCTTGGTGTTTGCTAATTCCTTGTCTACAGTGACTTGCTTTCAAGTTATGTGAAGACGATAGAAATAGTGCGTGCCATTCCGACTACATCATCGCAGGCTGTTCCTCTCCCTGATTGGTTGCGGATGGTGATGCCAATATTGGCAGCGACATACTATGATATGGATCAACGCTTTGGCAAAACTGGTACTTTGATCATCCGTCCCAAGCGTACAAGCTGGTCTCAGAGTCACTAAATTCACCAGGAGCATAGATCAAACGGCCGTGCGACATCGAGTTCGGATTATTCAAGTCTTTCTTGCAGCGATGGCGTTCGATTTTCTGGCTATCATGCTTGATGTTCTCCTCAACAACATGACCGAGACCGAAGTTGCGATGGAGACCCTAGCCGAGTCTCCTGATGCTAGCCGGCTTTTCGGCTACCTATCACCAATTGCCCTGATGTGCGCCTGGCTAGAAATGAATCTTAATGTGTTTGTGATGTTCTTGAACTACGCTAAAACGATTAAGGAAGCGGAAGTCGTATTACCGGTAGATATAGCATCTCCTGGATGCAGCTTCTTCACTTCTGTAAAACTGAGTGCTCATAGTGTTACAACGTTTTTCCTGCGTACAGACAGTCACCAAATTTTTACGATCGCTTGGAAAATTTGCGAACATTATATCTTCTTTTGCTGATATGGATGGAAGCATTGACTGCCTTCCAGAAGATGCGGACTTGCTCGGCTTTTTGCCCTTGCGGAATTATTACCAACAGTTGGACCTGGAATCTATCGAGGATGTGTTAAAAGACAGGCAATCTGCTGTATCAGATCAGATGGCAATTCGAATGGCCAGGGTTGCCCGTTTTGCCAAGAAATTGTCAGAAGATGAGGTATACCTGTCCTTGCGAGTTTTGGTTTTATCTTGCATTGAAGTAAAAGCATATAGCGAATTAATTTCTTCCGCTTCAATGAAACTGATGGAACCTTCAATGTACTTGACGAAGACGCCAAGGTTGGTGATATTCTGTGTTGGTCGTGTGGAGTTTGGAGACGGCTAACTTTGTGTCTTGTATAGAAAAAAGAAATGCACAAATTAATGAAGGCTCTTGCTACTGAAAGGCTAAAAGACCAAGTTAGCACACTGGAGCAAAATATCAACAAACTAAAAGAGCTGTCTTGCCCCATGATTTTAATCGATACCAATGGATATGTACACCACCTGGGACTCGTGAAGAAATGGTTGGCGTCCAGAAAATCGATTGTTATAGTTCCCATGGAAGGTAGGTCAAAATCGAATACTTAACAGCATGATTGATATTAACTCGGCATCATCGCAGTTATTGATAACTTGGACCGCCTCAAAAAAGGTACCGAAAAAATAAATGCTAGAGCCCGCGAGGCGATCCGGTACCTTGAGCAAAGGTTCAGATACCGTTCTGAATATCTTCGGGGACAGCAGGACGAGGAACGCATTGCACTATGGGACCGAGAGGGCACGCTGCCAAACTCTGCTGGCTTTGTGCCAAAGCATATGCGATCAATTCTTGCTTGTGCTCTGTATTATCAGACTAGAGTTGCACCGCAGCCGTTGGATGAGACGGATGTACCTTTTGCCCTAGTAACGGATGATACTGCTTTAGCAGAAGTTGCGTGCGGCGTAGGTGTGGTTGTACGGGGCGTACAAGATTGGAAGATGTTTATCGAAGAGAAAATTAGGAAGAGGTGATAAATGGTACTGCTTATGACCAGCTAAGAAACTTTGCATCATCGAGGAACATGACTGCTTTCCCACAAACAAATCACAGTTGTGCAGTGTTGTCGCAAATTATAGGCCAAATACTTGCGAGGTGATGTGCATGGCATATTCCATTACCGGAAGGCCACCAGCGGTAATCATATCTCATGGTGCATATATTATTAATGTCCCTCTATTTGATGCTATGTCCCACAATCAAGAGCGACCCAATTTCGCCTCCCGCTTCGTCTTCACAACATACCACTTCTTTCTACGAACGGTCTTCCATCCCTTTGTTTTCCAACCCCAAGGACTCCTCGGATCCTTGCCGCCCTTACTTTTACCGCCACCTCCGTGAGGATGATCCACAGGACTCATCGCAATACCACGAACAGTAGGCCTAATCCCCTTTCGCCTACGTGCACCAGCTTTGCCCCAGTTACGATGTTGATGGGCCTCGTTGCCTACTACACCAATGGTCGCACATGCGTCCACAGGAATGAGACGAACTTCCTTGCTGGAAAGCCGAACTTGGGCCATTCCTTCTTGACCGGCGAAGAGAAGTTGCCCTGATGCTCCAGCAGATCGACAAAGCTTTGCAGGTCCATCCGCCTTCAGGCCTATGCAGTGAATCTCCGTACCGACCGGGATGTCCTTGAGCATGAGACAGTTTCCCTTTTTAATCATTTGGTTTTTAGGGATAGGATCCTCCCCGGCAGCAGGTTGGGGAATTCCCTCCCGCCATGATTGCACAATATCGCCTGGGTTCACATCAGCCGGGCGAATGATGTAACTGAACTCATTGGTAGACAGATTTCGTAGCAGGGCGAGTTCAGCGCTTCGGTTGGGGTCGTACTCCAAACGAACAACCTCGTGTGGCCCGGGAGTAGTACGATGGAAATCAATCATTCTCACGCGCTTCTTGTGCCCTCCACCACGATGGCGAACTGTGATCTTCCCAGTGTTGTTCCTTCCACCAGTGGATCGCTTGCCGTACGACAGACGCTGAATACAACCTCCACGCCAAAGATGAAACCGGGTAGGATGCCGACGGTTACGTGACCCTGGCGATACGGGCTTGTAAATCTTCATATTTCCCACTACTTTCCAGAAGCGATTTTCCATTACAGGACGCTCGACCTTTGGTGGTTCGAGACCTTCCGCCTTCAAGCGTTCCACCCATTTAAAATATCGCTTTTGAGGCTTGGTTATCTTCTTGCGATAAGTGCGATGGCGAACTTGCAAGATGGCATTTGGTATGAAAAGTGGGATACTTCGGAGGGTGGACGTTCGCGGGAAATGTGCGCAAGGTTTGGGGATCAAAGGTGTGGTCAGGGAATGAACCAGCTGCCGCCGTATCAGTTGCGGTGGTCTCTGACCAAAGGACGTTAATATTGGCCGTCCTCCACACCTCGCTGCCACGAAAACCATCGGCGGCGACATCGCTGCTGTGCGGTATCTGGCAACCACCAACGCGGCATGAAGTGTTTCTCACCGAAAAGGCCGTGCCATGGCAACAGTTTGTCATAGCCAGTTCCATCACGTGAACAATCCGAGTCTGTCCGGAGTTCTGTCCGAAACCGCAGGTTCTCAATGTGAAATAAGTTCTCCAGTAAAGATGGTTGGTTCATTTCTCACATTTTTCGTCTGAGAGTATGTCTTAACATCCATTGCTTTAGTCGCAACGACGTCGGTCTACTCGAATGCTTCCCGTACGTTGTCCTTACTGGTCAAAGCCTGTCTGACGCTCTCAATTGAAAGTTTGTCTGTGAAGGACGAAAACGAAGAGCATGAAGAAGTGGGGCCTTCGCAGCCTGGACGATCCCAGCTGGTTGAGTTGAACCATGACGAATCCTCAGGGGACGAGCACCCTCCTTCGGGTAAAGTGACCACAGCAGAAAAACATTTGCAGGGTTTAAGTCCCGACGTAGGTTATTTCGCGCACTCCTATTTATTTGCGAATTCTGATGACAATATTTTGCAGGAAGTTGAGCGAAAAGTAAAGGACTTGGTCCGGCTTGCTCTTGCTACGGAACATCGAAAACAGCCGCTGAAACGCGATGACATCAATAAGAAGGGTAAAGTATTTTCTTTTCCCATAGTATAGCGCAAGTGCTAACCAACATCCCATAGTCCTCAAAGATCACACAAGAGCATTTGCTGCCGTATTTCAAAGAGCCCAGGAAAGATTACGCCAGACTTTCGGGGTAGAAATGGTGGAGATGGCTAGTCGGGAAAGGCGTCAGACCGCTGCCAGTCAAACGAGTAAACGAGGTACACCGATATTGCCTAGCAAGATTCGCGAGAGTACTCCCAGACTAACAATATGTTAGCTGCTGTCATGAAGGGAGAAAAGGCATCCACTAGAGCATATCTTCTTCGCTCCACTCTATCAGCTGAAGAGCGCTCAATAGTAAATTGGGGTGATCAGCAACCGACGATGGTTCTGCTCTGTATAATACTGGGCATCATCTTGGTAAATGGTCGACGAATTGACGAAGGTAATTAAAATGTTGATAGATAGCGATTCCGTGACCATTTGATTCATGCTTCACAGCTCATCTTCTGGTCTATCTGCGGAGGTTGGGCATCAGAAAAGGGAAGGAACATTCTGTTTTTGGATCGATAGAAGCTGCCCTTACGGAGTATGTCAAACAAGCGTATCTGGACCGAGTAAAGGAGCAAGGTGCCGATGCAGATACGTACGAATACATGTGGGGGCCGCGGGCAAAGATAGAGCTACCCGAGGCCAATTTGATTGAGTTCATGAGCGGGGTATGTTCAGTTACTCGCGCTTGTCCCGTTACGCTGTTAGTGCAACCAATATAACCCCCCCCCCCCTCTCCCCCGCTTGACAGGTATATCCCGACTTGGCCCCTGAAGCAAAACAACGTTTGGGTACGGACATCAAACGATTAGCTGGTCCAGCGGATCAAAGTGCGGCCACTCAGGGAGATGGTCCAGTGGCCTCACAATCCTGAATCTCCCACTCTTCACAGCTCCTTTACCTCCACATCACCCTGTATATAGATTCTGCTGAAAGAAAACGCGCTATTTAAATACCCGCTACGGCTCATTCGGTGAAGAAACTTTGGGCTGATTATTCAAATTGCGGCATCATCGGTTCGCATGCCCTTTTCAAGGCCCTGATATGCGCATCGAAGTCCTGAACCTTTTTCTTAGAGTCTTCGCATATGCGCCTTTATACGGCATTATACAGATCGTCAATATTTTGCTGGGGGGGCCATGATATTGTCGGATACACCAAGACTGCGAGGATGTCTAAAGTAGTCTATTATTTAGATTTTACTTTTACGGTGGTAGTATTGGGGGATCCGCCTATTCCACTATAAATAGCTGTCCCTATGAACACAGCAGCTGCTCCAAACCAATGGCCTATTGAGAAGTGATTGTTAAATAAGAGTATGGAAAGCAGGAGACTCACAAATTTCCGGACGCTCAAGATCTATGGATGTGGTGAATCAGATGTAGGAACATTGTCATAACGGAAGATCCGCTACCACATACCATGTTGAGCGTCACGGAGCTAGCCATAGAACTTAAACGATGTACTCCTGAAATGCACACGTCTGTCCAACAAGGGGCGACTAATTAGACTATTGTTGAGATCGGAATTTTTGATTACTCAACCTTACATTGCGTTGCAGTATTCAACAACAGATAAAGCCACATGCTGGGCAGACGGACTTGAAGCCATGGTCCCCTATTTAACGCGGTCCATACGCTCGAGGGAAGCCAGGTTACCAAGAAAGGTTCCACTGCCTCTATCAAGGATACAAGGGGGGAGCTGTTATATTCAATTATCTGGGTTCGTATATCATCGTAAAACAGGAGGAAAGCAGGCATGCCGAGGAAGTGGGTATAGAAGAGACCTTCTCGCCAATGCCTTCCAAATTTGGTGTAAGTGAGCTGTTGTAACTGACCGAGGAGACAGGCCAAGACGAGGGCGAGAGTCAATAGCCCAATGCCAGTGAGCCATTGACGAAATGGTTGACTGGTTGATTCTCCCGTGCCCGCGGAATTGTAGGTAGATATCACGACACCAACGGAAACAAGCAGTACTCCTAATATCTGTTGCCGAGAAAATCTGGCACGACAATCAATCTGAGCACAACTGCGAACTTGACCATTGTTGGTACTCACATCTTTCCAAAAAATAACCAGCTGAAAACCATGCTAACGAACAGGGAGCCCGATCGAAAGATAATGTGTAACGGCATCGCAATATTGTATCCGAGGGAGGCATTGTTCAGTACCGATACTGTCCAAAATAACACGACCATTCCGATCCAGTAGCGGATTGGAATCTTCCTCTCCTTCAGCCGAAGAGGAAGGAAAGACTTTGGACCAGATGCATGTCCAAGAGCTGGCCCCCAGCCCCACTCAAGGTTCGAGAGGAAACCTTCTACGGCCACAACAAGGAATTGCGCCAATGTGATCAAGTGTCCACTCTTGGGTGCATGACTAAATTAACGGACCAGGTAGCGCATTAGGATATGGACGCAGAAAACTTCACATGCGAATTGAGAAGTAACGGGGTTAAAATGCAACACGCTACATACGTTACCAGCAACTCCAACGTGTAGACATTGGAGCAGCAACCCCCGAAAATTAGCATGCCGACTAGAACCCATTCCCGTAGGAACACTTTGCTTAGGGTACTTGTGGTTGCTGTCGTGCTTGTTTCCCCCGGAGGTGCCTTCATTTGCTTGGCCATGGCATGGGGATCAGTGTTTTGATCGCCAACCGCCAAACAGGAAACCGAGTCCCAGCACGCGGTGCTTAGGCTGGCGCGGAGGAAATAATAAGATGAAGCTCCAAGTTACTAAAATATTTAGGTGCATCCCAACGGATTCCGAGTCTTGCCAACGGAATGGAGAGTTCTCGCATCACCCATTGATTGGTATGATTTCTGGTCTTTGCTTGAAGTCGAGCGGGATATCTTATGACATTGCAAGTATGTGGAATTGCCATCTATGAGGCGAACTGCTTTAGATAGTTAAGGTCAATTGCATCCTTATATCATTAATGATCCCATATTCTCGCGATGGATATACCATGAGATGGATCCGTACTCCTGTCGCTGCAGTGTCAAAGGTAATTTAGAGGAAAAAAACTGATGAACACAGCTACCGTGCTCGAGTGATATATAAAGACATGCTATGTACACAAACCAAAAAGCGTCCAGGACTATGCTCGAGCCCCCTTATGCGCTATCGCTACTTTCAATCGGTGCATCGTTGGTCACATCAGAATCCTGAGGCGGATTGACTGTTGATTCCAGCTCTTTCAGCCTGAGCCTTAGCTGCTTGCATTCCTCCTCCTTCTCCTCAATCCCCTTCTCTGCCTCTACCAACTTTGCTCGCAGGTTTTGATTGTCCTTTGAAAGGCGGTCATTTTCCCTACCCATTTCAGTTAATGACTGCTGGTGGCGCGAAGTCTCGGCGCGAAGCTGCCTTATCAAGGCTTGAAGAGCCACTAACTCTGCATCCGACATCGTTGCCGCCCTTTTGCGCTGTTCTTCGGTGTAGCTAAAATGTTTGGAGTGAGCAAATTCCAGCGGCTTAGAAACTCGATCATCGCCCTACCTTTGACGGAGACCTTCCAGCTTCCTCTCACTGACGATGTCTTGTACCTCCATGGCATCTCTGACCACCGCTTCTGGATCGTCCTGATAGACTTCGTAAAGTCTATCTCCTTTGAGAATCTCCAAAATGTTCTCGAATTCGGACTCCTCAAGAAGCCGCAACTGATTCCGCTTCAGAATGGCTATACTGAATCGGAGCATTGTTTCAACGGCCCCCTCCGCAAAGATAATATCAAAAATCCGGAATACCAAAGGAAGCGGGAAATGATATGTATAAAGTGTGAGGAACCATTGTGAGGCGTACATGGTTGCGGTAACGCCATGCTCTTGGAAGTGCCCATACAGATCAGGAAGATGCTCCCGCACTAACTCGGAATGTTGATACAGCATTTGATGTAAGCCAGACATATCTGGGGTAAACAGTGTCCGAAGGGCGTAAGCACGGTGAGGGTGATGGTTGCCATTGCTTGCAGATTTAGCCGCAGGTGGTTTGTCTTCCATTAGCCGTACCAAAACCGCAAAAGCTTCGGTTTCCGACATCTGTTTAGTTCCGCTTTCTGGATTAGTTTCCCATGAAAAATCTGCTGCAAGGCATCCATTCAAGCACACGGTCTTACATCTTGCATCAGTAGTGGTCCAACAACGAAGCTGAGGCCTTGACAATATCCTACTTCGGCGTCGTAGATACTATAAGCTTTCAAAAGCTGGTAAAGCTTCCGCTGTCCCTCGCCCCCTTCCTCTTTGAACATGTCTAATTTTGGAAATGTCCTCGGGATATCCCGTCTTATGATTCTGTCGAAAGGACTATCCTGCTTCAAGAGTAATGGATATAAGGAATCGAAGCGGTCCTTTTGTGCTCCGGACATGATGGTCCAGATCTTTGCTCGTAAATGTGGAGGTATGCCAGCACGCACTCTTGCCGTGAGTAAGTGCGGTATCTTATGTAAGGTGGACGCATAATCTTCGATGATAGAGTTCCAAAAATCGATATCGGCTTCATCTTGTTCTTGAGCTGGACCAGGGGGTTTTGTTGAATAGTGGGTTAGGCTTACTGTTAGAGCCTGTAGCGTAGGCTGGTGTCCCCGAATGTTCCCTCCTTCAACATAGATGGTCTTGGGATTCAGCGCCAGCGCTTGATTTTCAATATCTAGCCTTGACAGCAGAAATTCGACTGACTCCTCGTCAAGATCAGAGAGAATCCTCTCAGTGTGGTTACCCTTTTCGTGTCTGCGCCGTGAAGGTGAGGTAAGACCTGGATACCCTAAATCATCATCCGACTCTGAGCTGATGTCATATTTTCGGTCGTTCGAGCTACCGAGGCCCAGAAGGCTGGCTCGATTCCTGATAAATGCGGTCCAGGAAGTTGGTTCCGGTGAAGTACTTCGTACGGGCTCTTCGGGTTGTGACTTTAGACTGGTGGTACGAGGCTTGATAACGGGACCGGCGGGCTTTGACGCTTCTGCCACAACAGAACCAGGAACTTTTACAATGACAGTCGACGGAAGAACAGGTTATCCCAGTGTTCCTCTGCATTATTTCATTAGATTATGCCTAAGGTTCCATACCAGAATTCATAACTTCCTTGCTGTTACCCTCCGCCTTCGATTGGCCCTCGTTCCCTCCGTTGTCGCTCGTCATTACGTCTAGAGGTGCAGTAAAGCTTTTCACCTCCTCAAAGAGTGACGTTGACTGATGAAGGTCAACCGCTGTGCCCATCGCCGTGGTGAAGAGTAAAATGTCTTCCAGTAGAAACGAGGCACAACTGTTTTGCTCAGCGCGACCTTCCATGACTCGAGTGGCAGTGCAAATGTTTAAATGTTGTGCGCAGCAGTACTAAGCCAACACACCCTTGGTCGCGTCCGTTTCCACTTTATGTTTTTGCGAGATCGGCCATCCGACTGTTGATGAGACGTCGCATTTGACTTACAAGACCGGTGCTGCGAAAAAGTCATAGGGATGCAGGGACATGAGGCGTCTCAATATATGGTAGTTATAGACATCTTTGTCTTCCCAGCTTCTCGTATTCAATAGTCTCTCGCCTCCTTTTCCACAGTATGGTGTCGGACTTCTTTTATCCCAATATGGGTGGAGTAGAAGCGCACATTTATCACTTGTCACAGCGCTTGGTGCGAAGGGGTCATAAGGTACATTGGGGTAATAAACTAGGCTGCATCTGTTGGCATAGGTGGTAACCGAATGGCTTTCTTCGCAGGTTATCGTCGTTACGCACAACTATGGACGACGGGCGGGTGTACGATACCTTACGTCAGGAGTAAAAGTTTATCATATCCCCCATTGGCTGGTCTATGACCAAGTGTCCCTTCCAACTGTGTATTCGCTTTTTCCGCTCTTTCGATACATTGTGGTCAGAGAGCGTATCGACGTCGTTCACGGACATGGGGTACGATACTGCACTATGTGTTTGTGGCACCATAGTGAAGGGGATGGTTCAATCATTAAGCATCTTGCTTAGGCTTTCTCGTCCATGTGTCATGAAGCTATTCTGCATGCAAGAACTATGGGTCTCCGCGCCTGTTTCACAGATCACTCTTTGTTCGGGTTCGAGGATGCAAGTAGCATCTTGACCAACAAGTTACTGAAATTCACGCTGTCTGATATCGATCATGTCATTTGTGTCTCCCACACCAGGTAAAGACTGGAAAAGCGAATAGATCATTTACATGCCCTATGCTCATATATTGAGACCCAGTAAAGAGAATACCGTACTTCGGGCCTCCCTCGATCCCCTGCAGGTGTCAGTTATTCCTAATGCTGTCGTTGCGGCAGACTTCCGGCCAAATTCGTCAGCACGAGAGGCGGGGAAAAGTGAGTGATCACTCTCTTGTAGCCATTCCAATATGCAGGTTTCTTACCATTTACTAGTCACAATAGTAATAGCCAGTCGGCTCGTCTATCGTAAAGGGGTAGACCTAATGGTGGCGGTAATTCCTTGCATATGTGCCCAATTTGAAGACGTCAACTTTCTAATCGGTAAGCGATCAATTTGGCATCGGCGGACGTCTCTGATGGCCTTGGCTCACCAAATGTTGACTTGGGCGTGACCAAGCCGGGGATGGGCCAAAACGAACAGATTTGGAACAAATGCAGGACAAGTATGGCTTGCAAGACCGTGTCAAATTATTGGGTGCAGTCGATCATGCACGCGTGAGAGACGTAAGGAACCAGGAACGTATGCCAGTTTTGATAGGTGCTAATTGAATTATGCATGGCTTCAGGTACTTGTGCGAGGTCATATTTTTCTAAACACTTCCTTGACCGAAGCATTTTGCATTGCGATCGTGGAAGCAGCATGTTGCGGGTACGTTTCCCTACAGAGCACTACGAAGTATGGCGGTTCTAAGACCTGCTCATAATGTACAGCTTGCTTGTTGTCAGTACACGTGTTGGGGGAGTGCCTGAGGTTTTACCTGAAGATATGGTACTGTTTGCTGAACCGGATGAGAAAGGTGGGTGCCATTTGGACAACACGTTAACATTCTCAGCCTGACCGGTGTAATACCCTGGATCAAGACCTGGTGTCATCTCTTTCGAGAGCCATTGAGACCATACGAACTGACGCGCCAAACCCGCTACGCTTTCATCAGAGGGTCAAAGACATGTACAATTGGAGCGATGTTGCTGAACGAACGGAGATGGTCTGTTGTTTTCTCTAGTTCTGTGATGATCTCCTGTCGGAATGAAAAACTCATACGACCGTATCATCAGGTTTACGACACTATTATGACAGACCCACATCTTTCGCTGGTTGAACGACTGCAGAGGTTTGTCGTGTTGTAAGGAGGGAGAGGCATCTACAGCTAATTGATGCTTACTTTTGCCCAGATATCATGAATGCGGCGTGTATGCCGGAATCCTTGCTTGCATGATTGTAGCATTAGACTATCTAATCTGGCTGTTCCTTGAATGGCTCCTTCCACGCGAAGACATCGACGTGTCTCCAGCGTTCAACCACGACCTATTTTTGGAAGTAAGTGTCCCCCGCTTGGCCAGATGTCCTTACCAGAAGCCTGATGGGGCCTATCAAAATTCAGATATGCCAGAAGAAGATCACAACGAGAAACGACAATGAAACTAAACAAGGAACCCAAGAGACAAAAGGAGCGTTTATTTAAAATACCAAAAAGCGATACACGGTGTACCATAGAGTAAATGACCATTTAATCTTCATCTACCGGTACTGGTGCATCAATTGCAGATTCTGTCTCATTAGGTACCGTGCCAGGTGAGCTGGCATCAACCGTAATCAACAGATTAGCGTTCGGGGGACTCGTCGCCCCTTGCGCTATCACATCTCCAGACGTTGCGGAAATTTGTGGCGGAGCTTCTTGTCGAATCTAGACATAGCTTGGTCTTGAGAGAGGTTTTCACCTTGACGCAAATGGCAGAAATATCTCACCTGGGGCGGATTCTTGCACACTGAAAGTACCCGCTGCAACACGTGAGAGAACTTCACCTTCTCTAGCGCCTGGGTGTGAGGTGCGGTCTCTACAGGATTGCCCGATGGACTCCCAGATATTGTGGTATCGACGAGCCCATCGCCATTTAGCTGCACACCGCCTGCAGGTACCGTCTCATCAGCTGCGCTAGTTGTGCCGTCCTTTGTGGTTTCGACTTGCATTGAAGCATGCCCCATAATGTCATCCTGAGATCTCTCAGAGTGTTTAGACTTCCCACTGAATTCGGAAAAAAGGGAGCTATATATGTCAACAAGCAGAAGATTCAGCTCCTCCTCGTCCATAAAGCCTTCATCCAGTTTTTTTAGATCAAAAGCGCAGAGCATATTGACTAAGCGAGGAGGCTTGGGATCTGCAGCTGCAAACATGCGCTCTTCGACTTCTGGGGCCCGTTCGTCAAATTCTTGTTTAGACATTGTTCCTGAAAGAGGGGTGCTTCGCTCGCCCTTGACCGTTGCCACAAGCGCCTGATCCAGGGAACTTAGAAGACGCTCCCAGTACAAGGTCGGACAATGACTTACTTCAAAGCAGGAGCTATACGCATGCTTCCAAATCTTGTCCGGCCAAAGTAGCACATCATCCGCTTTGCGAACCTTCCGACATATTCTTCTCAAACCGTCGATGTCCGACGTTTCTTTAAGAAGGTCGATCATAAACATGGTATACTTGTGTACCCAAATGAAGTGCTTGCCAGGCCTAATATCGTGAGATAAGCGTTGATCCGGGACTATTACTGCCAAAAAATTGTTACCTCTCAAACTCGGGTTTCCAAAAATTTACAAATCCTTTTGACTTGTCATCCTTCCTAAATAAGGCACTCAACTCCCCTTTCGCCCGCTCCGTATCCCTATATACATGGTAATATATCCAAGCAAGCTGTTGTCGACACAACTGGTTATCGGCCATGGAGGTAAAGGAAAACTGTCATGTTCCTCAGTACCTTGGACCTCGGTTTGTGCTGCCACTTCTTCTTGTCAATAACCTTCATCCGAATCAAAACTATGCAAATCCGCTCAAATGCTTGCGCACGCGCTTCATCCATTTCGGTGTTGGTTGCGGAGCATTTCCATGTGGGAAGACTGATATCTGTTCCCGGAGTACTGCTATTCCTGCGAACAGGGGAGCCAGGAAGTGATCCAGTTGAGTCTGGGAGATCCGTCAAGGCAGCCAACGCTTCTTCCGGCTGTATATGTCAAAAGAATGAGAGTGTTTATGGGACAACATAGGTCAAAGGACCACAATCATCTGACATACTTGTATTATCCCTTGGTGCAAGGCCTTGCTGAGATAGCCGGCCAGCTTGATCATGGGATCCAAAATCCTTTCCTATGCATTTCCGAGAGAGTTCAGCATAGTCTTGTGAGCATCCCACAACAAATACAAGGTACCTGCTCCTTGGTCACCCACTCTTCGGGTACCAAAGCGACTGCTCTTCTATACAATTTTATGATCACCTAGAAGCATGAAAGATCTAAGAAGGCAACAACGTAAACGTAAATCTACAACCAATCGTACCGCCGGATTCTTGCGAAGTTTAGCGTAAATGTTCGCAAGCATGAACGGGTAACGCCAATCCGTTTTCTCCAATGCCGCGGCTTTGCGGAAGCAATAAGCTGCCAACTGAAGCATTGGAGCTTTTCTCGCATCCGCCCCGTGATCTTCGGTGCTCTTGATTTGCCCAACCCCTGCTGCAAGATGACTTTCGACTTCCACGCTATTTGGAGATGATCGCTTGGATTCACTCCATCTGCGCGACCAAAGATCTCGTATCTTGAGCAAGTACGATGACAACGCAGCTCCTGCCATAGGCTTCGTCGCGATCGCATGACAAAGGTACCCAAAGTCACCCCACAAGGTTGTTCCTAAATCCGACGCCGTTGATGATCGGGCTAGGTGACTAGCCTGGACGTAGCAATGGTACGCTTTCTATAGAAAGCAAAATAACATCAGTAAAATATTAACTCTAGATTACTAAAGCACCGATCTTACCTGCTGCCAAAGACGAATTTTCCCAAAGTTGTCTACGATCGTTATGGCATTGCGTCCCAGGTGCTCATTGGCCAGCGAAGAATAGCATTGTGCTAGAGATATCCAACTATCGCAGCGACGCGGATTCAGATATAGATTGAACTAGGAACATGTCAAATCAGCCATCTCGTAGTATGTTTGTGTTGCGTGGCAATGTCACGTACTAGGTACTGTACGGTTGCACCCTTCAAAGGAGCAATCATTTTGTGGAAATCAACCGTTTGAGCAAGGCTACGAGTTTTATATTGAGTCCACATAATTTTGCCTTGCAAATAATACAGGGTAAAATAAATATCTACAGGTGGATGATATATACTATGATAAGTGTCTGCAGTAAACCAGCAAGATATTTCAAATGTCTCTCACCGGAAATCTTTTTACGCTCGCCTTCCGTGAATGTGACTGTTGCGAGGGCACTTCGATCGGGCGCCATGTCGCTTACATCTATTGGTCGCTCAAGCAGCCGATCAATCGTCTCTTTGTTGACTGCAACCCGAGCTATGCATACTGAAGCGTGAGACAAGTGTGAAATGTTAGATCCACAAGACAAAGTCATACTGACCATTGTTCCAAGGAGGTTCGCTGTACACTTCTGTGACTTTATCCAGGCATTGCTTAATGTCGGCTGGAATGCCGCGGTTTCCGCGTAGCGCTAATTTAGTCAGAACATAGTGCGAAACAGTTGAAAACACTTCAGAAGCAGCTTCGCGCTCAAAAGGCAGCGTGATCGTGTGATGATCCTCGATATCACTGTCGTGTTCCACCTTACAGTAGAGTCAATAAACTTGGTACACAAAATGCACAAACAGTAAATCAGGACGTCTTACCTTTATACCGTACAGACAGTGATAGCATTGATACAACTCAGCCTGGTATGAGTCACGAGATGCTTTGCCAATGTGTTGGAGAATGAGTCTCAAGAATGCGCCTGTAATGCATTCATTAGGATAATTGGTGCTTACATCGCAAAGCCCCACCAGACGTACCGTTATCAAGGCCGCACAGAGAGAGTTCCCCAAGTTCACGGTGGGCAACTATCAATAGATCCGCTAGCTGATCTATTCCTTCTACAGTCACATCAGTCACACTATCGTTCGTAGCCTCGCGATCAACAATGTTTTCCTGTTGCAAAGCATTCTTCGCATCTAAGTCCATAGGCGTCGTTGAAGGTACATTTTCCTCGGTTGGCGTTTGAGTCTTCTTCTTCTCCTCCTTGGAATCCAGTGCCATCCGAGTTGGCGAGGAATGAAGCGCCTGCACTACGTAATACAACAGAATCCAACTTCTCACAACGAAAATGTTCAACGCCTTAATCCGATGTGCTATGGCGGACCTCCTAGATAAGGTTGGTAGTTCCTTGTAATGTCTCATGGCTACCCAGCACATTCTCACACATAAGAAGACGCCCAAAAGAAAATTTTGAAAGAGATTCCGAGCTGGCTCAGTGCCTGATGCATGACCCTGATATGCCTCAAGCAGCTGAACCCATTCCGTCCTCATTGATGATGTTTGCAAATACGTTATAACGTCCCCAAGAAGAGTTGATAGCTATGCACAAGGGTGATTAAGTAGCGTGGTTGTATGGTAGCCAATATGCCGACACTCACTCGTTCAAGATGGAGTTCGAAATCAGAGGCCGCAGAGGAATTACGCACAGCATCTACCAAAAGGTGCGCGGTGCAAGCAAATGCGCTTTGGGGATCATTGACGTGCAGAAAAGCCTTAAAGCTATTAATCAACAGCCTGATGTAGAAAACTATGCCAACTGCGAACTGGCTACCTGTCGCAAAAAGTCAAAAAGTTGATACCGCTTTCCAAAGCCGCAATCGTAGAAAACAAATTTTCTTGCAATCTGGGTTGCTTCTTGTCGCTCGGATGCTTCTCGACTGTCATCCGGCATAATTGTATCACATGGCGAAAGTCCAGAAGCGACTGCTGCTTCTAACAGGACCGGTTTAAGGCGCTCAATGACGGCTTCATAATTCGTTTGAGCGAACTGTGCATCGGCCTCCAGGACATATTGACGGGCCTCAAGTGCCAAACGTTTCCATTCCAAAGATTTTTGGCTAATCTCATTGTCCGTTATGCTTGAACCGCGAACACATTTCAATAATTGAATAGCGCAAATATTATATCATCGAATAATCTTACCAATTCTTAAGGCTCACAGAGAAGCCTTCAAAGTTATGGCAACCAAGAGCCTCGCCGCACTGTTTATATGTTTGAGCTGCCATATCATATTCATGCCGGTACTCGTGTATCCGTGCTTTCAACCACAAATATCTGAAGATTCACACGCGAAGATTTAGCATAACAATCGGCCCAATCCATGATTGATCAATATTACCTTACAAAACTCAACGAATCCTGGTCACGGTCCTCATCAATGATACCCAATACATCCACCAGTGAGTCCATGATACGGTGTAGTATTTGCGGAAAGGAATGTGGGTGTAAGGGATTCCCATCTTCACCCTCCCCATCACTGCAGTCATCGTGTATCCAATCGTACATTGAGGTACTTGGAGACCCTTCTTGTTGCGACCCCCAGGCATCACAGAGTATTTCCGACAAACTCAACAACAGCTGAGAAAAGTTAACATATTCCCGTTGGCGTTAGGAAACAAGATGAATGAAGACGGGCACCCAAAAGGTACCTCTAGAATAGCTCCACTGGCTTCTCCTTCGCGACATCTTCCCGAATCGCCGTCGTGCAAGTAAAATGCTGATGGGTATGCATTCCTCCAGAACATTACCCCTGCATTATGCTTCTCCAGGATCCGCAACAGGGACGGGACAATACTTCGCAACCCTGCTGGCCATTGGGTGTCCATAAAATGTCTTTGGAAATCACGGTCCGGCTTAACTTGTCCAAGGATGACCCATGTTACAAAGAAACGTATGGTGTCGATTAAACCAGAATTGTGCAAGTTCACGGAATCGACGAATGACTTTAAGGCATTTGGACCAAAAGCAGCTGATGACGTTGGGGTACTCATCAAATCGGCGGCTGGAACTAATGATCCTTTGCGTCCTTTGCGTATGCTGGGTACCGCATATCCGCGTTGAGACTCTCACATCGCAACAACATGAATCGGAATACTTGGTACTACCTTTTGCTTTTACGACGGAGGTCTGCTCCCGTTGTGGGCGACAAGATCTTTGAACAAAATGTGGAGAGGAAGGACGGAACATCTGTCACTAGATTTTGGTCCGTGTTTTCTAGGCCAATCGAAAAGCCATCTGGTAGCCATGGATCAATCACTTCTGTGATGTCGATTTCCTCTGTAGCCTTTTGCTGCTGCTCTTGTTCTATTCGGTCTCGCACACGCTTAGATATCCTTGAAGATAGATGAGTTGTATTGGCGCTTCATCTAGCATCACGACAATGACTTGCGTGCAAGCACCTTCTAGAGTCATCTCCGTCTGTTAACTTCCTTTTCCTCTCATTGGTGACTTGCTCATCTGGACCGGGGGCAATGTTCTCATGCTCATGGGGTACATTCGTTCCTTCTTCTTTTATGATGACCTCAATCGCATCAGACTCCTGGCATTCAGAAGCGTCGACCCCATCCTTTCCAGTATCTACTGCAATATGAACTCGCACGCAATGAAGTCGAAATGGATGCTGCTCGGGTAATTTTTGTCCTTGACTGGATGATCTATGAAAGGTATGACGGTGAACTCCCCAAAACCATCTGTCGATAAACTGGATGAGTCAGTGGAACTCACGAGTAGAATGTATGGTATGTGTCCAATAGCATTGCACCAAGCCCAGTCCACGTAAGTTCTCTCAGGTGCAGTTTGATAGAATCATGATCGACGTTGCAAACCCCTTATAGGTATACATAGGCCAATTAGTCGAACTGTCGGTAAGAGTATAGGACGTGCAATCCTATACCAGACGACAATGGTTCCCGAGATCGGGTGATCGTGGAATCCACAAGTTCTGGCAGAGCGGTTGGGTTGAGCCGATACTCAATGATATCATGCGCATCAATGTCCTCTTCAAATGCACTGCACATATGCATATGGATACAAAATGGTATATTAGTGTGAAGATAAAGACCGGTTCTCGTCATTTCATAAAACTAACCTGGTAAACGATTGCCCTTCAAGATATTCCCCAACAATTTGCCTCTTGATCCATCGACCACGGAGGTACTGAGGATCAATCGCGAAAGCTTCTTTGAGGTACTTTAGGCAGGATCCGTAGTCACCAATCTCGTAGAGTGCCTGCAGCAAGTCTAAATTAGCCAACATCATTCGTCTGGAGAGCGCATCCCATGAACTTACATTGATGACCCCATCCAAGCATTTGAAGCGACAGGCGGATATATCTGCCCGTTGCAAACCAGCCATATAGGCATGGCATGAGGTATCCCAGGACTTTGCGCGCGCCGCTACACTCCCAATTCTGCACCAAAGTGAGACGTCGGTGGGATCGATCTTTGCTGCCTATGATACTCATCATCAATGATGCATTCAAACAAAAATCAGGCGAAACAGTCAAATGTCACACCTGCTCAAAATGAAAAAGCGCTTGCTCCCAATTTCCTTCCTGTTCTAATAACGCAGCGTAGTTCTTGTACACAACATACTGTAGTGCATGTGCTGGAGAACTGTGGGCACCCGACGCCTAAATAAAAGACAACAAACATATCAAGTAATGTTTCGAACGGACTTTCCCATTTCTTTCCGCACCGCAGGAAGTTTGTCTTTTAGTACATCCCAACTTAAGAGCTCTTCAAAGGACGTCTTGGCTTCTGCTTTCCTTCCCCTTTGTAAGAGTAAGAGCGTTCGGTTGTATGTGTCAAGAGCTCGTTCCACCTTTTGAACCAGCGCGCCTGTTTTTAGATTTGTTTTCAAGTCGTTTGAATTCCACATGGAGGGTACAACCTTTATCTCTTTTGGGATATCCCGCTCCACCTCCACCAAGGGGTTAAGAACCGCAAAGCGTATCTAAAGATAGGTGGGTCCTCAATCATCGTTTCCAAGAGGCCGTCAAACTTATTGATAACATACCATGTTGGCAAATCCCACGTTCTTGGGTTCTCTAAGCTCACAAGACAGCTGTGGGACTGCGTGCTGGGCGGACAATGGTCCCAGATCTTGCTGAGATAGTGTGCAATTGTTAATGCCAGCAAAGCACGGGTGGACAGTCCTCCGCTGGGTGACGCAGAATGGGGCTTGGCGATCATTGCCTAATCATAGTGTGGAGGTGATTGAAAATGGCACTAAGACTCATTGTTATCCGGATAATCCGGTTAATCTTATCGCATAATCAGAACCCCCTCTATCGCTCAGATTGGTGTGGCATGCAGCGGTGTGGCATGCATGTAATGTTTTTTTTTTTTTAAACTGCGGTGAGGCGCATGCCAAAGGTCTATAAAAAGGGGACCTTCTCCCTCTTCCCTCTTTCCTCTTTACCCATCCTCGACTCTAAGCATCTGCCCAACAAATCTCAGTCCACCATGAGAATACTGCTCTGGTGCCGAGGACCTCGACCGCCCGACAGCAACCGTGATCAGAACCAGCAGCAACCAATCGGATCTGATAACAAAGCTGCTATTATGCTGCCACACTTGTTGAGCTTGGTTGGTATGTATTGATGGCATTTGTCATTCTGTCATCAGGTCATCTGGCTAACATGCAGTTTTTAGTCTCCAAGCCTTCGTTACTGAACATCCTCTGGCTTGTGACGCTGCCCAGTCGATTCGCTCCTGGATGCAAGAGTCTGGCTTCAATGCCATCAAGAGTTCCAGATCAAGGCCTAGTAGGGACCGCGTGTGGTGGTGGGCAATTATCCGGTTAGAACAACCGTTACGTATTGCGTGTATAATTGCCTAGTAGTAGCTTAGTTGGCTTTTCCGAACCGGTTGTCGCCGGTTTATTCGCTGGTGTAGTAGCTAGTGCCAGTTTCTGTCACCTCTACACTATTTATACTCGCAAGTTGGACAGCAGACGTTGTCGACAATGTTTGGCCTGAGACGTGAATATAGGAATAAATTATAGTTCTCCAAACACTTTTACTTCAAACTCATGCCAATTATCTATCCCATCGGGGATGCCCGCATTCCCTTTAATTCCTTTAATACCCGCTTCATAACTCCAAAGAAGAACGTACGCACACATTCTCTCTCTAATCCAGCTCCACTTTGATCTCCAGCTACTGCATCCTAAATAAATATCCAAAAGTCTATGCAGTAATGATACCTGGCATCGTAATGTCGTCACATACAAAAACGCCATGTCCCACAAGGGGTCCAGTCGGATGTCGCTGTCGGAAGGAGCAAGAAATGCATCCCCAAAGTCAATGATATGGGTAGGTACCCAGTTGTTTCTTTGGGAGGTTTGATCGAGTTTCCAGTGTCCGATAATGTTTCCAGCAGTCAGGTCCCCATGAAGGAGATTTGCACTTGGAAACCCGAGGTCAGACACGTTGGGGGATATCGCTGGTAAAGCTTGTTGGATATAGTCTTCCAGGGTACTGATCAAAGCGGATGGGAGGTGCCCCCATCGGGTGTGATCTCTTCTCGCGGCTTTGATCCTTTTGCGCAGGTATACTGTCCAATCCCGGGACGTGGTATCCTCACCCTGAAGGATAATCTTACTTTGCCGGACGGGCGTGCGATGTAATTCTCGTAAAACGGTTCCAATCCAGTTTGTCAAGTTAATCCAATCACCGGGGGTAAATAGATTTGCAGACTCCCCCATTGCATGTGACTCTTCAGAACCTACGTGCGTTTGGATGCCATATGGCCAAGGCCACGATGATGGGCCTGGTTTGAAAAGCATGCCGTGAGCGACCATCTGTGGACAGACAGCATGCAGTAGGCTGGTTTGTGGAAGTGCCCCTATGGACGTCAAGGCGTCTACCTCGGATGCATAGGACACCAGACCCCGACCCAAGTGCGAATAAAACTTGATGACGCGCTCGCTCTCAAAATGGAAATAAATCTGAAGCGGTTCATCATCAGCTTCTTTGGCGGGTTGAAAGAGGTCTCAAAAATACAGCTCCTACCGGATTTTCTCCCAGATGCTCCATAGGCTCGACATCCTCCTCTTCCACAGGCCCCTCATGACCGAATTCCCGCTCCCATACCTGATTAATTCTCGGTATCCATTTTGCCGGTTCTGACGTAAACCCCTGGCAAAACTCCCCCTTTGTGGCATATCCCTCGGCAAGGATGAGTGGGTCGGTGGTGCGTCCAAAAGAATCGAAAACAAAACCGAGATTCGGGTGTTCTTCTATCATGCGCTGCCTAAATTTCCAATATAGCTTGAATATTGCCAAGAGCAGCGGACAGTCAGTAAAACGCCAGTCATACATTCATCTCACATCTATAACTTACTTTATGGTACTTGTTCTCCAAAGAACTGGCCATTTCCTCAACAACACCATCCAAATTCCATCGCCCACACCAATTCTGTGTAATAGCAATATTGCATTGATCCAAATTCAATACTGCATGCCACCATCCCGCAGGAACCACAATCGTTTCCCCCGGTTCCTGGACAATCTCTATTGGCTTGAGTTCTGGCGGAAGGAAAGGGTATACTTCAAGATACCAGTACAGTGTCGAAGGTGAGGACAAATCGCTTGGATGAACTCCCGGGGGCAACTTGTCGGGAGGGTACAATGCCCATCTTTTGCGGCCAGATAAGAGGGTATTCCATGCCGAAGTGCCCAGCGGGTCAATGTGCCATGATGCTCCTATTGGATATTGTACACCCAAGTATTTAGGGGGTCACTCTTTTCAGATGATTCAGGGTGTACACACCTGAGCGTGCAGGTCCTATCACCAACCATCGAAAAGGCGGGCGCTCCTCTCCAAGAACAGATAAAAAATCCTCCGCGAATATTGAAGGTACCTACCATAAAGTCTTTTATAAGCCCCGCAATCACCTCGCAATACCGTGTCGTTCAACCTTACATACTTCATAATCGCGCAGCATATCTGGCGCTTTCTCCGCAAAACGGTCATCAAAGACGTACAGAGGAGACTCATCGTTTTGTTGGAGCATATAGTCCACATATGACGAGAACTTCATCCCGACTTTTCGTGGATGCCCGTACTCATTACCCACTTTGAAGTGAATATCTCCATACTGTTTGTTTACGATGCTACTAGATCAGACAACCTGTAATGACACCAAACAGTGGGCTGCTTTCGTACCTTTGTAAGTAGCGCTTTCAAGGACCAGGTCGTCAAAGCAGGCCAGCTGCTCGCGATGCCGTCCATTGCAATGACAATAGGCTTCGATAATGACTCATAGCGGGACTGAAATTGCACAGCTGTAAGAGTGCGTCCAGACACTCGCTCAATTGTGGTTTCCGCTGTAGTCAGTTTTGTATCAACGTGGAACCGAGATAGGTCCATATGGCAGCGGCACCACTTGGCATGAAGATACGGAGAAACAAGACCTAAGAGTCGCACATGTTTATCAAGGAGTAAAGGGCCGCCGACTATAATCAGGTTGCTCACCATCAACAGTTAATGAACAATGAGCATGTACCCGCGCAAATTCAAACTTTTCGCGAAAACTCTCGTTCATCGTGCCAGGGAAATAGTATGTAAGCCGCCAGGTACCCTTGAAAACAAGACCTCCAGAAACGGATCCAGCTCGTCCCCATCTCTCCAAACAGATGCGTCGCCATTGTTGATCATCTCGTGCAAAAATATATAAAATACGCGAGACATTTGATAGGGTCACCAAATCCTGGCAGCGTTCAACAAAAAAAGGTCACCTTGTAAGAATTCTACCTGCCAGATGCATGGAGCAATAATTGTATACGCGACAGGATACCTGGGCATTCAGCAAGGATAGCACCCCTTCTGCTATGGTCTCGTCAGGGAGTATGCGCATGACGCCTAATCCTGCGGACCGAATATCCACTTCTATTCCGCCGGGTATCCTGTTATTAAACGTCTCACGAAGTGGTTGAGCGGATGGTGGCAGAGAAGTAAAAGGTATTGTATTTGGAGGTGGTGGACCAGGTGGGGGAAGGTATACGGCCACGGGAGGTGGTCCAGGCGGTGGATTATATACACTTGTTTCCGGAATGACAAAAGAGTCCCGTGCAATACCACCCGTAACGGCGAATGAACCTGTTTGTATCCCCTTTTGTTGCTTTATTGGTAACAGTCCCGTCACCTTAGCATTGGTCATGGTGAACGTGAAGGTCCAACCCACATAAGGGCGCTCAACTGTTGTGATCTGGAGGTTGATGACTCATCTACCCCACAAATATCCCGTGAGTTGGTGGTCCAACTGTTGGAAATGAGCCCGTTTGTGTGCTCCAAATCTTACACAATGGATCTACCAGAAATTGCGCTTAGGGTCTTTTGCTATCTAGACTCTATTTCTCTGGTCCGATGCGAACGTGTCTGTCGAGATTGGAGTTCACTTCTAATACAGAATGAAAACCATCTCTGGTGCGCTTTTGCGGCGGCATTGTCACCTGTCAACGGAAGACTTCCTCACCGACTCGAATGGGAGACTTGGAAAGATATCGTACGGCTAAAACATGCGTGGGATAAAGTGTTACCAAAACTTACGGCAGAGTCGAGAAGGTTGCATGATCCTGCGGAATACTTGCAGGAGGCTCCGACTATTGTTGGGGAGGTGGTGGTGGACACGACTGGTGAGTTGAGACAGAGTTGGAACGAACGAAATGCAATATTTGTATGTAGATGGATGGACTGACGATTTGCGGAGGGATTTCTCAAGTTTATACTGCATGCACACAAAGCTAATGCTTTTATTGTATCTCAGGCCACAACAAAGATCGACGATCAAAAGTCAGTGTAATGGACTCGTACAGTTCATCAGAAACCCGGGACTACATACAAACCCAAGCTGTAGGACCTCACATTGTATACGCCATAACAGGCATATCCCATATCGGCACATTTGATATCCGCGCATCATCTATTTCAGCACCGTCCATTAAACTCCCCGCAACATCTTTTCAACACCCACCACGACTCCAACGCGTTTTTCATTCCACATTGATACCCGTTCACGAAGGGATGGGATGGATGAGCTTTTGGGATCCTCGACATACGGATCGACAAGGTCGATTTCGTGCCATAGATGATGAATACTGTCAGGGCCAACTCTATGAACACCTTTACGCGTGTTTTAATCCCCGTTGGTCAGATGATGAGTCTGAAACCGTCGATGCACGCCGAATTGTTCGTCTTTGGGATGTAAAGTGTCCGTCGCAACCTATATTATCTTGGAATGCACAACTCCCCGGACACGTCGTGGACGTCGCATTGAATGATTCCCTAGTTGCATGCGCATATGGGTCTCGTCTTGATGCAGAGGCTGGACCCATAGACAATGCGCAAGATACGCCGGTTTTTGGATTAGAGTTTAGGTCTGTTGTGACCGGTGATTTAGTCCGGTCTGTGCCGGCTCTTTCGGGGGTTCAAGATGTCATCTTTCTGGTTATGACCCGTTTTTACTGTCTGGTTGTGCGAGCGCCCGATGATGGACAATTGGTGACAGTAGTTGACCTGGCTACAGGAAACGTGGCTCACGAGATCAATTTAATGGAAAGCTTTATTCGAACATATGGTGGTCTACACGTCAAGGACGATGAAACGATGCTCATGCTATGGTCTAGTTCCAATCGACTTGCTTGCCTCGATTTAATCCGTGGATGCTGGACGTTACATGAGCGGAAAAGGGATGAGTTGTTTGAAAAGTGGCATTACGGGGTATGGGTGGCCATTGAACAGAATGAACATGTTTGCAACAGAGTAAAAGTACTTGGCACGAATGGCACAATCAAAAGTAGTATATCAGATAAGAGTCGATTTAGAGTGATATGGAAAGCCATAGGAGGAGTTCCCTCAGTGTCGCCCCCATCGTGGACATCGGAATGTAATATAATCTTGAATGGATGATATACTATATTGTTTGCACTCTAGAATTATTTTTTTGTCTATGCAGGAATCTGGGACGAATGCAGTGAAGCAAGACCGGTTCAAAGAAAACGGAGCTACTGCCCAACTCATCCAATGGTTTTAATTACGTTGATCATTAACACTTTTACATAAAGTAATCTATCAGTTTCATTCCCCTTTCAATCCTTCCACATCCGTACTCTGACTCTTTAGACTTGACATGGGTAGAGGGGGCATACCAGACCCAGACGCCGTAATATCCTCCAATGTTCGGACTGATTTCGATCTGGGGAGTTGGGGGGTTGGTTTGGGTGGTTGTTTGGGCGGTTCTGCGGGTGATACGAGGGATTTGGCATTATAAATAAAAACCTATCACAACCAAAAGTTAATAACCCAAAAACCCACAAAAAAAAACCGACAATGGAGTAACACTACCAAAGCCCCCGAAAACTCCAACGGCGTAAACGCATACCCAACTCTAAACATCAAAGTCCGAATCCCCTGATCATATCTAAAAGCCGTATTCCCAATCACAAGTAACCCCAAACACACCCACGTTACCACACAAATCACTATTAGGGCCGTTACAACTCGTTTCCATTGGGCTTGTCGTGCGCCGCCTGCTGCTCTTCGAACACTGTATAGACTGTAGATGAAGGAAAAGGAGAGAATGTGGTCGATGAGGAGGGCGTAGAGGGTCCAGCCGGCGGATGTAAAGGGTTGGGAGGTGCGAATGAGACTTAGTACGGTTGTTGTGATCCAGATGGAGAGAGTTAGACCAATAAATGCCCAGTCCTGCAAAAAAAAAAACACATTAAAAAGCCCAGCACATTTTACCCAAAAGCACTAACGTTTGAAAAAAAAGAAAAAGAGCTTACCCATTCATCCCGATATCTCCAAACAGCTTTAACAACCCTAAACCTCATCTGCACCAACACCAAATACCCCAAAGTCGATACAGCATATAACCCCATCCAAGCCCTAACAAGCCTTTGAACAGCCAAAAAGGCAGCATGATTCGGATCCCCTGGATCTTGTCCCCGATCTCCTAATTCCAATGTCGGTGTCGTAGACACTACTCTAAAATTCAATAACAATACATCATAATGAAAGACGATATTGTTTGACGTACGCATGAGAGGTATAAAGGATGCCCCGTAGAGAATGTAACAGAGAGCTAGTGAGTGGTTGTAGGGGGTTGGACGGCGGATGGTATGTTTTATGGCGTAGAAGGTGTTGGCGAGTTGGAGGGTGAAGCCTAGGACTATGTGAGTTTGTTAGGATGGAATTTTGGAAGTTGTACTTTTTTGTGGGTTTTGGTTTACGTTACTGGTGAAGAGGGAGGTGAGGATGGATATTTGTTCTGTGCGGGTGTCCCATGTTCGGTGGTATAACGTTTGCATTCTGTGTTGGAAGAGGTTTTTTGGTGTGTGTGAGGAAAAAACGAGTGTAGATCTGGTCGAGGATGTCGGTTTCTGTTTTTGTTGTGTGTGTATAATGAGGTTTACTGTGATGCCCCCAAAAAAACAAGAAAAATACCCTAGTCAAGCTTTATCGTCTAGTATGAATACAAGTTTTTTTGTGTCTTGTTGACAACAGGTCGTAGTATACCCATTTTCATTTCATGCTGTCCTAAATGGTGTCAAGTTCATTTTCATGAACCATACACATTTCTTTCACATATCCATCATGAAAGGCATCATGTACCAAAAGAACCACGACAACCCACAAGACCATTGAAAAGTTGAATCTAGATGTACATGACTCTTTCAAGTCCTGCAACAAAACCCATATAAAAGCAGCTTGCTTGTCCTATAAAAAACAAATCACAAGAGCTGCATATTTTGTTTTTCCACAAAAGTTGAACACACCTTTTACGATACCAGTAAGTAAACACCACATTCCATACTTACATAGCCTTATTTGAAAATATCGTTCAAACTACCCTTGTATACAGAAATTCCAACCAGAAATCACGAAACAAGGAAATAAAAGCCAAAGAAACGTACCCTTGATCTCAAAGAAACTTGCAAGGAAAACCAAAAAAACGCGTTTAAAGAAGCCACTCTGAGAATCAAGTCTTTTAGAATGGTCAACAAAGGAGTGAAAGTAAAAGACTGTTGACATATCTTTACGACTTTTGAGGCCTTTCAAGATCTTTTATGAGAACGATGCCTTTACGAATGTATCAACAATGAATATCGTTTGCACACACACGCTTGAGTAAAGGCTTAGCTGCGCGTCCCCCCATACAACCTCACACACTGCAAAGATGTGCACGGCCAATGTAGAACACAAGCTATATATCACCGACGTTAACAACCAAACATGATCGCTTTGCCATAGTCAGCATGTTTACCCTGGCCTCGTAAAACATACACTCTCAGACAGGGGACTCTCTTTTAACGAACCTCTCAATTCAAAGCTAGACAAAAATTCCAACTATCGTTTCATACCCCCCAAAAAACGTCTACGATGTGCACTCCCATGTTAAAAATGTACAATGGGAAGCACCACAACACCATTCCTGCAGTCGTCGTCGTAAAAATCATATCTGTGTTGAATATTGGAAGGTGGTCATGTACTGCTCCCCGTCATACTAACACAAAAGGAGCCCAAATATAAAATTCTTTTAGCGGTGAGTATTACATTTTCAAAATGGTTTAGTTTGAAGGTGGTGTCTAGTTCGATGTAGAGAATTTGGCCTATATTGAAACTGAAAAACGGTCATCCAAAAGTTGCTAAAAACTCACAACTACCAGCTGCACTGTAGACGTTAAACCATCACATAAACAGACTCTCAACTAGCGACTATAGAACCATGACAATCGATTGCCAATCAGCGTTTAGCCATCAACCATTCCCCCCCAAACTCCAACAAAGTGATAAACGCATCACTACATGTCGTGTTTGGGCATGGATCTGCAGATAGGATAAATGTTGGGGTCAAAGACGGTTGGGACTCCCAGAATAACCTTTCCAAAAGAACCCAGCCCTTCCAACTCACCCAGATCGTAGTGTCTGAACATTAGATGACCTGATTTCACGACAGTCGGCGTCTGTGTATACCCTGCTCTATAAAAGTCGAAAAAGAGTCAATGCAAAAGGACATTTGTCGGTGACGCTCAAGATATTTTTTTTAACCATAAAAAAAAAGAAAATACGAAACTTTTTGATTATACATTAACCCCATTCAAAAACGACCACATGTGTATACAAAAAAAAAAAAAACTCTCCTACAAAAACCCCATAATATTATCACCCACCCAAAACCTCCCACTCCTCCTCCCCCTGCAACCTCGCAACCAAAGTCCGATTCTCCTCCTCAAGGCGCTCAATCCTCGTTTGCGATTCCACAAGCCGATCACTCAGTTGTCTCGCATGTGCCAAACTCGTTTCCAGTGCAGTCGCCAGATTGGCGGCACGGGAGAGGAGGGCGGTATGAGAGGTTGTGAGGGAGTCTAGGAGTGTTTGAGTGTGGTTGTGAGCTGTTGTGAGGGTTTCGAGGGTGTGGAGGAGGTGGGTTTGGTCTTTAGGTATTGGTGATGATTTTTCAGAATCGGCATCGGATTCAGAATCGGATTCCACGTCGGATTCCGCATCGGATTCGGGTAACGAGGAGGGTTTACGTCCATAGATCCAAGAAAGCGTCACAACAGCCACAAGGACCAACCCAACATCCACCCACGGGTTAGTCAAACACTCTTTTGTAACCGCCAAAGCCGCTCGAAGAACCCGTTCAAGTGCTGACCAGACATCCGTCTTTTGTTTCGTCCGAGAATACTCTGTTCCACCCAACAATCGAATCAATTCTTGTGTCGTCAACGCTGGAACATGTGCAGGCGTTCGTCCAGCTGCACTAGCCGTCATGATTGATCGTAAAAAACTTTTATGTGTCACGGCGATGGCGTGGGGGGATGTCGTTAAAGCGGCTGCTGCTGCTGCAAATGACGAGGCATCCGTGGTGTGCTTTTTGGCCACGAGGGCTGTTGCGAGGGCTCGGAGGAACTTGCTTTGAGTCGCTAGGAGGCGTTTGGTGCGGGTGATGGGGAGCTCAATGATGGGTGTTCGGTCCGTGTAGTAGGCAAAGTTGGCCATGATGGAAACATATAAAGAAAACGTAAAGGTGGAGAGGCCAAAGTGAAAAACGTTCAGCCAATCGCGGAAGCGCGAAACGAGCGTCGAGACTCCTCCTCTATAACAAATCGTTTGCCGTCCAGTTCTTTCAACAAACGGATATGCGGGCGGGTGAAAGAAAAAAAGGTGTGTGTGGAGAGTAGCGTATATCCAAAAAAGAAACCTCCCAAAAAATCAAAAACTTGGTCCTCTTTCCGCTCAACTTGACAAGTGCGAGAGAGAGAGTGTGTATGCGTTTAAAGTTCCTTTTCCAATCTCGTTATGTTTTTGCGTTTCCCGCCCCGGCTGCGACTACAAATCAAACAAAAACCCGTTGAAAAAAAAAAACTCAAGGGAACTTAAAGTCCGAACTGATCATCCAACAAGAACAACAACCCGCCCCCGCCTCGCCTATCGGAAACAAAATTCCAATAAGAGATTTGATATGATAGCAACTCAAGAGTTGCCAGATAAGAAAGTACGATAAAAAGAAATGTACTTTTTTTTTTTTTTTGAACAAAAACACTATTATAATGTTCATGCACTTGTATAAAAACACTGTAAAATCCCGTTCCATCCATAATACGTTATATTCTGTTCTTGTTAAAAAAATGACACACAAAAGACGTATGTACCATATGATGGCGACAAGGTCATGTTACTGCGCAAACGGGGCCCAGTGCAAAATGATTAGGTCATGCGCGTCATCTGTTGACAAAAGTGTTCCCAAATCAAACGATATTGGTTGCGGGTTCCGCAATCCTTTTGTTTTGTTTGGGTGATTTTGTTACCTTCAAAGGAGATGGTGTCATTTTTATCTGAAGCTTTTTTTTTGCCTACTTATTTGGATCCCGTTTGCGCACGTTATTCGCCATCGGTCAATGTTTGGAGAGTGTGTTCCGAACTCTCAATTAGAATCACTGATGCCTGTCTTTGAGCGAATCGCTCTCCAAAACAACTCGGAAATGGATTGCCACTTTTCAGAAACATTCTCACGTCCCGAAAAAGAACTCACACAAGGGAAAATCACTATTACTCTTGTGGCCCCAAAACCACGGATATGCAATCCGTCAATAATGTTCTTGTTTTCAAGATGTTGTTGTTTTTGGATACGACGGACGTGTACCCAATACGTTTATTACATTCATGACATGAGATGGAGACATGAAAAAAAGCAATAATGCCTTTAAAAGCAAATGCCCCTTGTCCATCCCGTAGACCCTCACAAAAGTCTATACACACCAAATCCCGTCCCGCATCCACACGCCAACGTCAATTCTCAACATCTTTTATTAAAAAAAAAAAAAAAAAATGTTCGTTTTGAGAATCCCCCGTCCCAACACTCGAAAATATATAATCTCCTAGGTACACTCATACACACACATAAGCAATATTCTATACACAGAAAATGGGATAAATTATACAGGTGGGTCCCGTAACGCAGTGACAGCCGGGGGTGGGGGTGTCGGTTCATGGTCCACATGCACATTAGCGTTTTCACCATGGTCGACATGGTCGTTCACGGTCCCGGGTATCGCCGTTCCATTCGAGCCCGGACCAGCAGTAGGAAGGATAGCGACGCTCTGCAATTCCACATCCACGGCAGTTGGCGTCCCATTGCGTCTCGTCAGCTTGCGCCAAACGCGCGTCCACCACCGCACGGGTACAACTTGTTCCGCTCCTTTGCCAACCAGATCCACGCGACAGAGGGGACATACGCCCGCTACTTCCGTGACCCATCGATCGACGCACGACGGGTGAAAGACGTGTCCGCAGGGGACGAGTTTGCGGACCATGGTCGTGGGACTGTACACGTCCAGGCAAATGGAGCAGGTTGGATCTATTGTGGCGGCATCAGGGAGGTCGCCAAAGACGACCAGCGGATGGTGTTGGAGGTGGGAGGCTGAAAGGAGGGTGGGCGCGGGCGGTTGGCCGGGGAGAGGGCCGCGGAGTTGCCGCGCGGCGCGGCGTCGTAAAAAGTAGGCGGCAGGGATAGACAGACCGGTAAAGATGGCGAGGGAAACAAGGGCAAATTTCCAGAGAGGGGGAAAGGGGGATTGGGAGCCGCGGCGGAGGGCAATTCTCACCATGATATTGACCAGCTGTTGTTGGGCGGGGAGAGGGAAATTGGGGGGAAAGGGCTGGCCAACCACTAGCGGCACGCTCTGATCTGGGCCAAACTTGAACTCGCTTCCATTGACGGTGGAGCCCATGAAATTTTCCAAGAATCCACCCAGTCCCATGTCTATGAAATAGGTTGGCAAAGCGAATTCAGTGGGCCAAGAAGCGGTGATGGCGGACCGGATAACGGGATGCCTTCCGTCGCCGTACACAACGAGCCCGACGCCATTGTGAGCTTTGAGATGGGTGATGGTATCTGTAATGCGCTGAGGAAAGGGGCAGGGAGCGACGGGACTGGTTGCATTCAAGAGCCCGACAAATCGATTAGTTGGCTTATCGAGAGGAAGGCTAATGTTTGGGGCGGGTGTGCATCCGTCATTATAGTGAATCAGCAGGCCCTATTCAACAAATGCAAAGCATACAAACATGAATATCGTTTTTTTAAAGGGAAAAACAAATCAGCCGAAAGATACCTCTGCATTGTCCCCAGGCAAAGGCATTCCAGCAAACGGCACGATATCGCCCTTTACTGCAGGGGCATTTGAAAAGATGCCAATAACGAGGGGCGAGTTCTTTTGACTATTGCTTGTCGCGCCCAGGGTGTCGTGGGTGAGTGGCTGAGAGTTGTAAATGAGGGCATAGCCGTACTCGATGGAGGGGTCTGGGAATTGTGCCAATGCCGAGTGCAAGAGAATGCATCCGAGTGCGAGTAGTAAGCGAGTCTTCATATAGAGAGGGGAGTGTGTGTGTGTCTATGAGAGAGAGAGAGCGAGATGGAACACACGAAAAAAGCGTGGTAGAGTGCAAAGCCGGGGGAAAACACACAATCAAAAAGAGCAAGTTTTCAAATACGAGGCCACGCCAATTTCCAATACATATATATATATGTGTGTGTGTGTATATATGATGCAGTTGAGTAAAACGCTTTTGCACAGCCAAAAACAGAGAAAGCTAATGGGGAAGAACAGAGAAGCAAGAACAGAAGAGAGGAGAGAGGAAGATGAGTAATAAATGTCATGTGATGAGGAAAGTTCTAAATGGGAAAGCCACTCGTTTTGAATGTGGCAATGAGCGATACAGATATAGAATAAGAGAGAGAGAGAGAGAGAGAAAGCGCACACACACACACACACACATAGGAGAGAGAGAGAGAGACTCTTTGAGTAAAAAAGTCTTGTAATTCATCTCTCTCTCTCACAACACACAACACACACAGAACACATTAAAAGAGCGAGAGCGAGAGAGAGACAGAGAGTAACGCTTCTGTTTTTGTCTATTTCCATCTCTCTTCTTTCTCTCTCTCTCTCTCTCTCTCTCTTTTATGAACTCTTGTGGTCATGTCCATACATTCAATACTCACTTTCACACTACACACACGTGTATATTCATCAACTTATACTCACACTCTGCTACTAAATTTCATACTTTTATACTCTTCACTTTTATATATACTCTTTTACTCTCAATCTCTCTCTCTCTCTCTATTGGATTTTTAACCACTTTTGCTCAGCATGGCCTTTTTCATTTCATACCCCTCATTTCATCACCCTCATTTCGTTTCTCTCCATCTCTCTCTTTTTGTTGGCTGTGCCAGAGTAATCACCCCCTCTCGCTTCAAATACTTTTAAAACACAGGGTTCCTCATTTCAACCCATATTATTTCACTCTGCAAAAGAGAGACCCTAGAGTTTCATTTCATGTCAAATCCAATCAACACATGGTTTATACCGCGTGTTTTAATCATTCTAAAACATTTTACTAGGGAGGTGTTCCATTTCACACTCTCCCGCTTTATATAGCACCGATATATAATACATACATTTCATACACAAGGGTCTTTTTTATTTGACACACACCTCTTTAACTTGTTACAATTTCAGAGATTTCAAAGGGTAGTTTGATCGTGATGCAACGGCCTTATTCTTTCGCCCCGTTTCTTTTTTTTTTAAGCTTTTTGGGATATAAATTCAGAGAGGCAACGAGCGACTTCCCCGTTATTTGCAGGCTTTCTTTTGCTTCTTGAAAAGCAACTTATTCCATTGTAGCATCTTGTGCTTGGCACTTTTATTTTTTTTCCCTACGCATCACTATACACAACACCATCCAACCACACAAGAACCACCCACAACCACAACAACAATGAAGTCGTCTTTGGTGGCATGGATGTGCCTCTGTTTGGCAAGCACGTCCGTCGTATCTGCAGTTCCCGTTCAATTGGAGGCTCGCGATGGCACACGCGCTGTCAGTTTTCCACCGAGGCAAGCTTCTGGTCAAGTCCCTCCGGTCTATACTGCCAACGTCGTCCAGATTGCAAAAACATTTGCTCCACCAAAGGTGACAAGGAGGCAGGTCGTCGCCCCAGAGGTGGCTGAACTTGTCATTGGCGAAAACGGCAACAATGGCAATCGCAACAACAATAACGGAAACAACAACAACCGGAATACCAATGTCAGAAATAACAACATCAACGACAACAACCGGAACAACAACAACAACAACAACAACAACCGGAACAACAACAATAATAACCGGAACAACAACAACGATGACATTTTCATCAATGTTGGCAACAACCAGAACGAGCTACGTGACGTTATTGACCAGATTACCAGAAACGGCAACAACATTGGTGTCATCATCTTTGGTGATGTGAACAACAACAACCGTAACCGTAACAACAACAACCGCAATAACAACGGTAACCACAACAACAACAACCGTAATGGCAATAACAACGAGAACAACGGTAACAACAACAACCGTAATGGAAATAACAACGAGAACAATGGTAACAACAACAACCGTAATGGAAATAACAACGAGAACAACGGTAACAACAACGCTAACAACACCAACAACGCCAACAACAACAACCGGAACGGCAACAACAACAATGGGCGTAACAATACCCAACAGATCCGAAAACGACAGGACAACAGCACTGACCTGAACCTGAACGTAAACCTCAACACCACCGAAACCCAAAACACAACAACCAGCGACTTTCGCAACAATGAGCGACTTTCGCAACAATGACCGTAACGCTAAACGACCGTAACCGCAACAACAACAACGACAACGTAATCATTATCGACCTAGGCGACATTTTCGACAATAACAACAACCGTAACAGGAACGACCGTAACCGTAACAACAACAATGACCGTAACCGGAACAACAACAACAACAACAACAACGACCGTAACCGTAACAACAACAACAACAACGACCGTAACCGGAACAACAACAACAACAACATTTTCATCAACGATAACCTCCCCAACCGCGTCATTGACCTTAGCGGCGGCAACAATAACAACCGCAACAGCAACAATAACAACAATGACCGAAACCGAGACGGAATCACCATCCTCAGTTCAGGATCCTCAAACGGAAACGTAAACATTAACGGAAACGGAAACGGAGGAAACGGGAATTGATGTCTTCCCTGGTTCAATCCCCGTCTAAACAAAAACATTGTTCACTGTCGAGTTAAAAACAAAAGGGGAAAGATTTATATACGGCGCTTTTTTTGTTTTTGGAATTGGGGGCAGGTTCCCCCTCCTTCCAAACAAAACAACTTAGAAGAGAAAAAGTAAACGAGAAAATAACAAAAAAGAGGATAGGGTTAAAAGAATGCGATTTTAGTTTTTGTTGTACATTTGGGAGATGTCGTTTGTACATTTTGTGTAGATTATGTTTTTTTGGATAATTG